AATACTAAACTAAACAATAGCAGTTTTTCCTGTACTCAAGTTCTATAAAATCTCTAAAAATTTTGGAGCTCAGAATATCATCTTCTTAAAAGTATGTTCAAGTATTACTAGAAAATTCAATTTCTCTAAATGTTAATATTTGATATTTGAATGGTATCTTTTGGGAAATGAACAGCTTGTTTTGTAAGGTACACTACCAATACATACCTGTGATAAGGCTTCTGTTGTTGGAACAGGTAACGGCAAGTCAGTTATCATGCCAAAGGAAGGAGCTGCAGGTCTATCTGTACTATAACCTGAAGAGAGTGATTCTCCAAGGGGCACAGATGCTACAGACCTATTTGTTTCTTGTGGCAGATATGCAGAAAGAAATGGAAAATTCTGAGCATATGTAGGAATTCCAGTTGGCTTGCTGTAAAGGCTAAAGGGGAAAACAATCTATTATCAGCAAATTATTTTATAGCATTTTCAAGTTTTTCTTCTCAAAATGAAATTGTATTAAACATTAAATAGGTTTCTGGTTAAACACATTTGACAATAGCTGTAATTAATTCTAACTGAATGCATGATAAGCCATCCAGTTAATCTTATCAATGCCAGAGTGATCACATAGCATGATTCACCATCTCCTGAGGCATCTAGACATGACTGTTCTTTCAATCCAAGTAATTAAAATTGAGGGGCTAACTAAAACTTCAGCAATGTTTTATTATGTCAGAACTAATGAGTCTTTTCAGTGCTAATATAATCCAAAGTATAAGACATGCACAATATTTAGATGCTGAAATTTAGAAAAGTTTTAGTGAAAACAAACCTGTAAATGATGGAGTTATGCATCTGATGCTACTACAACTAGGCCAATGGATCCTTGTATTTTGCTGATACCTACTATAAACCCTCGCTTTTCGGGTTGCATACTGTCCCTATTCTGTATCTCCTTTGACCAATTACAAATAAGCATTTGTACTCATATGTTGAGATGGATCAGGGAAAGAAAGATGTTTAGAGCTAAAAGCCTTCAATACTGTAATATAAAATACTCATTTTTTATTTACGTGTATTAGCCTTATGCCCAGCAGAGAACAGCTCAATCCAAAACAATAGTTTAAAATTTTATTCAAATCTGACTTTTTAATACAACTGAATGCAGAAGATGAAGGAAGGAAACCAAATTGCTATATAAGGTTGACAGCCGCATCCTAATTTAATTATGTTTGATCTGAGTTTGCCCCATAAGTATACACATAGTGATGCTTGAAATTACGGTATTATCCATATTTTAATGTGCTTACTTACTATGGGAATGTTGTTGCGTTGGGAGCCAAAACTGGAGGATTTTTCCAAAATTCATCAAGTATACTTTGAACAATTTTGCCAAGGTCAGAGTGCATTGTAAACTGTTAAATTATTTAAAAAATTAGCATGGTTAAAAATTATGTGCCATACAACAAAGTCCATTTATTATTGATTTAAATGAAAAAAGGTAGCTTGGTGTAGTGGGTAAGGTTCTGGGCTAGAAATAGAGAGCCTGTGATTTCTATGCTCTCTTAGACATGAAAACCAATTGGGTGACTTTGAATCAGCTATTCTCTCTCAGCCCACCCTATCTCACAGAATTATTGTTGTGGAGAGACAGGAGTATTACTTATGTTTACTGCCTTGAGATAGATTACATAGATACACAGATGAAAAGGCGTGATACAAATCTAGTAACAATCATGTGGCCTCTCTTAGATGATGGATGCAAGTGACAGTGGTATATACAATGAGGCCCAGTTTTGTTCTCTGTGTGCAGAAACAGAGCTGACAAATAACCTGAAATAATAAGAACTTAAAACACATCAGGAGCTCTGCAAAAACAGTTTTTAATTTTTTAAAAAAATAGTTTGGAAAAACCACTCTAAAAATGTGGGGTTTTGTTCAAGAAAGTCCATGGGAAAACTATCTACCAGAACCAAGAGGTCAGCAGGTATAAACATTAACAATTCTACAATAAAATATAACTGTTGCCAGTTGCACATCTTGAAAGAGACATGCATTTTACCATTACTTATTTCAGAAAATGATTCATTTATACATACACTATTAATTAATGGAGAGGTCACATATGCTCCTTGTTTGTCCATTATATGATGCCGTATTGGGGGAAAAACACTGATGACTGGCTTTTCCTGAGGAAACTGAGGAGGAAGCAAGCTGCAAACACCAAAATATTTCATTATCACAACTTCCATATATGATTAAGCACTCTATTGCATCACCTTTTGAAATATAAAATTCACCTTTCTAGAGAATGTGAACAACTAGAAGTTGTTCCTAACAATTTCTAGACAATCACAATCTAGCCAAAAACATAGTTTATCCATTTGAATTCTAGCACTTACAACACAAACAACAAACAGCTGATATACTCTCACTCTGTCAGACAACAACTGAAATAAGTGTCCTACTCAATCTCTGTTTAGGTAATTTTCTGAACCAGATGTTTGAAGATAGTGAACAAAGGCCTTTTTATTGAAATCTCCTAGAAAAAATGTGAATTTTTATATCAAAGTAATTTTAGGTGCACTCCAAGAAAATAAGTTAAAATCAAAATAAGTCAACTTATTTTGATGAAGCAAAACTTCATAAAACTGAATGATGATCATTTAGGTGTGTAAGAAAAAAATGCTGATAAATACAGCTGTTGACAATTTTGCCACATAGATGTAGGCAATGTGCTCCTTGAAAGTCACACAGAAAAAACATTCTCTCCTTAAAATTTATCCAGATTGAAACAGAAGAAAACAAGAGAAAACTCACTCTAGCCCTAATGTGGTGTGATAGAAAATTAACAGAAGACCTTCTAGTTCATGTTGATTCACTAAGCATGATTTTAGTTTTCAACATGACATACAGTCAAATCAAAAGATACTCACATATTTATGTTAATTGTCAGGTTATTTACAGTGAAGGGCAACCGATATTCCACATCTTTTTGTATTTCAGCTATACTAAAAAGAGAAACACGTTTATTAATGTTTCCTGTAATAGTGAAATCAGATACAAATGACCCAATTACGGATCTTAAAAAGCCCTAATTTCAAAGGTCAGATCAAACTATCATTTCTTCTGTTAAAAACTCTAAATTATAACTAAACTAGAACTGGTTCCTTTAATAGCTTGATTCCCTCCTTCCTATTTTATTTTATTTATTTTTTATTTTATTTTTTATTTTTCAATTTATATACCGCCCTTCTCCCTGAGGACTCAGGGCGGTGCACAGCCAGAATTAAAAACATGAAATACAAATATTAAAAACAATTAAAATCTATATAAATTTGGCCCAAAATTTAAAAAACCACAAACCAATTAAACATTTAAAATTTTTAAAAAATTTCTTCCTATTTTAATCCGCTTAATTTTGAATAAAAGCTCTGAGGACCCCAGAAAATATAAGAACTGGCCTTTGAAGGAAGATTGATCCATGTAGTTGAAACAGAAACTTGTTCACAAGAAAGCCGATAGGAGCATGTGTGGGCAGCAACTTGTTTTGCTGAAGGAAGCTGAGGGCTATTGGTGAACCAGCATTTTACTCACTTCCTGTTACTTGGTCTGTTGTGTGAATGTTTGGGCGGTTTAGGGATGGGGAATTGTGGTGGGTGGGAGTGTGTCTGGGGATTGTTGTGTGTGTTGGACCTGGTCTTTGGGTGTTAAGTGAATTTCATTGTATGGGTATACTGTGCATACACGTACAATGACAAGAAAGTTGTTATATTATTACTATTATTATTATAGAGGGAAGGCCAAATTCCCTTAACTGTACACGGTAATAGTTTTTGGACTGCAACCAAACTATTTTCACTTTGAAAGAGTGGTAGGCATTGCCCTTTGTATGTTAGCTGCTCTTTTCAACTAGGATTTTGTGACTGCTCCTTCTTTGCCCTTTTTGTCTCCTCTGGCTTCTAACTTCTGCCTACCAACCCTTTGAAGCTGCAATATCAAGGCACACCTTAAATCAGAGGTCTTCAAACTTGGCAGCTTTAAGACTTGTGGACTTCAACTCCCAGAATTAAAGTCACAAGTCTTCAAGCTGCCAAGTTTGAAGACCTCTGCCTTAAATATACTACTACTACTACTTGAAAAAATATTGTGCATTACACATGCCTTTAAAGAAGTTAAGTGGCCCCTCATTTGCCCTGGTTTGATGACTTGAGTTTTTCAGCTGAGGAGCGAGTCATGCCGCTCTACTGAAGAAAAAAAAAAAGCCATGTTTGCCAACAGCAATGGAGAGATCACCCAAGGGAGGTCCTCATATTCTCACACAATCCTCTCCCCCCCTCCCAGCTCTGGATTGACTTCCAACCGTTTTATGGAAAAGAGCCGGGCGGCGATTCCCTCCTCCCTTAAGGGGGTGTCACTCACGCGGCATGGGCGCTGCGCAGGGACTCGATCTGCCGCTGCCGCTGCTGCTGGAGGCTGGTGAGAGTCGAAGGCAGCGCTATTCCGCCGGCGGAAGAGGAGGAAGAGGAGGTGGCGGCGGGGGTGGCCCCGCCACCGCTACCCGCTTTGGAGTAGTGGAAGAGCCAGCTCATCCTCTTCTAGCCCCTCCCTTGCTAACCGAGAGGGGGGGGAAAAAAAAACACCAGACGGTGCGCGGCCTTCCTTTGGCTTCTCCGTCAGCGGCGTCGCCGCCACCACCTCGCCTCCTTCAGCAGAACGTGAAGAAAAGCCCCGGAGACAACGAGCACAAGCGACACAGCCGTTCCGCCTGCCGGACCCGAGCGACCAAACACGCCTGCGCTCGATCCGCCGGGCGGGTCATCACCGCCCGTTGCCTTTTCCATTGGTGGAAAAGAGGCTGGGAGGGGCCAGCTCGGGAGCCCCGATTGGGCGAGCTCTGCCGGGTCTCCGCGGCCGGGAAAGGAGCGTGAAAGACGGAGGAGGGAGGGGGGGGAGAAAGCGAGCGAGAGAAATCGAGGGTTGAAAGGTTAAGAGCGCGGCGCGCGCTGATGATGTAATGGCTTTGTGCGCTGGGAGGCTGTGGGGAAGCCGCGCGAGTGGTTTTCCGCGCTTTCTGGCTCTCCCTCGCCGCGTCTGGGCTGCCTCCGCCGCCGGGTCCTCGCTCGACCCTTTCTCCTCCCCTCGCGTGAGTAACCGCTTCTTCTTGGCATTAGGAAAGCCCGTGAGGAGCGGCGGCGACGACAGCGCTTCTCGTATGTGTATGTGTGTCTATGGGTGAGGGGGTGGGGTGGGGAAGTGGAGACGCAGGTGGTCGGGAGAGTAAAGTGGAAGCGCGCGCGGTCCGACGGCGAACTTTTCTTTCCGTATCGTGCGGGGGTGGGGGGGGGGGGGAGAGCAGAAGACGAGTCAGAAGAGAACGAACTGAGGCTGGCGCTTGGAAGTCTCCTATCTCACCTTTGCTTTACCTTCATCCTGTGCGATCCAAGCCTGCCTGCCTGCCTTCCTTCCTGAGACAGTAAAGCTAGAGGTGTCTCTTGCCTCACCTGGAACAGATCTGCCTATGGCAGGGGTCTCCAATCTTGGGCACTTTAAGACTTGTGGACTTCAACTCCCAGAATTCCTCAGCCAGCTTTGCTGGCTGAGGAATTCTGGGAGTTGAAGTCCACAAGTCTTAAAGTGCCCAAGATTGGAGACCTGGCCTATGGCAACGTCTGCTGCTCCCTTTTCTCTGAAGTTTCCCTCCTACTCAAAAAAAAAAAAAAAGTGGTGTGGGAAGATATAGATGCCATTGAGTTGTCTTTTCTTTCTGGTCATTGCAAAGACATATCTTCTATTATCTTTCAGCAATAGCCAAGGGATGGGTTCTGGTATACAGAGCTGAGTATATAACTGTACATGCTTCTAAGTCACGATTGGGGGTCCTTGGTGCTCTCTGAGCTTGGCTGTTTTCTTACAGAAGTTTCATTTACCCAAACTACATAACATCATCGGTGCTAATAGAGAGTGGGGTTCGTTCTTAAGTCAGGATCCCCCAAGTGGATGGTTGATGGGACTATCCAAGGTTCAGGTTGTTATTGTTTGTTCTATTACTATTATGGGGAGCAATGACTATCTGAAACATGCAAGGATCAAAGTGTCTTGGGGACCCCTGATGTAAGGTGTGCTATGGCACTTTGGGGCAGAAGCATAAATAGCAATGTGGGGCTGCTGGATTTTTAACTTTTCAGTGAAAGAATGAGAATAGAAGGGAAGGTATTGGAAAGAACAACTAAAACTATCACCTCTATTTTTCACTGTTGAGTTTGGGCAAGAAATGTATCAAGCTTTTCCCAACCAAAAGTCTTCCAGATGATTTATTCTATTCTAATAAATAGTTAAATAACAACAGTTTACATCCTGTGACAATACCTGTAACACCATCAAGCATCCACATCTGCCTATCTCAGGTCCTTGGAAAGGACTTGATAGGTAGACAAAAATGCCAAATCCCATCTGAACATCTCCCTGACTGTGCAACAAGTCATTTTATGTTCTATGTTTGTTGCTGACTTTAAGATGATGTCTTGTTATCTGCAACCATTAGTTGTGAAATAGCTTAATCTGCAGGGTACAAGGTTAAGAATGGATGGTTAATTTGATACAGATGATTAAATTTAAAAAACTCTTTATAAATAACAATGGATAATCTAGGTTACTTCTGTGACATATGGGCATTGCTGACATATCACAATGATACAGTTGTATCTGATCAGATTGTTATACAGGTAGTCCTTGATTTACGGCATCCCCCCCTCCCCTCCAAAAGCTACTTACAATCCAGTTCCAAATTTATGGCCACTGCAGCACTCCCACAGTTGCAGGGTGGACTTGATTTAAATCAAGTCGATGATTTGATTTAAATCATCAATTTAAATCACGATTTAAATCACTAGTACCAAGGCTTGATTTAAATCAACTTGATTTAAATCATAATTTTTAAAGAGCAACTGTCATCTCTATCCCACAGCAGCTCCTCCTCTGGCCCACTGTTGACTCACCGACAATCCCATTCACTTTAATGGGACGGCTGGTGATGTCACAGTGACACAACAAGGTGAGGGACGTGGCAGGCAGCAGGTGAGTGGATGCCCGCTTACAGCCGTTGCCATGATGGATCTGAAATGACAGGTGCCTTTTAAGGTTTCAGTTTCATTTTTACTGCTTGCTCTTCCTCGCATTTAGATCCTGGGGATGCAGATGCATTTCTCTTCAAACAATCATAGTTTTTAGTGTACATAGATTTGCAAAACAATGGGATAAAAGAATATTCCTGCACTTTGTTTTATGATTTATTTCATGGTTACTGTGAAATAGTGTGAATGCATTAATGCAGTGCATGTTATCTCAGCTTGCAGAGCTTGGATTCATTGAATGAGTTTACCAAAAATGTAAACATTGCAGAATATGCAGCCTCATGCTACATAACTCCGGCTCCATTTCATGCTGAATAAACTAAATTATTAATGTATCTTAAATACAAAACTATCTTTAGATAGATTTTATTCCAAAAGCAATTTATTAAAATAAATATGATACAAAATCAAAAAAATCCAATTTGAATAAAAAAACCCGATTTAAATAAAAATCCATTTTTTTTAAAATCGATTTTTATCCACCCTGCACAGTTGTTTGTCCTTATGGCTGACCATAGGAAGTTTCCCCACTGCCTGGTCCCTACAGACCTGAAGAAAAGTGTGAGGGATTCCTGGGACAGGAACCTGTGCTAGGCATTCCAGGGCCTTCCCCATGACCCCTGAGACAACCCATGCTTCACTTAACAACCGCATCAGGAAGAGCAGGAATGAGTGGTCTTAAGTGAGATGATCATGTGGGCAGTTCACATCAATCATGATGTTTGGCCATAATGGGCAGGGTCCATTGTGGTTGTTGGTCAAGGACTATCTATAGGCTTACATAACTAACATGAATAGATATTTATCAAATTTTCTTAACATTTTCTGTGGCTAAACTCTAAACCAGACCAAGGAAATTCAGTTCGCCTAGAAATGGTTAGCTCTACATATTTGTTTAATGCTTTGATTATTATAGTAATTTGTTCTATGCCTTAAAACAGGGCATAGCAGTCTGATGCTCTCCAGTATGTGGATTAGAGCTTCCATATTTCCTAGCAAATTGTGTCAGAGGGCAAGAATTTTAAGGTCAAAATCAATTGGTGAATTACCAAGTGTTGTAAACATTTAGGGGATATTACAGTCTAGAACTGTAGTTTTTCATGTCAGATTGGTTTCTGTTTCAAATGGAGGACACTGTTTAAATATATAAAGAATAATGTTTAAATTCTTAGTCTTTAGCAATAAAAAAACAGTCCTAGATTTCAGGAGAAGAGAGCATATGGAACAATATTGTAATTTTATAATTTTTTCAGGCACACCCAGGAAATGAGCATATATTTGGCAGCAGGATATAGAGCTCTTATTTCTACATTAATTGCTTATTTATTCTTGATCAATTGGCATGTTTTGTTTTAGATTAGTAGCCAGTATAAATATTAAATTTTATTACTGCTGATTACAAAAACGTGGCTAAATTAAAATGCCTTAGATAGATTGCTAACAATAGCCGTTATTTTATTGAATTAAATTGAAGCTTTTCAAAGTTGCCATTCAAAATATGCTAAACAAATTCCATAGAAATGAACAGTTGAAAGTAAATTTATATCTATATATTAGCATGACTATTAATTGAAATAGAAAGATTTACTTCAAAATTAATATGAATAAATGGTGTGTATAATATACTAATAAACTGTTATTTCATTATGGAGTCTGAAGAATTGTAATACACACACACACACACACACACACTATTAGGTTTTATTGAGCACAGTGGAAGCTATTTCTTGAAGTTTCTACTGTATAGGATTGCAAGTTGAATATTCATCTAACAAATAATAGTTGATTAGTTCTTCATCTAAGATTTTTTTTAGTTCTGGATTTGCAAATGAGGTAATCTTAGTTGACTGAGTTGTGTAAGCTAATTTATGTGTATTTTTTCCTCTCCCTTTCTCTTTATATATTTCTCATAGTCCAGTGAATTTTGTGGAGTCTTTGAAGCTATCTGAGCTTAGTTGTTTGCTTGTGATTGTTTTGTTACCAGATTAAGTAATATCTTAAATGTTTATAAGGGAGTTGGGTTTGCTTTTTGTTTATATACAGTAGCTAGCTGTATGTGTTGGTGGAGATGTTTTTTCTTCTTAGTAGTTCCTTGATTAGGCTTTTGTTCACTGCCTGCTTTTTGAACCCTGACAGCTTGATTGTTTATCTGAGATGGTAATTTCTTGATTAGGATATTGTTTACATCTTGCTTTGATTAATTCTGGTATTAATGCCTGCTTATCTGTGTGTGAATTGCTGGTGAGGAGGAGTTTTTTTGTTATTTGTTTACTTTTTAGCTTTTTTATTGTGTCTTTTGAATGGTATGTAAATATTTTTTATCTTTTTGAGCCTGTTGATGGTTGATTTGTCTGAGTGCCAAACTTTCAGGAATTGTCTAGCGTTTTGGGATTTAGCTTGGTCTCAAACTATGGTTAAGTCTGCCAATGTGTTGTGAAATTAAGGAGTTGTTTTTAAGATGTTTTTGAGGTGAGGCTTGTGCTGGTTGTGCTATAGTGTGCTGAATTGTTATGTACTTTTTGATAATTTTGTTTATGTTTATAAATTCATTAAAATTATTTATTTCTTGTCTTGCTGTTTTAGGTATAAAATTTAAACTTGTTTTATGAAATCAACTTTTCATCAAGTATACCTTTTTGATGCCTGGTATCTGAAACCTCCTAATTATGCCAGCAGCCACAGTAGATCACAGCCAAAGAATCTGTGAAGTGTGGGCTTGTAACCTGGATGAAGAGATGAAGAAAATTCGTCAGGTTATACGGAAGTTTAACTATGTTGCCATGGTAAGATATTGGGAATATCTGTATTCTTCTTAAGTTACAGAGGCAGTGTAAATGATTTGTAAAAGAAAAACGTAAAGGAAATAATGTATTTCTTCAAAAATAACAAAAGATTTCCATTTTATTTATTTATATACAGTATATCCTGCCTTTATTATTTTTACAAATAACTCAAGGCGGTGAACATATCCAACATACCTTCCTCCTATTTTCCCCACAACAACAACCTTGTGAGGTGAGTTGGGCTGAGAGTGAATGATTGACCCAAGTCACCCAGCTAAGATAGTAGACTAGAATTTACAGTCTCCCACTTTCTAGCTGGATGCCTTAATCACTAGACCAAACTGTCTCCCATTACTGATTTAATTGGAAAAAAGTTCAAAGTATTGAATAAAAATTCGTTCTGAATAGGGACATACGTGTATGTTGTTTTTACAGTTCCTAGTTATATTTGGGATGTTAATAAAATAAACTAATATTGAAATTAGATTAATAAATAAGCTTCTTTGAACAGCTCCTGAGTTTACCCATAATGTCTGAGTTAACTGCATTGTAGTAATTGGGTTCCATGTTTAGTCTTTTATATCAAGAAAAGTATACAGAACATTTAGAGCATCTAGCTATAAAAAGTGGGGAATTGTATTACTCTTCTAATAGTTTCCATTTTGTCTTTCACATTTATGCTTTTCAGGACACAGAATTTCCTGGTGTAGTTGCACGACCTATTGGAGAATTCAGAAGCAATGCGGACTATCAATACCAGCTACTCCGCTGTAATGTAGATTTACTTAAAATAATCCAGTTAGGGTTGACATTCATGAATGAGCAAGGTGAATACCCTCCAGGAACTTCAACATGGCAATTTAATTTTAAATTTAATTTAACGTAAGTTCTGGAACTTGGTTGTGTGTCTTTAAGTGTGTAGAGTATTTTAAAATTGAATAATTTAACTAGGTTTTTTTCTCTGTTTTTTCATTAAGTTCAGGAAGTGTGATAAATTATGCCTACGTAAATTTGTTCAAGTTCCTAAAACTCATATAATGTTCAATCTGAGATTTATTATTAATATTATTTTAAAAACCTCTGTTGGAAGCCTAGTTGAGATAGTTAGGGTTAAATCCTTTGTGTATGTGCTTGAACTTTAAATTGATGTCATTCACTGGTTTATGTCAAGCAATGAATGTAAGAATGCCCACATATGGAGGCCTTGTTATCCACTAGCTTTATTGTCAGGGAAATCTCTGGAATTGGCTGAGGTCAGAAGGAAATCAGCCAAAATTGGAGCCTTTGCCCAAGTTTAGCTGACTTTCTCCACATATTGCCAAAGTTTGTATTCTCCAGATTTTTTTGTTCTTTTTAAGATTCTCTGGATCATCTTAATTTGGTTTCTTATGGGTGTTAGGATTTCCAGGAAGGAGGAAACATTAAGAAATGTTCGCTTCATATGTTGATTTGTGCATCTCTGGATGAAAGTTATTGATATTAGCTGAAGTTAGCTTACATTTAGTTTATTCATTTACAATGTATATAGATCTTCCTAATTGTGTGAATGTTGATAATGGACAAGATAGTTAAAAAAAAAAAACCCGCACAGATTAAAACACAGCAAAATATCTATCCCAAGGTAAACATCCAAAGCATGATAGAATTACCCAACATATCTTCTTCTCTCAGCAAACAACATGGTACATGATGTATTTCAGTGCTATGTCATGAAAGGCTTAGTAGGTAATCAACAGCTCTTTGAATTGAACTCAGACAATTGTTACTAACTAGTCCAGCTTCAAAAGTGGATTGTTCCACTAGCAGTCTGATTGCTGCATTTTGGTCAGCTGCGGCTTTTGGGTCATCATAGCCTTTGGGCTATCTTAAAAAAAGTGTGTTGCAGAAGTCTAGTGATCGATGCCTGAGTTCCATCATCAGACTCTCCTGGTTGAGGTAGACTGCAAGTGGAGCACCAAGTGGGGTTGTAACACATATTTCTCTATGGTTTCTGCTTGCTGGCTAAGTCTAGCCCCCTTCCTCATCATGAACCAACTCCTACAGCAACTATACAGAGTAGTTGTTGTAACTGATGATACTGAAATCTCGGTGTGTGTGCGCGTGCGTGTGTGCAAGCCAGTGGTGAAATCCAATTTTTTTTACTACGTGTTCTGTGGGCATGGTATGGCTTGGTGGGCATGGCAGGGGAAGGATACTGCAAAATCTCCATTCCCACCCCACTCCAGGGGAAGATACTGCAAAATCCCTATTCCCTTTCCACTCCTGGGGGAAGGATATTGCAAAATCTCCATTCCCACCCCACTCTGGGTCCAACCAGAGGTGGCATTTTCCGGTTCTCCAAATTACTCAAAATTTTCGCTGTCAGTTCTCCAAACTGCTCAAAATTTCCACTATCAGTTCTCCAGAACCTGTCAGAACCTGCTGGATTTCACCCCTGGTGCATGCAAATATCTAATTAGCAAAACTCTTTTACAAAGATTTATTAGCAGTAATACAGGCTTTCTGCTGGTAATTCATTTAAAATTCTTTTGACAACTCTGTTAACAATAGTGATTATTTTTTAATAATGCTTCTTCTAGAGAGGACATGTATGCCCAGGATTCTATAGAGCTATTAACAACATCTGGAATCCAGTTCAAAAAACATGAGGAGGAAGGAATTGAAACTCAGTACTTCGCTGAACTTCTTATGACTTCGGGTGTTGTGCTCTGTGAAGGAGTCAAGTGGCTTTCATTTCATAGGTAACCACAACATACAGAACTATCGCTTGCCTACTTTTTTTTTTCTCCTTTTAATGAAACCTTAAGACAAAATAATTATCTCTGCTTATTAACCTGAAGTATTAGGCTGGGTGATTTCTAGATCATTTTGTAAAGACTTTGCTGCTTTAAACTTACCTCTTCAGTTTACGCTTTGGCTCCAGTGGAAACAAATAATCTATCTTAACTTGAGGTACTAAAGTGTCAGTCATGTAGAGAGGGAGCACTGTATTTTTCTATTTTGCTTTGACAGTTTTCCAGGTCAGAGGAAGGAACAGCCACATATATCTGCCCTTTGTGTACGGTTAGCAGGTAAATGGAAACTGGAATTAGTTGATTAACATCGTTGGAAAGTCCAAATTCAGTACAGCTCTGAAGACTCTTTGATAATGCTGGTAGGGAAAATATGAAACTTTTATCTTAATTGTAATGCCAAATATCGGAAAATTAAACTTTGCTGCATGAACCTATTTTCTTACCTGGTTCCAATATTCTAGTTCTTTTGTTTTTTTCAACCCCCTAGGGCCCCCCTCCCCACCAATAGAGGAATGGCCCCTTTAAAAAAATGGTTGAGACTGATGTTTGAATTATATGATTTCAGGCTTAGAGGACAGTGTAAGCATACACTCAAGATCTGAGTCATTGAGAACAATCTTGTGCTATATATTGTAAGACCCACTTCACAATTCTTAACTAGGAAAAAAGGAATATTCAGTTGATTAATTTATAAATAAGTTAATTATTACGTTAGTTGGGTTGTTGAGCATAAAGCTGCTTACTGAAGGTTGGTTTTGGCAGGGATTAATATTGGAAAGTTTTCTGGAACAGATTACTAGCAGGGATATTTACCTTAAAATGAATCATCTTGTTCAAGATAGTGTAGATGGGCATAGCCTTTCAAGCCATTCTGATGCACAGGTTTGAACATTTCAGAAATCCAGGTGCTTTGAAATGAAAAGGGTTTGTAGCAAATATTCTTAGCTTGGAGTGCCCAAAACATGTATTGTGTATCAACAAACATGTATCCCAGTGAGGGAAGAGTGCTTCAATACCATTAGTTGAGTTTAAATTCTGTTTTGAACAATTAGAAGGAATTATATTAGCTTTTAAAATGTTGATCATATAGCTGTTGATGGGGAATTGTTATTGTGTGGGATTCAAAATACTGCTAAAGAAATGATAGAAAATTTATCTCAAAGGTGCTTTTTGCTTCAAAAGGCAATTGGACTGTTTTATTCTTTTTTTCTTCTTCCTCAAGGAAAAAACAGTCCAGTTGCCTTTTGAAGAAAAAAAGCACTTTTGAGGTATCTATGACCTGGACAACTGAGAATCTTCACAGATAGAAAATATACATTGTAAAGGAGATCTGTGCTTTAGCAGTGTTGCCATTTGACTGGTTTTCAGTAAGTTTTATGAAGATGTCTTCTAAGGTCTCCACTTTGATTTTAACTGTGTGCAACTCAAAAATGGAATTTTTAGTGCTTTGTATGGTTAGGAAGTCAGTTACGTTTTTGTTCTTTAGGTTTATCAGATTAGTTAATATTTACACCCTTATCCTGGAATAACTCTGTAGCTGCTGGGCAGATCACAGCAGTATGTCTGGAGCTGGGAGAGTCCTCTTCCATAAAAGAGGAGAGATCTGTAAACTAATGGCTTTCAATCTCTGCTTGTTAATTCCACTCTAAAGCATCGTTTCCATTGGAAGCGTTTTGGAGAATAAATTTACTTATAGGAGTTGGTTCCCTCTTGTTAGATAACTCAACTTTCAGCTGTTTTGTGGGCTTGGCTCTAGCTTTGTTGCAGAAAGTGTACAATGTCTCTTCCTTCTTTTTTCCTTGATTCTCACTAAAGTCTCAGAGTTTTCTCTGTTCTTTCTATATGTTGAGGGTTGCAATAAGGCAGCACAAGGCTAGTATTTAAAACAATAGATTAAGGATAAGGCGATTAAAAAGCCTCTTTTGAAGGAGTTTTTGACAGTAGCTGCTGCCTCTTTGCTATCCTAGCACTTCCCCATATGACAATTTTAAAACACAGTACTTTTTTGTAGTTTGTTTCATTTTCTGTCTTGCTGGAAAATGGATGTGTTTTATTGCTTTCATGTAAAACCTAGATGGCAGGTAGCAGATAATAAATACATCTATTGCTGCCACTATTAGTATATGTGAATAATTGTTTTTCTAGATGGAGATGATTTGTTGTGAATAAGGTTCATTCATTTGTTGCAATTATGATGAAAGGCAACATTGTTAGATGAAATTAGGAAACCAAAAATGAAAAAAAAAATAGTTTGGGAGCTAGATGTAACAAGCTGGGTATCCATACAATAAATACAGTGGTTAGGAACAATTTATGAATCATTTAGAATTCTCTGCAATCCTGCAGTGTTGTGATGTCCACTTCTTCTAAGTACTTTGTCATCTCTTTACTGAATACATTAAACCAATACTTGTTTCCTTTGATGTAAAACTATGTAAAGCTTTGGTTTTGGTAACTTCAGCAGTTACTAAACCCAAATGAGTCAAAAGACACGGGGAGGTGATAAAAAACCAGATTCATCTCATGTCACGAAAATGGAGGAAATCTAACAGGTTCTCCCAGGATGCAGGTAGTAGATGGATTGATGCTAGTTAAATAAGGTAATACTGAATGCAATCTGGGTCCAAGTCACCTGGGGCTTTATAGATAAAGACCAAAGTTTTTGAATTATAAACGTACTGGATACCAGTGCAGAGCCATACATCAAAGTTATGTGCTCTTAGTGAACCAGACCAATTAGTAAATGGTATTTGGCATTCTGAAGTTTTCAAGTGGTCTCCAAGGCAGCTCAATGTAGAGCTTGTTGCGGTAGTAATAAGGGCACATGTTGTTATTGCTACAGGTTTTTTAAAGGTTGTTTCAGTTGAGTTACTATTTGGTTATCAGTTAAAATTAGACCTTCCATCTGTAGTCTCTGTCAACCTATTTAGGAGTAGCTGCAAGTCGAGAAGGCCCGCAGACCACAGGCCTACTCCCTAATTGAGAAACAGTGAATGAATAGGAACTATGTGTTAGTTTTAGCTTGTTTCATCCTCAGAGTTTTCCTAGTTCCTTATAATTCCCAAATATCAGTACAAGATCTCCACATTACTGTACACAATCCAGGCTGGAGGTGATATCACAGCAACTCCATACAGCTCAGGGACCTCTCCGAAAGTATTCATGAGAATGTGAAATAATAGAGAAAACTCCAAAACACACAACTAAATAGCAGCCGAGCTTCTCTGAAACCACTGACTGGAACTTCCCATTCAGGAAGGAATAGGTCCACTGTAAACCATGCCTTCAATCTGACCTTCTCAGATGATCCAGTAAGATACCATGTTTGATGGAATCAAAGATTGCTGAGAGGTCTAAGAAGACCAGAAGAAGTACATTATTCTCAGAGTCATCAGCTTTAATATCTAGGCCTGAATTCTGATAGCAAAGGAATCAGATGTTTTTCTAGGGTACTTGGAGGTTAATTTCATGCCATCCTCTCAACAATTCTTTCACAAAAAGTTTACTTGAGTAATATACCTTCATTCTGTAGTTTATTTTATTTGTTAAATTGTTCAAATTTGGAGGTCACAGGCAAACCAGCTACCTGATAAAAAGTTACTTGGTCAGTGTGAAGAACACTTGCACTTCATTATTGTGTAAGAAAGTTATGCCCAAAGACTATAAGTTTTGATTTTTCCAAATGTTATAATTAATTGCCAATAATAGTTAATGGTTAAAGTGTGGTGTTGGGATTTTTTTTGGGGGGTGGGGTGGGGAGAATATTGCTCTAAAGAAGACAACAGCCCATGTAAACCAGTTTGTGTGCTGGACACCAAATATCAGAGTAATCAGCTCTGTGTAGGAAGGACAGTCAGGTTTCTGTCACCAATTTTGTCTCAAAAACATTACCATCCTTCAAGAGCTGAAAAAAAAATTGTAAAAGGATTGAATAAAAATGGAGGTAAAACTCAGCCCTGTTGGACGCTCCTTATTTTTGTAGTGAAAGTATCTATCAGATGGTATGTTAGGAGTCACTTATATTTGCACATTCATGTGTAATTCTTATTGTCATCCCTTCAAGATAAACCAGATCGGGAAAAATACTTAACAGAAAAAAACATTACTTTATTAAGATAGGTTGCAGTAACAGAATTTTTTGAGTGTGATTGTACTTCTCCTGAGTTTCTTCTTAGATTCCTTCTCAGGACATAAAGAGTACTTATCTTTGTTTACATAACAGTTTTTAAATATTTGCTTCAAGGCTGTGGTCCTGTCTCTATATTACTTTATTTTATTTATTTTTATTTTATTTTGAATTTGTATCCCGCCCTTCTCCCTGAGGACTCAGAGCGGTGAACAGCCAAGTAAAAACATCAAGTACAAATATTAAAATACAGTTAAAATATACATATATAAATTTGGCCCCATTAATTAAAAACAATAAACAAAACACTTAAAAACACTTAAAAAATTAGGCCAGCCCGGCTTGCTGGAAAAGGAAGGTTTTAAGGGCACGGCGGAAGGCACTGAGGTCTTGGATTCTCCTTATCTCTGGAGGCAATTGATTCCAGAGGGTAGGTGCCCCCACAGAGAAGGCCCTCCCCCTGGGAGTCACCAGCCTGCACTGTTTGGCTGATGGCACCCCGAGGAGGCCCTCTCTGTGGGAGCGCACGGGTCGATGGGAGATCGTCGGTGGCAGCAGGCGGTCTCGAAGATAGCTAGGCCCTATGCCATGGAGCGCTTTAAAGGTGATAACCAACACCTTGAAGCGCACCCGGAAGACCACTGGGAGCCAGTGCAGCTCGCGCAGGAGCGGTGTTACATGGGAGCGCCAGGCTGCTCCCATCACTACCCGCGCTGCTGCATTCTGGACCAGTTGGAGCCTCCGGGTGCTCCTCAAGGGGAGCCCCATGTAGAGAGCGTTACAGTAGTCAAGGCGAGAGGTGACGAGGGCATGAGTGACTGTGCACAGGGAATCCCGATCAAGAAAGGGCCGCAACTGGCGGATCAGGCGAACCTGACAAAAGGTCCCCCTGGTTACAGCCGTCAGATGTTCCTCCAAAGACAGCTGCCTATCCAGGAGGACTCCCAGCAGTACTAAATCCAGCAGTCTGCTATAGTTCAGAACTTTCAGTTTGAGCTGTCACTTATTTCAGTCAATAGAACCAAAAACTGAAGGAAGGTCTTCAAATGCCACATACAATTTCTTTGCAATGTTGATATGTTTGTGTATCAAATAGGGCAATACAAAGCAGTGATCTAAGGTAGAATAACTGGGTCAAACTGTTCCTCAACAAGAATATTGATACCAGCAACTCAATCTTCCAGTTTGTGCAGGACATGTTTGTCATAGGGCTAGGTTATGAGGTCAGTGAGATTAATTGCCCCGTAATTAGCTGGAGTGTCTTAGTTACCTTTCTTAAAGAGTGGAATACAGGTAGTCCTCAACTTACGACCACATTGGAGCCCAAAATTTCTGTTAAGTGAGACATTTGTTAAGTGAATTTTGCCCCATTTTATGGCTTTTCTTGCCACAGTTGTTAAGCGAATTACTGCAGTTGATAAATTAGCAATCTGGTTGTTAAGTGAATCTGGTTTCCCCATTGACTTTGCTTGTCAGAAGGTCACAAAAAGCGATCAATGACCTTGGAACACAGTAATGGTCATAAATATGAACCAGTTGCCAAGCATCTGAATTTTGATCACGTGACTATTAGAATACTGCAAAGGTCGTAACTGTGAAAAACCATCATAAGTCACTTTTCAGTGCTGTTGTAACTTTGAATGATCACTAAATGAATTGTTCTAAGTGAAGGATTACCTGTAATAATGCTTAAATTCCAGCCTTTGGGCCAATGATCTGTGAAATTTATAAGATTGAGAATCTAACTAAGGATAGGATCTCGTTATTTTGGATTATCTTTAAATAAGTCCCTAGGAAGGTAATCTTCACCTGGAGGTTTGTTGGAGGTGAAGGCTTTATCAATGGTTAGACCTTTTTTTCTAGGTGACTGGAAGCTATGACTCTGTATTGCTCAAGCTCTAAGATTGCATTGGTATTAGCACAGTCATGTAAGGAAGCATGTAAGAAGTGCAGATATTGCTCCCTCTTTGACTTGGATTCCCTTGTATTTGGGATGCATGGGTGAGTAGATGGGATTTCTCTGTAGATAAACTACTATTTACTAATCTCCAGAAAGTCAACATGTCCTTAGTTTGTAGCAAACTGTATGTTACACCAGAGGAACGCCTGGTATAATGATTTTTTCTTTATTAGAGATTTTTAGTTTTCTTTTTTTTAAATGAGCTATGATATGCTAAGCAATTTCTACTTTTTAATATTAGAATAAGTAGTTCAATGCTTTATATCGAAGTAGGATTACTGATTTGAAAGTTACTCAGTTTGCAGGAATTTTTAGTCACCCCTGTTTTCAAGCATTCTGCTATTTGGAGACGGAGGCAGATAAATAATAGAAATTATTTATTTTTACTTGCTGGTTACAGTCAAAGTTCTTAACATTGTTTTAGTGATTTTTCATATAAAGATTACTTATTCACTTTTGAAGATTAAGTGTAGAAGTTAATGTAAGCATTATTAAGAACCATTAAATATATGTTTATTTTAATGACAATTCTGACATGTCCTTAGAAGAGATATATCAGAGCAAATGCATTTTGCAACTGCATACATTACTATCAATTCCAGATGACTACATTTTACAATCTTTCTAGGTAGCTGTCTACAACAGTCTGAATCCTCTTTAGGATATAGAAATCTACTATTGACTTTTAATCACTAGCAAGAAATATACTGTATTATCTTTGTGTACTATGTAGGATATCGCTTCGTGGTTTTTTTTTTTTTAAATGCCCATAAAAGCCTTGTCTGTGTTTTGTCAAGTTAAATGAAACAATCATCTGGTAGAGGTACACTTTCGTATGTTAAGTTTTTCTCTATATTTGTAACTTTGCTGTGAATCATATTTACAAATACTGCTTTATGAAATGTTTCTTTAAACAATTGATATTGAATTAAAATAGATATTTGACAGTTATTATGTATGTGGAGATGATCCCACTTTATGTAGAAAATATTATGTATAAGAGATACTTACTAAGCAACTTAATTTTGGATTTGGATAGCAAATAGAAATTATGATTTGCCAATTTGGAGATAATGATAAATGAAGATTTTCTGTAAACCCAAATTCTTCATGCAGTAGGAATAGAATTAATGCATAGATTTGGAGTTCTTTCTAGGCTCATGCAATATTTATGCACCAGATTTTTCTATAACTTTAGAATTATATTCAAATCAATCCATAATATATACAAAATTCTACTTATAAAATAGTAGATTGCCATGATTTTAATGTTACAAGGAATGCATGTGAAGAGAAAGCATATATAAAATGGTTGATAAATTTCTGTTGATGATCTGGAATGTTTTGCCTTCCTAATCTTAAGTCTATTTATTGCTGTTTATGATTACTTTGCAGTGGCTATGACTTTGGATATCTGATCAAGATCTTGACAAATTCCAATTTACCAGAAGAAGAGCTAGACTTCTTTGAAATACTGAGACTATTTTTCCCTGTCATTTATGATGTGAAGTACCTCATGAAGAGTTGCAAAAATCTCAAGGTAATTCCTACTGCTATATTTAGAGTTTTTATAGGGAAAGAATATACAAATGAATTTTGTCTGTTTTACTTATGGGCAGTTATAAAAGTTACATTTAGAACCTGTTCTCATAGAGAAACCCATGTAATGGGAACCTCTTGAAAAAGAGATGCCTGTGAGAAGGATATTAATGTATCCCAGGATTTTTTAATAAAACTAATAGTTATGTGAATCCAATAACTAAGCCATAGGGTTTGTATACATTGAGAAAGAAATCATAGAACCAGCTTCTGGTCTATAAACATATACTGTAGACCCATGCATTCAGACTTATGAGACACTCTTGAGATGGCTATAATTTAAGCATGAAATCAATTCACACAACAGCTGTATGGAAATATCAGTGATGCAGCCACTAGCAAGGTCTCATTTCTGCTCTTGCGTTCTCCTAGATACCAGCAGAGGCGAATAAAAGGTTGCAGCTCTTTGTTATTTTTTATGACAAGATGAAGCTAAACAGCACTGATGAGAGAGAAAAAGATGAGAAAAGATGATAATAGCAGTTGTTAGGTCCAAGAGAAATGAATCATGCAGCAGCCTTTTCATCTCAAGGTTTTATCCAATGCTCTTTCATTAATTAAGTTTCATTTCTTTAGCAATTCTACAGTTGAGTAAGCATATAGTTTATCAACTTGTCAATTAACATTGTACAATCAGAAGTACTGAACATATTAAAACATAGAGGACAGATATAATCCCAAATCCTTCACCTATTTCTCTGTACAGAAGTCAGTTGGGCTACAAACTGGCTTGTTCTGTTAGCTTGGCATCTAGAGGCAAGGCATCTGAAGGACAAGTACATGGAGGCATGAAGGACAAACACCCAAAAGTATTATGATTGTTGCTGTGGTTTTTACAAACATAAGGAAAGAAAAAAATCCTGCATGCCAACTGCTGTTGAGATGACTTGAAGCAAAGGCTGGTTTAATATAAAAAGAATCAACATGTTTTTGTAAGCAAAGAAGTCAGAGATAAATTGATTTTTGACTATGACGTAGCTAAATCCTGGTTTTACAAATAACTGGTCACCAGTGATAATATTGATGAGCCAGATGTGAACATTATTCAGTGAATCTATAGTTAGTGCTATGTGTTGTTTGGAGACAGTGGATATTACTTTAAAAAAATCTAAACATTTTCAGTAAGGCAAGGCTTGTGGGATAGGTTCATAAACCAGCCATATCTATTGCATGGAATTATCATTGGAGAAGAAGATGAATAGACAAATCAGAATATTCGCATTTCTGCTTTTTCATACTTTGAATGTCACTTGTCATTTTGATTTCCATGATTATTCTTATTAAATACATTGAAAGATCATGTTTTAAATATAGTTTTATAATGAAACCTGGGAGTCTACCTGTGTTAAAAGGTTAAATATTGTAAATACTCAAAACTGTCTTCAGATTATCCTTTTTTCTGATGAATATTTTGATCTAGTTTTTTCCTGCAAAATAAATTAATAGTTGGCTATCAAGTAACTTCATTATATCTTGTCACCTTTTAAATTGCTTGTGAAAATTGTGAAAAGGTAACTTAAGGAAGCTTAGTTCTAGGGAAAAAGATGCAAATTATTAGCAAGCTGGAGTAAGTGCTAAATTTAGTTTAGTTTTTATTTACTGCCTTTTTATGTCCTGCCTTTCATTTTTATTTTTATTATTATTCACAATAGCAATAACATTTAGACTTATATACCGGTTCACAATGCTTTCCAGCCCTCTCTGAGCGGTTTATAGAGTCAGCATATTGCCCCCAACAATCTGGATCCTCATTTTACCGACCTCAGAAGGATGGAAGGCTGAGCCTGGTGAGATTTGAATTGTCAAATTGCAGGTGGCTGGCAGGCAGCAGAAGGAGTCTGCAGTACTGCATTCTAATAACTTTGCCACCTCAGCATTCATAACTTCCTCCATTTTTCACCCACAACTTTGAGCAAGTCAATCTTTCCCAGCTGGAATTCATCCGGTAAGATGAGGGTGGATATATACCTAGATCTATTTGGTGCCCTAGAGTTCCAAACCTCTTGAATTCTGTCTCCTCTTCAGCCCACCACACACATACAGTTTCTTCTTCTCTGTTCCACCTTTATTTATCCTTTATTCTGTGTTCTTCTGTTTCAATTTAAAACTGTCTTAATTCCCATCGTTGCTATTCAAACATGGTGGAAATACATGAGGTAATGAACGTATGTGTAATAAAAGAGGGCAACATTATATATGTAAGAATTATTCATTGGTAAAGTCACCTAAATACTCTTATTGTTTAGTTTAAGGATTGAAAATATTTTTTTAAAAAAACCTTCGTTTGCCTTGCTCATTTTTACTCATCCTTCAAAATGTTTTGACCAGGGTGGATAAAAATCAATGATTTTTTTTAAAATCATCAGATTTTTTTGATTTAAATCGAATTTTTTTGATTTTTATCGAATTTATTTTAATAAAAAACTTTTGGGGTAAAAATCTATCGTAAGTAGTTTTCTATTTAAGATACATAAATAATTTAGTTTATTCAGCATGAAATGGAGCTTAGTTATGTAGCATGAGGCTGTATATTCTGCAACACTGGGACTATCGGTGAGTCAACAGTGGGTCAAAGGAATAGCAGAGATCACAGTTGCTCTTTAAAAATTATGATTTAAATCGAGTTGATTTAAATCAAGCCTTTTTACTAGTGATTTAAATCATGATTTAAATTGTGATTTAAATCAACTTGATTTAAATCAAATCCACCCTGGTTTTGACAGTTCCCATCATAAAAAAATTCACACACCATGTGTTTATTTTTGAACCATATACAGTAGCACATGATCTAAATATATTTTGAAAAAGTTAGTAGATTTTTTTCTTTTTTTAAGGAGAAATACGAAGCAGTTCTCTGTTAACAGCTCATATGGCAATTTGAAATTCCTGCTATGCAAAGGGAGTTTCTCAAGTTGGCCACACCAAATATAAAAGGTTTAAGCAGAAGACCAGGGACTTCTAACAGTTTTGCCCAGTGTTTACATACAGAGCTCATACTGGATAGTAGATTATTTGAACTTTTATAATAAGCTACAGTTATAAAGGAAGAAGGCGCTGAGGAAAGTTTATCTGGCTTAATTTTATTGTGCCTATACTAAACTAGACTATGACAGTCATACAACATGAAGATTAGACTGTCATAGCATAAACCTTTCTTAGTGTAAGGTATTAATTAATACTGTATTTCTATTCACTGGATTATTTCAGTTAATCAGTTTGATTAGGGGTCCTTTTTTAAAGGGATTAGCTTGAATGAATAATGAATAATATTATTAATTGCTTGAAATAGACAGCAGAATATATGGCATCCTTACCTCTTCCAAGTGAGAAACATGCATATGCTCTATAATCAGTGAAAGGCCATCTTTTCACAGGTTCCTTTTCCAGGGTTTTTTAAGAGCTTGAGAAATTTATTTTTCACCAACACTGCCTCCCTCAGGATTTCGCCCTCTAATGTTTCAACAATCCAAAACTCAGCCACACTTCTGCAAGCAGGAGTATAAGTTGCAGATGCTTGTACACATTTAGCATGAAATTGAAAAATCAGGAATATTTGGAACCATCAAGTTCCAAAGTTGTTTTGATAACATTTAAACCATCCAGAGTCGTTTGACAGCGAGATGGGTGGAATATAAATTCAAATAAATAAATATCCACTGCCATGTCCACACTTTACAGCACTTCATATCAAAATAAGTGCTGCTCTTAGCTATTACAGTTTCTCATCCTTACATACAGTTGTGCATATTTTTTAACATTTGATTTTTTTCCTTATCTCCTGTCTTGATGAACAACTGTAAGCAAAGTGGGAAGATGGATGGGATTTTGGTTTGAAAATACTTTTTGTATACAGGGAGTCCTCAACTTATAACAGTTTGTTTAGTGACAGTTCAAAATTACAACAGAACTGAAAAAAGTGCCTTTCCCTGGTGGAAAGGCTTGAATGATAATAAACAAAAGGTCTGAAGACCTTTGCTGTCATAATTTGCTATAATGTTAAAGAACATGTGACTGGGACTATGATTTAAACTAAAAGTGTAGATCTTCAAATCATTTGCTCATATAGGTGAATAGTGGAAAGTAATGCTATTGCCTGCTGTCATATTTTCAACTATTCTAATTATGCTGCAATCTTCCTTTTCAGGGTGGATTACAAGAAGTTGCTGAGCAGTTAGAGTTGGAAAGGATAGGTCCTCAGCATCAAGCAGGATCTGATTCTCTACTAACAGGCATGGCCTTCTTCAAAATGAGAGAGGTAGATGGATATATACTCTGTGTGTGTGTGAATGTATGATAATATTGATAGTGCTGAAGGAGGGGACTTAGGACGGGTCGTAGTTACAGCTGTCATAGCAGTCATGTGATTGCAATTTGGGTATTTGGCAACTGCTTGCAATTATGATATCACAGTGTCTCACACTGCTGACTTCTGATAAGTAAAATCAATGGGGAAACTGGCAGGAGGTTGCAAATGGTGATCATGTGACTATGAGATGCTTCAGTTGTGTGAGATTTGCCTTATGACAGCAACTAGAACTTGATGCATCTGTCTGCCTAATCAGCAAGGTCAGGTAATAATTGCATTTTACAACCACATTGCTCAGTACTGTTGTTAGTCCCAATTACCATTATTGTTGACTACCTGTATTTTGATTAAATTATTAGATTAATAGTAATGGCAAATTAAATTATAACTTAATTGTGATTTAATTAACATTATAATTAATAGTAAATTAAATTAGGCCATACTAGATCCATATTTACTTTCAAGGTCAACTTGAAGTGATGCTTCTAAACTTTAAAGCCTTATTGGGCTTAGTATTACATTGCTTCATAGCAGACTATTTGAAGATTAAACTTGATGACAAAGAGAATTCTCTTCTCTTTGAGAAGATGAGGATGAACGTGAGCATGAGAAGCAGTGACTATTCTGAGATAGTTACAGTTGAGCGATCACTGAAGAATCGTGCCACTAAGTGCTTTCATAGAAACACTGACGTTTTATTCTAGTAGGCTTTTCATTCATAAAGCCTATTTTGCTTTTGACAGTTCTAATTTGTAAGATCTTTATATTTTTCTGTTTTTGGTTTTGTGTTCAGCTAAATGACATTCTATCTTTGATTGATCTTGAAAAGCTAAGCAAGAGATAACTTAATTAGTAGGAGAGATACCAAAATATAGCATCTAAGCTGCTGTTGGCAAGACAGAGAAGTTTTAAGTTTTAAAAAGAACCTTGAAAGAAAACAATGACAAGCAATTTGTATTGTTGCAAGAAAGCCATACAGATGTGTCTTTGCCTCTTTTCCTCCTTTTGTTTTTTGTTTCATATGCATTATGTTACTATTGTTAAGATCTGGTTTATGTGGCAGGGAAATTATTGTGACTTATCCTTTTCTCGATACCCTTCAAGAAATATAAACTGTGGGAGATATATTTTATTTAAATTTTATATTTGATCTGAGAATGATATTTTTTGATACAGGTAGTAGTGCCTCCAAAAATAGGAGAATAATAATAATAATTTGTCCTTTAAATTTTCTTTAGATGTTCTTTGAAGATCACATTGATGATGCCAAGTACTGTGGTCATTTGTATGGTCTTGGTTCTGGTTCATCTTATGTACAGAATGGAACAGGAAATGCATATGAAGAAGAAGCCAACAAACAATCATGACATGAAATGAGAAGGCACTTTTTCTAAGCTCGATATGTGGTTGTACATAGGTTTTATCTCTGGTTGAATTCCTTGGACAATAAGGCGTTCTTTTCCTCTTTATCAGCACACTTTTCTCTTGCCTTTGTATGTACTAAACCTGACTGTTCCTGTTCCAATCCTTTGACCTTGATATATAGGCATTTCTGGATTAAATGTTGCCATGTACCTTGCCCATCTGTACAGAAGCACGTGTAGGAACAGTGTGGTAGATAGAAGAGGAAAGCTAAAATGATAATGACATTTCTAGTAAACTTTAATTGGCCTTTGTATTGGTTTATTATCCCTGCCCTTTCCCCTCAAACCTGGGCAAGCGCTGATTGTAATCAATTTCCCCATTGGATGTTAATCCCTTCCGATGTACAGGGGTTTTAGTTATTCATAATTGTGGACCATCACATTTGCACTTTAGAAGAGTGACTCTGAGTCAGATCCTCTGTTTTATCTGAAGTTCTGAATATTCTTCCCTGACATAGAAAAAGGGTTCATCTGCCAGTATTGCTTCTTCCAGGTCTCAAATACATTGAACAAAGCCACATTCATTGCCTAATCTCTCTTCAAATTTACAGGTATCTTAGCAGCTACTATAAAACTGGTGTTTCGTCTTCCAAAGATTCCTGCCAGCTCTCTGATAGAAGCAACTAGGTGGAATCATGAGGAATCTCTCAAGGATACTTTCTTGAATTGAGAGTCTCTTTCATGGGGCCTAAATTTGCTGGGCAGTTTTTATGAGGTGTGATTAGGAGAACTTTGTGTATTCTCCTCCATTTAAAGCAGCTCTATAGCAGCCGCCTTCTCTATGTTGCAACCTTCAGGTTTATTGGACTATAACTTCTAAAACGTGTGGAATGTATAGAAGTTAATAGCCAAATATTTAAAGGGCACCGACTTGGGGTGGAATTGGGGTGCTGCTTTGCAGCCTTATGGAAGGTATGTGTATCCTTTTATGCGTTTGTGTCTGAAAGGAATAATTGTAAGATGGAATGCTGCAGTTAAAATAGCAATTTAAAATTGTAATCCATTTCCTTATTCCCGTTCCAATGAGTTATGGCCTAAATACTTTTCTATTTTAAAATATTAATTTATTGTCTACATAAATGGATGAACACAATATAAGTAAGAGATCCAAAGATAAATAGGAAGATATGTCCTTTTTGGGAGCTGCAACACAAGACATTTGTTGTCAAACAACAAATTTATTTGTACCTAATAAAGTTACCTAAGGCTTCTAAGGCTAGTTTATTTTTTGAGTCTATCTTAGCAGTATATTTTATAGGTGTTTTACTAAAGAACCACAAAGTACTTTCCTGACCATGCAGAGCAGGCTCATAAAAAGCAATTGTGAAGGAAGACTTTTATTAGTATGGAATAGCTAAATCTTATCCTGAAATGATAGAGTGCTGATGGCAGCATTTGGCATGTCATCTACACTGAAAATCAATGGGAGTAAATCTTAATGTACAGCAAATTGATATACCTACCATGTACTTTAATATGTTTCCCTTTATCCTCCTAAAGTTACAATAATGTAACTGGGCAGTCCTTTTTCTTTTAAGGAAAAATTACAAAGACATTTGCATAAGAGGGTATTTGTTTTTAAAGCTTTTGTAAATAAAGGCTTCAATAATGTTTTCTTACATATTTAAGAGACTTGTGGTTTTGATTTGAAACCCCACTGGCATGTCTGTGTATCTGTCTAGCCTCTTACTTCTTTGTCATCTTAATTCAGTGTGGTCTGTTAGTCATACTTTGGCTGCTCCAAGTATCATCACTATAGTCACTTTAGAGTGCTCAAAATGTGGTTGAATATAGCAAGAGCAAATCTTTCGATTTCCATGTTTGTTAAGAACTGGCTATATAATGTGTTTGCTGCTCATCAGTGAAGTGGGAAGGACCTGAAAGTCAAATGTTGTGCTCAGGTATAATTTCTCATTCAATAGCAATAACCTGCCTTACTAAGAAGCTTACTTGAATTTATGCAGTCCAGCAAGTAGGTGAGAAGGTTAACATGCCATCAGATATCTTTAAAGACTAAATATTGTTCTTCATGTACCTTGTTGGGAGCTACAGACCCTAATAACTGCTGCTTGTGATTTGCCAAGTGGATAAAAACTCAACTATGCTGTAAACATAGCAGTTCTGTAGTTAGTATTTCTGCTGCTGGGAAATTTGTATATTTAAGTTCAAGTAATAACTGGACTATTTTATACCAAGTTGACAATAGATTGTGCCTTGATGAAGTACTAATCATAAATGCCTCTTGTCCATCACTGTTGAAAAAAACTCACTGAATTCCACACAAATCAATATCTGAACTATACTATATTGGATTTATTTTATCATGAGGTAAATAATAGTGGATTTTTTTCACTGACCATACCTTTTATGATGTTGGCAATGGAATTATTTACTGATGTTTTGTACAAAAGCAAGGAGAAAATGAAATAAACTCATAATTCATACAATGGAACTTAGCTGCAAATATTTCACAAGGCTGTTGAATAAAATGAGAAGTAAGCTGCTTCAAAGAGCATCCTTCAGTTGTCATCCCTTTCAGGAACCGTAATGAGTTAAAATAGCTTCTTATTGCTCTTATAAGAACTTTCATTTATAGAGGGCTGAGGCTTTTTTTGTTTATACATTGTGAGATTGTCATACCTCCATTCCTTATGAGCCACAGTGGGACTCTTTCAGATTAAAGGGGGTATTTTAAAGTGTTCACTACAAGGACAGATCTGAAAATGAGCATGTTGGTTGATTGAGGTTGAATCCTACTCTTTTTGTGTCAGTCTTATTGTTCCTTCATAATCTGAAACAGTACAATTTAGACGTGTGTTGTTTGCATAATGGACATAATGTGGTAAACTGCAAAGCATGAATTTACAAGCTTGCAACTTCTGATTCTGCTGCTTTTCTCAAAATGCTGATTCAATTTTGGCCAAGGGCTGTATTAACCTTTCCTTTGGAAGCTCTAATGTGGTATGTCATGGCTCCAACTTTTACTTCCAATTATGTTACATTGAGATTTACTCTGGGATGAGTCATAGCCTTTGTGTTCTGTAATATATATAAACTTCCTCGCTTCTCTATTTGAATACTTTTTGCTCTGGGATTAAAGTGGGTTAGATTCTGCAGTGGGTCTTTCAGTTATTGCTCCCCTTAAGTTTCATGTGCTGAGAAAATTTGTAGATGTTTCACTGGCTGTATAGCCTCTAAGCCAGCAGAACAGCTGACTTAACATAAGTCAACTAAACCAATGCTTTGTTGCTCATGCACTTTTCGCATTTAAACCATGACTGGTTTGCTTGAAAGAGTTTAATTTTTTCCCAAAAGTTAACATAATACAAAAATATGCAGTATGTTTTTGCTGAATACAAAAGAAAGCAAAAGAGAAGCACTTCTACACTTTGTAAGACCTGCACTTTTATCTACAATCTGGCATTAGGCCAATACTTGAGAATATTTTCAGTATGGGAATGTTAGATTTAAAAATAGTTATATGGAATTGAAAATTTGCCATTATTAAACAAAATAGGAAAGCATACATAAACATAAAAGCCATGAAGGGCATAAATAACAGAACAGTTAAATCTATGTCTTTGAACGCCTATTCCTTGTAGATGAAATTGGTCTAATCCAGGGGTCTGCAACCTTAAACACTCAAAGAGCCATTTGGACCCGTTTCCCACAAAAAACACCAGGAGCCACAAAACCTGGGCGGGCACTCCCCTGTCACATGACCCCCCCCCAGCCACACCTACCCAGGTTTTATGGCTCCCGGTGTTTTCTGTGGGAAATGGGTCTCTTTCCCCCCCCCCTTTCATTTGTTTTTCTCTTTCCTCTCCCTCCTTTTTCTTTCTCTTTCTTCCTTTCTCTCCTTCCACCTCTCATTTGTTTCCCTTTCCCCCCCATTTCTCTTTTTCCTCTTTCTCTCCCTACATCATTTTCTCATTTTTTACTCCCCTTCTCTCTCCCATTTCTCTTTATCTCCCTCTCATTTGCTTTTCTTTTTCCACTCCCTCTCCCCCTTCTCTCGTTTCTCTTTCCTCTCTTCCTCCATCATTTTCTCATTTCCCTTTTTTCTCCCCTTTTTTCTTTCTCGTCTCTCTTGTGTGCTTGCACACAAGCAGGATACCCTCCTGAGCCGGGATCATGGTGACTCCTCCTCCTGCAGCCGCCACTGCACACTCAGGTGAGTAGCCGGCCTTGCTGTGCAGGACAGCCGGAACTCTTCCCTCCCTGCATCCAACCACGGCAGTTGCTTCTCCACGTTCCCCTCCTTCCTGAGCTGGCACAAAGGGGACCGCGGCTGGTGCTGAGCTGCTCACGAAGGACACAGAATCACAAAAAGGGGCCAATTGCAGGCAGTGCGGAGAAAACGCTAGGGGTGGTTTACCTGTGCAGCTCTGTGAAGAGGCTCGTACCTTCTCAGGACGGAGAGCAGGTTGCATGACCGGGTCGGCGGGGAGCCGCATACAGCTCTGGAGCCGCAAGTTACCGACAGCCAGTCTAATCAGAGTACCCTGAGGATTTTAAACTGCTAAAATTTGCAGCAGTGATTACAGTAATTGTCTCCACATACAGTATGTGTTACATAATTGAACTTTATTTGATAGTCATGTAAAATAATGCACTATAATAATATAGTAATTAGGTCACTAAAGTTAGCTTAGTGTGCAGCAAATGGACATTTTCTTGTTTTCATCAACTTTCTGCATTGGACTTGATGTTTAGGATGCACAAAACTGGGCTTGTTTAGGTGTCCAAAAGAATTAAAAAATGAGTCATACTCTTCCATTTCAAGGCTAATCTGGTATTTGTGACAAGGTTTTCTTCATACAGCACTACATTAGGCACACTACTAATAAAAAGTATTTAATCCCCTTAGATTTTGGAGAGATGTTTCACTCTTTATCCCTTCCTGCACTGTTTGAATGTCTTTTTTGTGCACATTTTTTGAGATGATAACTACTGTTTCTGGATTAACAACAAAACGATGGTCTTGACAGTCATAACAAGCATGAGAATTGGGGTGTACAAACATCCCACCATGGAAGATTCCATCCCTAGAGGGTTCCAGAAATCATTTGATTTTAGAAAAGTGTTCAATCTTGAATGAAACAGGCTGGTTCCATTTAAAGAAGCTGGCTTCTGTTTTGCAAACTCAAGGTGGAATTCTACCTGCCTTACTCTATGAGCAACGTATGAATTTTTTAAAAACTACGACTTCAAAACCTATGCAAAACTGGAATATTCCATGTTGATTCCAACTGTGTTCTGTTCTTTTGCTTTTAAATGGTATAGCATGTCTGATAATTATGCAGAAAGACAAAACTGAAGAATGTTGCTGTTATAGTATGATTACTAAATCCTGATACCTATAGGAATACATATTTTCCTCAAAAATAAAATTTACTCAAGCATTCTGAGTTCTTCTGGATAAAGTATCATTTACAGGTGAAATAATAACATGGATATCAAGTCTTTGCAAAAATTTATCATGTTCCAGTGACTAATGAAATATGCCTTTAGAAAAATACTTTGGGCTAGTGGATAGATCTTTAATGCCCATAATTTACTTTCAAACAAATTCCTATTTCAGATAATTGAAAACCTATTTGGGAATGATAATTGATTTTTTCCTGAAAATAAGGGAAAATTAATATTTTAAGAAATTAAAATATAGTATATTGCTATGTTCATGTACATGTTCCAATGGACATACAACTTGAGGTGAATTGCCTATTAGATGTATACAATGTGTTTATATTTTTATATATGCTTTGCAATTTTCCAAATTCTAGCTTAACACAGCTTTTATTGTTCAATCTGTTTATATGAGAAAGCTACTAGGTGGTATCTATAACTGATCTTGTATAGACTGGTGTGATTTGTTATAGGAATATGGTAGCAGTTTGCATTTTTAGAGATGACAGATTTTTTTTCCAACTAGCATTGGCCACTAACAAATCCATTTCACAAAGGTAATTGCTTAGTTTTGTCTGTGTTCAGTTAACTAAAGTCTACATTTATGGATTTTAATTCATTTGTACAACAGTGCACAGTGAGTCCTTTTAGAAATCAGACAAAATTATGATTAAAACATTATTTTCAGTTGATAGTATTGTCATCTAGCTGCAGTTTTGCTGTGGAAATTTCATACTTGCTATGGTTTCACCAAAACATACTGTTGATAATTAACAATATTCAGAGTTTGAATACTGATATGAAAGGTGCAGGAAGAGTTAAGGAAAATGCTGTTGGAACATAATTATTTGTTCAGGTAGTCCTTGACTTAGAAACGTAATGTAACCTGCCTACCATGGTCGTAAGTTGTAATAGCTACAAAATGGATCAATCATTTATCAACCCAATTTTACAACCCTTTTTCTGGCAGTCATTAAATGAACACAGTGCTTGTGGAGCAAATACCACAGTTGTTAAGTGAGCCAATAGTTCATTATGGGTGTGGTTTTCAGCAAAATTGCTGTAAAATGTCATGTGACCATGGCATGCTGCACATGGCCATACATGCGGCCTGGTTGCCGAGTGCCCAAAGCAGTCGTGACTGCAGACCCAGGGGGCAACCATTGGAACTTTGAGTTACACTCACTGTAACTTTGAATAGCTGCTAAACAACCAGTCGTAAGTCGAGTACCTCTACCATTTTTATAGCAGCTGGATTTTTACTATCAATTATTCTGAATTCCAGTTAGTAGGATGGGATAGTTTTTCAAGTGCAGAAGAAATGTTTAAACTCTGATGAAATAACACTGAAGAACTCAAATCAATTTGTTCAGATTTTGCTATAATTAAATATTTTGCTTTCTACATTTAGAAAAAAATTATGAAAAACATAGAATAAGTCTACCAATGTGTATACGTTTCCTGTAGGCATTTAAAAAGTTCCTTGCTCAATATGGCAATACATTTCTAACACAAATACTTAAGATTCTTTCTGCTGTATTCAGCTTGTATAGAAGCATTTCTTTTTTCTCTTGCATGGAGGCAAGGCCTGCATCATTTAAGGTATTTTTCCCCTTCCTGAACTTACGTTCATCCCAAATCACAATATACCCACTTACCCATTACCAAGTTTGTTAGTGCACATGTAACACAGGAATCAGATAAAATTATAGTGGTAATCCTAAAACAAGTGAAACACAATGTTAGAAAATGACAAGGCTCTTCCCTGGCACACATACAAACTCACAAAGATTGCCCACCTTAGGAATAAAGCAATCAAGCAAAAAACATGTAATTGATTACAATTAAATGTCTTTAATCAGGCAAGAACCCTAGTTTTCAGTTCATCAAGGTTGTGGTTTCCCAAATGCAAGTGTATAGCAGATAATGCACAGAATTCTTTTTCCCAAACAGTTACAACGGGAATTTGAACAAGGCTGATTAGAATACCATTTTGCAGAGATGCCTCTTTTTTTTCTTTATTGTCATTGCTATCTCACTATTCACCCCAATCCCAAACCTTTTATTGGAAGTCTCCTGCTTGTAAAGGTCAACGGAATTTACTTCCAGAGCAAAATAATGGGTGTAATGTGAAAAAACAATTTGAATGAATACATTCTATGCTCAATGTATCAAAAGAAGGTACATTATTTTAAAGTCCCATATAAACTCCTCTCTAGTTTACATGGCTCTTATCACCTGAATAAGTTCAAGTCTTCCTTCCTCTCAAAATTTTGACATTGGACAGCTGACAGTCCGTTTTCATAAAGACATGCTGAGAGAGACATGTCCCATTATTTTGAATTTTATTGAAAAATACTGTAAGGTGTTATATCTAACAAGTGTATGAGAACTGAATTGCAACTTTTCTCCTTTAATTTACACATAGTTTAAAGACAACCCAACAGCAAAACATTTCACAATGTACAGTATATGATGATTAAGCAGTATAAGGAGTATTCTCATTTTATTCTCATCACTTCCATATCTAAATATAAATAATTAGAACACTGCTATGAAAATGAATTGTCAATGCTAATATATGTTGTGTAAAACTGTAAACTAGAAGTACACAACCTTTTCAAATATCCCAAATTTTATGGGTCATATTCTGGCACTTTTGGTGATTAGATCCTACTGAGATTTTTCAAATAGATTAAAATATCAGGGAAAAATCCAAATCTACGCTATTACAGTTGTTGTAATAATATCATCACAATATCATCATGCTATCTCATTTATTCTCCACAAGACCATTCTGAAATATTTAAAATCTATACAGCTACAGAAAATAATGTGTTGCTTTTAAAAAAATATTTGAGACCACTGCAGCTGGGGAATGTCATTCAGTCAGATCTATGTGTAGTGCCTGTTTAGAAGTCTAAAGTGACTGCCAAAGTGATTCTGAAAACAATTTTTTTGTTTCTTAAATACTTTTCAGTAAGATGTACAATTTTCTCACATTCTTCTCTAACTAAACTGTTTATAGACCATTTTGAAACTGATTAAAACCTATTTTATGTAAACAGCATACTGTATTATGTGCAGCTTAAATGTATTAATTCCATCTTCCACTGTACATGCAAAGGCACTGATAAAACCAGTTCTATGAAACTGTTAAGTTCCTTGGCTTCCGAAATTTCGTAAATTTTAAATTCGGTTCTTAAATCAGATCATATAAAAGTTCATAAAAGCCCCAGATAATTAATTTCATTTAAAGTGTGTCTCTGCTAGATCCAGTTATCTTATTAAGAATATAATCTAAACCACGGTAAAAGTATGAACATGAGTGTTAACATGATATTCTACATCTCTTCATATGTAAATCACCAGGGTAATAGTGAGAAATGCAGCAATTCAAGGATGCTCAGTTACAACAAAGCCTCTTATTAATACAAACTTAGGTCAAAATTTTAAGTTGATAATTCTCAAGAATTTTTTTTAAAAAAATCATTTCAAGTAAGCTTGAGTAATTGAATTCGCCATCACAAAGTTTCAAAAAGTCTTGCTCTGAGCATGGTTCTAACTACACTCCTTATTTTTACATAGATAAATAAATGTGAAGTTTGTTTTGGTCTCTCAGTTATGAAATAAGAGAAATTGTAATCTAGCCCTTATATAAAGGGATGCATGAGCATGATTGTCCAACCTGAGGCTAGTTTATAATTAAAAGTTTTGCTAACTCAACTGAAGGCAGCAATCAAATATATCTTCTCATTATACCCAATCAACAAACAAACTATTCAATGAACCGAGAAAGCTTTCTTTATAGTCCAAGGAATAAAGGTAGTTTGAAGGTGGAAATCACAAGCAAGATTTCCATTCAAAGATTCAAGAACTGCTTCCAAGAATGTGTTTAGATTATATATAAAGTTTATGCTCATTTGAGCTATAAATGTTGATGCAAAAACCACGCCTATAATCTCTAAAAGATTAACAGTTGTCCTGTATACGTTAAGATTTCTCTCATTCCCAACGTGTCATTTTTCAAGACTTCCATTTTACACTGTAACCATATTCTATGTTAGCCAAACCATTATTTTTATGATAATCGTGTCAACAGATATTTCAAGTGATGATGCAGAGACAGCTAATTAGGTCTTGAAATTTTTTTGAGCACATCCATGTAGCAGTGGACTGAGTAGCTGGTTGATGAATGCTGATGTACTGGATGAATTCTTCATCCTTTCATCACCAGTGCTTTTTCTACAAAAAAGTATTATTTGAAAAACAATTTGATTAATGGCTTTCATTCTACACGACTACAGAAATTACAAAGTAAAGCAATGTTTCCCAACCTTGGCAACCTGAAGATGTATGGATTTAACTCCCTGAATTCCCCAGCCAGTATGCATCTGTAAGTTGCCAAAGTTGAGAAATACTGAAGCATTTTATTAAATATGAAATAGCCATCAAAAATTTAAAAAATAACTTACTTTAAGACCCAATGTTGTTTTCTTGACTTGTAAGACTAGGTTTCATTTTCCATAGATAATGCAGGATTGCTCATACCTTTAAAAAAAAAGATTCTCTTAAACAATGATTTTTAACTTTGTTTTAAATAAGTTACACCTTGAAGCTTACTGACAACTAGAGCAGAAGCATTGTGTGGATAAACCAAAATGACTAATAACCACTCACACTGCTTCTTTCTGTATGTGTGTACCTTCTGAGTGGTGCTCAAGGGCAGCCCATATAGAGTCTGTTGCAATAGTTCAACTGCATAGTGACTAAGGCATGAAAATTTACAACTAAGGAAAGAACATCATTGTGCACAATGCAGATCTAGGCAAACACTCCTGGCTATGATTGCCATTTGGGAAGTACAACTAAAGTTGAAAAGTTCTCAGAAATGGGATAGCCAAAATCCCTGCCACTCTGTCTCACAGGGTTTGAACTTGACTCTTGTTTCTCCCCACCTTGACCTTAACAGCATCCATGTATGAAGACAGGAGCTTTATATCACTTGGCCAGTCAGGCTCAATATATATATATAATTGAGCATCATCTGTAGGTTTATGGCACCTGATCCCATGCTGGCAGATGACCTTGCCCAGCAGCCTTGTGTTAGGTCTTAAACAGTGTTAAACTCTAATAAATCCTACAAAGAAGGCTCTATTCTCCTCCACCCCTTCCAAGCACCAACTGAAATTAGCCAGACAAATGAATGAGATCACTATAAAACTGTGTCTCCACCTTACAAACCCTGGAATCAGCCCAGAAGGCAAACACAATCAATGGACTGTGGAAGGCTGCTTGAGAGGTCAGAAGAACCAGGAAAGTTACATCATTCTTATCCTGCCAGCTGTCACTCAGAAGTGCTACCAATGCTCTTTCAAATACTGCAGTATATCTCAGCCTGAAACTTGACTGAAAAAGGTGCAGATCATCGGCTTCCTCAAGTGTCCTTTGAAGCTGCAACCAACTGCCCTATTATGTGTGTAAACTGAACAAAAATGGTCCCTTTTTAATGCTGCTTTATTTTTATAAATAACTAAGACTCCTCTTATTTTCCACACAGCAACGCTGTGAGGAGGGTTGGGTTGAGAGTCACTGGCCCAAAGGCACCCAGCAGGTTTTCATGCATACGGCGGGGCTAGTAGAACAGTAATTCTACTATGTTGGTTCAGTGATGGTTTCTTGGGATGGGGGTACACCACTGAGTGATATTAGTAGAACCAAGACTTCAATTCTCATAATTGTACACTGAGTTCATCTATTCTTATTTATTTCTACCATTTAGAATCAATAAATCAAAATCATCACTAGATGAAAAAATGAAATTATCTTCACTGAATTGTTCATGATGAAAGGGTTTCTTCAAAGGGAAGGAAATGCCAACATTCTGAACATCTTATACAGGTACTCCTCGATTTACAGTTGCAATTGAGCCCAACATTTCTATTGCTAAGTGAGACAGTTGTTAGGTGAGTTTTGCACCATTTTACAACCTTTCTTGCCGCAGTTGTAAAGTGAATCACTGCAGTTAAGTTTGTAACATGTTTGTTAACTGAATCTGTCTTCCCCATTGACTTTGCTTGTCAGAAGATCACAAAAGGTGATCACATGAGCCCAGGACAGTGACATGGCAACCATCATAAATATGAATCAGTTGCCAAACATTTGAATTTTGATCATATGACCATTAGGATGCGGTTCACATTGGTCATAGGTGTGAAAAACAGGCGTAAATCAGTTTTTTCAGTGCTGTTGTAGCTTCAAATGATCACTAAAGTAATGGTTGTAAGTTGAGGTCTACCTGTACCAAGATATGTGCTCAGTCCAAACTTTCAGCTTGTGAACCTAAAATGTTCTCATTTTATCTTTGGCTGAAATGATCTGATTTGATGCCTCAGCCTAACAAGACACTTTCAAAACTTACTATTAAAAATATTGTAACAATTTCTTACCTAGTTTGTTCTTTTCAGTATCTGCACTAGTTTGTGTCCAAGATTGAGGATCAGTAAGAAGGTGGCTCTGAGAATCTCGTAATGTCTTAGCCGGAAAATGGTGACTATTCTCACTGTTAAAAAAATGGTTTAAAAAAGTTGAATGAGAAGCAATTCCATGAACTAAATTATTATTATTTTTTTAAATTTGATTTTATATGCCGCCCTTCTCCGGAGACTCAGGGCGGCTTACAATGCGTTAAGCAATAGCCTTCATACTTTTGTATATTTTATACAAAGTCAGCTTATTGCCCCCACAAACTGGGTCCTCATTTAACCTACCTTAGAAAGGATGGAAGGCTGAGTCAACCTTGAGCCTGGTAAGATTCGAACCTGCAATAATTGCAGGCAGCTTTGTTAATAACAGGGTGCTTTAAACCACTGTACTACCAAGGCTCCTTGCTCAGGGTGCTTGGGGAATATAGCTTTAGTTGAGCCTGACTCCTAATAACAGCAGGGGAACGCCTATGTTATTTTCTTGCCAATAAGGGAGAGAGAGTTTGCCATACGGTAAGGAATTTCTGTGATGACTGCCCCAGATGCTTCCCCAGATGCCTTTCCAGATGTTAGTTCAGAGGAGGATGAGCCAGTCCCCGGCACATCAGGAAGGGAATCGGCTGATGGCTCCAAGATGGGGACTGTGAGCCCAAGTGAGATAAGTGTTCAATGGGAGAGTGACTGGATAAGCAGCTGGCTGAGAGTGATTGGCTGAAGCACAGCTGAAGCAGAAAAGTCCAGAGGCTTCAGGTGGGGAAAGCACACAGCTGCAGCTGGTCAGTGATGAGGAAGAGGAACTGCTTTCTCCACCTGATCTGAGAACACGAAGGGCAGAGAAAAGGCAGGAGAAGTGAAGGTTAGTTTGACTACTGATGAGGTGGCAGCTTCATCCCTTTGATGGGCTGCACTGGAAGCTATTTAACACAGGAGACAGATGGAGATAATACTGAGAACAAAGTGTTCATTTCCTAGTTGTGTGTTTCTTGGTCACTGCGATTCCTGCCTTGTTTTGGACTGACACCGTGCCTTGATTTTGGATCGGGCCTTGTGGATTCTGGATTCTTTTTGTCTCATGAACCCTCTTGTCAGGGGTGGTATTCACTTACCTTCCCTACCGGTTCGCAAATGTGAGGACGCACTAAAAATGTTTTAAATTCAATTTGTTAAAAAAAAAAAACCCCAGAGGTCTTATGTACCCATTACTAGGTATAATAGATGGGCTGTGAAAGAGATGCAAGTTAGGTTTGCTGCTTTTGTTAAGATAGAAAGATACAGAACAGAATTGGATAAAAGGCAGTGATCATTAATTATTTTAGACATGGCTTAGCATTTGTTATGAGCTACATGAAGGCCATTATGTACTTCTCCAAGTGTTGTACTACTGAGATTTCATACTGAATGTATGGCTTTTCTGAATGTTTCTGGATGGCAGATAATCACTATTAATGTGTCTGAAGTATAAGATGATTATTTCTATATCAAATAACACCACACACAATAATATCTTACACTGGGCCTGGGTAGCTGAGACACCACTTATTTCCAGCTATTTCTGCCTGGCCATTACATTCAAGCAAAGTGGGTGCGCTCCAGGTCCCCTCCATTAAATATTGCCATCTTGTGGGGCATAGGAAGTATGACTTCCTGTTGCCCCTCCCCCAGTGCTTCCAGAACAGCATCCCCACCAAATAAGGTTGGTTCTCTCTTTCCTGGAGTTCTGGAAAGTTGTAAAAATCTGCTTTGGTCCCAGACATGGGATTGATATTTATTATTTGTTCAACTGTTCAATTTTGTTTTGTTATTTCTGCTGCCTATTAGATTATTTTGTGTCTGTGATTCAATGCTTTTAGCTGTTTTTATGTTTTCTCTCAGTCTGTCTGTCTGTCTGTCTATCTATATCATCATCATCATCATCATCATCATCATCATCATCATCATCATCTAAAGACATACTTTTTATTTGCATTGTGTCCTGCAGGAGTAGAAGCTTGTTCAAGATCTTGGTTAACAAGGCAGGTAGGAAAAGAGCATCCATCTCCTAGGCTGAAAATTAATTAAAAAACATATACATAAGCAAACTGCACTCAAAAGCTTTTTCAATGTTGAATTTAAGTTTTGGTTTTAAAAAACTATTTAGCTCACATAGTTTAATGGGGAAACAACGCTCTCTTAAATGCAGAACTCACCTGGTAAAAATTGGCAACAGCCAGTACTTTTTCTCATCTCCAAAGACTTCCCTTAGGTTTTTGCTGAAGCCCAAATTAAACCCATTTTTATCTGTTCCATGTCGAAAAACAGGTGCTCGGAAGGCCTCTATAAGAAATTGTTGCATTGTTTAACATTTTCAAAATAGCACTCTCAAGGGACAGCCTGGTTTATTGACAAAATAAAATTCTAATTCCTTACCTAAAGTTGATTTGTTCTTACTGACCAACCAGCAATGATAACCAAAGAGAGAGGATAAGCTAATTGAAAACATAGCTGCTGCAAAGAACAAAAACATAATATGGAACTTGGCTTGAGTGTCAGGAAGGCCATTCTATAAAGAAAGAGAAAAAAATCTTTCAATGTTCTTTTAGACACATAAATACATCCATTTAAAAATCAAGTTAGATCAATAATGACTACATACAATCTTCTCTTATTTATGCCAGTGTTTTTTCCAACTTGTCAACGTTAAGATGTGTGGACTTCAACTTCCAGAATTCCCCTGACAGTATAAAGTCTACACATCTTATAAGTTGACAACTTTGAAAAACACTGATTTATATTATAACTATAATATAACAGTGGCACAGTGGTTAGAATGCAGTATTTCAAGCTACTTCTCCTGACTGCTGGCTACCTGCAATTTGGCAGTTCGAATCTCACCAGGCTCAAGGTTGACTCAGCCTTCTATCCTTCCGAGGTAAGTAAAATGAGGACCCAGATTGTTGGGGGCAATATGTTGATTCTGTAAACCGCTTAGAGAGGGCTGTAAAAACATTATGAAGCGGTATATAAGTCTAAGTGCTATTGCTATATTTGACCTAATTGAAGTGCTATAAATACAGGTAGGCCCAACTTAAACCATTCATTTAGTGACCTTTAGAAATTACAAAATGGAACTGAAAAAACTGACTTATGACCAGTTTTCAAACTATGGTCACCTGATCAAAATTTGGGCTTTTGACAATTGGGAGTCATGTGTTCACCATTTGTAATCTTCCCAGCTAGCTTCCAACAAGCAAAGTTAATGGGGGAAGCCAGATTCATTTAACAACCACACAATTCACTTAACAACTGCATTGCTTAGCAATGGAAATTTTGGGCTCAACTGTGGTCATAAATCAATGACTACTTATATTATTATATGGAACAATGTAGAGGACTGTTTGAATGTGCCTTAAGATAGTGTGCAAACCCAGACATGGTGTTTTGTAAACCATGATTTGTTCAAATCCAACTACAGGTATTTGTGATTTATGTAAATCATACCTAATTAATTGTTAATTAAATTACAACTAAACATGATGAATGAACTAGGTTTATAAGTTGAAGCTTGATCAATTTAAGAGTACTCTGTAATTGACCTCTAACCAGTTTTTTAAGTACTAAAAATACTGAAGGCACCGGCCAATAAAGAATTCTATCATTCTATCTTTCTTTCTTTCTTTCTTTCTTTCTTTCTTTCTTTCTTTCTTTCTTTCTTTCTATCTATCTATCTATCTATCTATCATCTATCTATCTATCTAATTTTATTTAAAGATCCAAAATACTAATTAACACCCATAACATTTATGGTAAATACTGTAAATGGAATATGTAGGGAGAAAAAATCACATATTCCTGATTCTCATTATATCTTGTCAGGAAGACACAATTTTAAAGACCAGCTTTAAGCAGAACATTGTTTGAAAAACTATAGAGCTATATAGAGTTTAAGCACAGTCTAAACAATTCAGAATATTCCAGTTAGTGACTAATACCAATATATATTTAAATACCAATGCCTGTCATATGGAAGTGTAATCAGAAGGTGCAGTGGTGCTGAAATATCTACAGCTTTCCCAAGTTTCATTCTCACAGGAGTCATGAGTCCTGGCATTAGCCCATTTAGACATCTTCCAATGTCACCTAATTGAAGCTTATAGACACAACAGTTTCAATAGTGTATACATCATCAGAACCAGAAATGAATTGAAACTTACTGTCCAGAATCTAATAAAATGCTGTAACTCAGTTGCAAAGATGAAAAGGCAGTATAATAGAGAGTAAGCCAAGAACAGAAGGAAAAACTTGTAATTTGAGAATCCAACACAGTTGTTCACCCTAGGAAAAGAGAATACAAATTGCTGAAAATATATGTATGAATGGACACACACACAAAATATCATTTATAATATTCCATTTGTTATTATGAGTAAACACACTTCTGTTTTTCACATTACAATAATTATTTAAATAAAGGAGTTACATCAATGAACAGTATAACTCATAATATTACAAACATAAACATGTAATAGTCACAAAAATTAAAAACAGAAAGATGGACTGGGGTCATTAAGGTATTTCTTTCACTATTTTCCACAAAAACTACACAGCTTTTGAACTGGTATATTACTCCTTCCCTGGAGTTTCTTAAAGAAACTGGTTTCAACAGTATTGCTTCTCATTATAGTTCTTCTTCCGTTCTGACCAGTAATATTGTTAAAGTAGCAACAGTAAAATCTTTTTTTTTTTTTTTGCTAATAAAGACAGCCAGTTTCCCGATATTCTTGATATTCATAATGACAAAAAATTACTTACCAGGGACAGTGATGATCCATTTTCAAAATACATCTTAAAAAAACAAACAATGTAGATTATTTTATAGAATTCACAGAAAAGTTAATCATACTGCAACAAAACTTTTATGCCAAAGACAATTTTAATACATAGAACAAGTTAGTCCATAACTAACTGGGCCAGCATCTAAATGAGTAATTTAACTTGTGCTTGACCTGATTTAGCTATCATTCATATGATAACTTCCTTATTTTGTCTTACCATTAAATCAGATGGCTGTCTAGCCTCTGCCTGGCATAAAATGAGGTGACTGAATATAGGAAGCTTGATTTGGGCTCAGGTTTTTGGTTTTATGTCTTTGGTTTTGATAGTTTTAATATGCTTCTATGTAATTTTTGTTTTTGATTAGGAGCCACCCGGAGTTTGATATAAGATGGGCGGCTATATAAGTGCTTAAGTGCTTAAGTGCTTAAGTGCTTAAGTAAGTAAGTAAGTAAGTAAGTAAGTAAGTAAATAAATAAGACAGGCAAGATGGAAATAAATTCTCAGCTTTGCAAATATTGTAATGTTTGTTTCTTACTTATCACAGACAGAACAATGATGGCAACGATCTGGTTTTATAAGTTGGCATCTATCACAATATCTGATTGCTGTAAAGACACAAAAAGATTCATGTTTACTCTCCTTGCTGCCTTGTGTATATCTTCCTGCATATCCCAGACAACTGTTCAAAGTATGTAACAAAGAGTCATTTTGCTAACAATCTCATATTTCTTTTTGAACACAAAAAAATAAATGATGTTATACATTATAATTCTACCCTGTTAATTTGTACTCGGACCACTGAGTACAATAAGACATATTCATAGATATTTGTGCATAGCATTACTTTTTAGCTAAAACATATTTTAACCATATTCTTCAATAATGCAAAAATATCTGCTGATTTTAGTAACCTCAGTACCAAGAGGATTCTCATAACTCTTAACAAATATTGGCAAATAATCAGTTGTTTGGCAAGCAACTGAAGAGACTATCAGATCCTTTCACTACAACTAATCAAAGTTACCAACAATTATTCGATAAAACTGATCAATAGCTGCTGCTGCATGAATTTGAAATTATGCAGAATTCTCCTAAGAAACAATCTCTACATTCAATAGGACTGGAAGTGCAGTCAACTAATCATCCTTTTCAAATAGTTATACAATTGTTCCAGAAAGGATCATAATCACAAAGTCTGTAAAGAGAGCCAAAATATTGTTTTATTTATACCCCAAAAGTTTTTAAGCAGGGAAGTCTTAATATAAAACATATGGGATAATGCTGATTGAATTCAAGTTATATTTTTAAAACAATGATATATTAATATTTTCTGGAAAAACATGTGAAATAACTTTAATGTTAGTAATTTTTATTTATAATTAAATGCAACTGAAATTAAAGATACAATAACTTTAGTGCATCCTTTGGTTTAATAATTGTTCTTTTTAAAATACTCTGGTCTAATTTATAGAGATGAGCAAAACAATCCAACATATCCTAAATTTTGAATGTTTTTTTCCTGAGAGACCATTTCATTTCACTTTGTTTCACTTAGTTTTGGCATATTATAACTGGATTTGATTTTTTTCAAAAAGATTCAAGTAAATAAATTTGGACCATCTATTGGGCAATAAAACAGCGGGCACAAATTCTATCTCTCTGCCATCAGCTGGACATAGGCTAGAGAAGGAACTGGGGTGGTTTCATGGATTGTTAAACAAAAATTTATAGATAGAGAATCATTTTGAATGGCTGCTTAATAGAGAACCAAAGCTGGAGATCACAAAGCACTCTAGATGAGCATCTTGAGTGCAGTCTTACAAAACTAGTTGCCATAGTACACCTGACAATCTACTAAATACTTATTTATAAGAAGAATGCTAGATGTTCTTTGTCCTTCCCTCTAGTCGAACAATATGTTCCCTAGCTTGGTCTTTTTCTGACAAGTGAATTCATTTTAAGTAAATCACTGGGCAGAAACCAACCACCTTTTTTATTTAATGTATTTCATAATGGAATTTTTAGATTTTATATGGCTACTCTTAATTTATATCTGCTAAATAATCAGGAGGACATCATTATTGACAAATATTTACCTCCAGACATTGTTCTTGTACTGATAGGGAGGTCCTTGGCTGCCCTCTTCAGCACTTCTTGATGGGTTTCATTTCTAGGTTCTCTTTCCAGCAATTCCTTATCTGAATAGCTCAAGTGGAACTAGGAAATAATGCAGTTCTTGAATCATTATTTATTAACCATTTAGTATAATCATCTTTAGACATTTACCTAAATATTGGAAAGTTTGAAACTAAAGAGACAATTCTTTGCAAGCAGATGTGGCTGCTACTTTCTCAATTCAGAAAGACTATCTATACAGGTAGTCCTCGATTTATGAGAGTAATGGAGATTGCCCATTTCTGTCGGAAGTCATTGACTATTACATGAAGCACATGATTAACAACTTCCCTGTCCCTGCTTTCTCCAATGCATTCATTAAATGAATGCACGGGTTGTTAGGTAGAGAATGTGATGACTCAGGGGTGTGAGAAACTGAGGGAGGTATAGTGCAGGCATAGGCATACCTAGGAGGCCTCCTCCACCTTTTGAGGTATCCCGTGCTCTGCGTCCTGCCCCTTGGGTGCCCTAGAGCCCTATGGGCCACCTGCATACCCCACCCCATCACAATTGCACACGTATCTTTTGAAGATATCCAGAGCTCAGGTAAGTTGGAGTAGAGAAGGCTGCTCCCTTGCTCAAGGGCACAATCAAGAAGAAATCCTCTTGCTTTTGCTTCCATTGCAACTCTTTCCTTCCCAGCCAGTGTAAATCATACCTATTTTGGTTCCTTGCAATCCTTTCCTCCCCAACCAGCATACATTGGTAGTGATTTATGCTGACTGGGGAGAAAAGAATTACCACAGAAGCAAATGTTCTTTTTTGCTCTGCCAGCGTAAGACTAGCGTAAAGCTAGCATTGGTGGCACTAAGAAGAAATCATACCAATTTACGCTGGGGAGGAAAGGATTGCAAGGGACCAAAATAGGCATGATTTCTTCTTAGCGTCACCAGTTTTATGCTAGTCATATGCTGGCAGAGCAAAGAAGAACCCCATCACTTTTGCTTCCTTTACAATCCTTTCCTTGACAGCCAGCATAAATCACCACCGATTTAAATTGGTTGGAGAGGAAAGGATTGCAAGGGACAAAATGGGCACAATTTCTTCTTAGCTTTGCGGCATAAGTCTAAAGCTAGCACTGGGGGCTCTAAGAAGAAATCATAGCAATTTATACTCATCGCAGAGGAAAGGATTGCAACGGAAGCAAAACTGACAGAATTTCTTCTTGACTGTGCCAGGTGGCGGAGCACGGGAACGGCCTTCTCTATCCTGACTTCCTGAACTCTGGATAAGTGAGCGAATGGTGACTGGGGAGCGGGGAGGAGTGCGTGGAACTTGGTATGTTGGCAAAACAGACCCAGTGCCTCTGAGGACCTGGCCGGGCAGGATGGAATGGTAATAAGTGGGTGGGTGTGCTGCAGCATTTATGTAGTTGGTTGTAAGGGCAAATGACCATGGGGCCACTGCAGGGTTTGTAACTTTGAAACAGGTTCATATTTAGCTTTTGGGATGTGTATTGTAACTTCAAACGTTCGTTAATTGCTTGTTGTACCTCAAGGATAACCGGTAATCACAGTTACTTGAACATGAAATTATAACTTTATCCATAATTAAGGATCTGATTTATTAAAGCTGGACTGTGCTTAGAGTTTTTAAGGGAATCCTAACAAATTACCCCTCCCATATTGCTAAGCGAAATTGGTAGGAAGAAAGTACATTCATATTCTTAAGAACAAAAGAAAACAAATGAAAAGACAACTATTTAAAGTTTTCATTTTTAAATTTTTACAATTGTGTAATATTGAAAATCAATACATCAATCTCTCTTCCCCATAAAAATGGTAGAATATTTCAGATATTAAAACTAAATCTGCCCTTAACCTCTTTAAGAAATAATTTGAAAGGCAATCTGAAAATGAGGTTAAAAGACAATCTTGATCAGTGTGCAGAAGAGAAATCCTTGAATAAACTACAATATTATCAGCAATGTTTTATATCATTTAATGAAAGAAGTGGCCCTTTGCAAGTAATTATAAAATGATTGCTATACATAGATTTAAACCAACATTTTAAAATAACACATTATTGTACATTTGTTAAATAATTAAAAATAATAGGTCTGCCTATAGAAACAAAAATGATTTTCCTTGTTTCCTTTATTAAGATCAAGAAATAGTATTACATTTTTCCATTTGTACATGTATAAATTGTAATGTAATATATTTTTTCAATTTTATTTAACAATATGCTATTTGAAATATGTTAAAATTATTTCCACCAGTTAGTTGAGCTGATGACAAGACTAAGAAAATTCAGTATTAAGAAACTGAATATACTTGTTTGGGGGGTGTGTGGTATTATAGAAATAAGGATATTTCTATAATAGCAAATTAGAGAAAAAAGAATAAGTTCTTGAAAGAACACACAATATAAACTAATGTTTTTCACATAAATGTTAAAAGCTTTGATATTGTCAATAAAGTACACATGTGGGTAGCCTATGTCTTCAGATGAACAGATGGAAAGCTAGAGAGAATATATTTATGTAGGTTGTTATTTACTGTAGATACACAGAACCTTTGTGCCCCAGAAAAAAAATTAGTAAACAAGTTTTTTTTTCTTACACAAAATTATAACTTACTTCTTTGGAAGGATTCATTGGTAATGTAAAGATTGTTTTCCAGTAAGACCACAAAAACATCATGAAAAATAGATGATACGCAATCAGGCACACCACTAAAACAAGATCATAAAATTAAGACATTAAGCAAACGATAGAAATTGTCAGAGATATACAGACAACCAAAAAAGAAAAGAAAAGAAAAAGAAAAGAGCCAAACGTTTCGAATGGTTCACAATAAAGAACAATGCTATCATAACAGCAATAAAACTATAAAAAATGGCTATTAAAGAAGCTACAAAGCACTACCAAAATGTATTCAGATAGAAAACTTTGTAAGGAAGAAAATTCTGTATGTTCTGTCATTTAAACTTTTCATTATCTATATCTGTATTCCTTGGAATGGATCTAATGGGGGCAAGAAAATCTTCTTAATGGGTCTATATAGCAAGATTGTTATGCACCTGGTTTTATACAATAATAACAGAAACTCAAGGGCCCTGTTCTATCAAATCAAAGACTTATTTATGTCCTATTGCCACTAAGACCAATTACTCTTCTATAGCAGCTAATGTTCAGAGATATGGTAAACAGGCAATAACTACTAATCCATCTTAAACTCATCTAAGCTGATGGTCATCAATGTAGTTTTACTATATAATATAATTTATCTATGGATGGAATAAAAAAGCTGATAACTTTCTGCTCAAGAAGTCTACAATTTAACTACTAAAATAAAGAAGATAAAATCAAAGAAAAACAAGAAAATAGCTTCCCAAACTATATTAGTGTCAGTAGAAGATAGGACAAAATAAATAGCAATACACAAGATAAACACCGTTATATATTCCTTAACTGTCTCCTGACTGGTTCTGCCCCATTTTCTAGGGCAAGGAGTAATATAAGTACTACAGTACTACAATGTTGGTATTAATGCAGCAAATAGAAGAATAGGAAGGAGTTTGGTAGTATCAACTAAAGTTACCTCAATTTCTTCTATTAAATTATAAAGAATCTGTTTGGTTATATCTTGTCATACACACAGAGAAGATTAACCTTTTGTCCCCTTTTTCCTTAGAAAACCTAATGATCATTGCTTAGGTTTAATGATCTATATAATGATCTATATAGGGAGACATAGAAACAAAAATGCAGCCTATAATCCAATTTAAAAAGGCATGCAATCTTCAATAATTTATTGCTGAAATAAATAAAATTTTTAATGAAGTTTCTGAACATATACACATTATAGCAGCCTTAAATTCTATAAACTACAAAGTAGGAAAAAATAGCTATTACTTACTTTTTTCTCCAATATTTGATATTGTTACTGCAAGAGAGGAAAGGAGGAAAGATCAGTGAGAAAACTTGACATTATTTGGACACCAAAAAAGCATTCTCAGTTTCTGGAGTACATATATACTTACCAATGAACCAGTGGTGGGTTGCCCCCGGTTTGGACCGGTTCACAAGAACCGGTAGTAAAACCGGCGGAAGTCTCCGCCCACTGACCCGGACGTCATCATAGGTGATCTGTGCATGCACAGAAGCGCGCATGCACGCTCCCAATGCGAACCGGTAGTAAAGGTAAGTAGAACCCACCCCTGGAATGAACATATAAATATCGTAGTTTATTTTGCATTCGTACATTGTAGTTGAATTAAATATTGCTTTTGAATAAGACCTTTGCAGATTTTTCAGAGGGGAATAAAAACAGTCCATACAAAAAGCACTAACTATGAATTCTAACACTTATTGAAAGGTTGAAGTAACAGAATCTTGCAAGCCTGAAAGCATTCTTTCCCTCTCTTACTTTTCAGAAAACCAGAAAGAGTCTTTTCAGAAATGCTTCCCATGTCTCTTTTGCTTCCGTCAGCTGAGATACCTTTTGCATGATAGTTGTCTAGTCTGCAACTCTTCCTCCTGTTTTCCCAAGTTGTTCTGAGCAATACATTCAGGAAAAACTTTTACAATTTGAAGTCTGTCCAAAGGACAACAACCAAGATGATAGGGAGAATACAATGAAAAACTTGCAGTGTTTGAAGGCACTACATATTTTTCAAGAATGGACTGAGACAGATCTGATAGCCATTTTCATGTATCTTAAGATCGGCCAGAAGATGGGGCGGATTCATTCTGAGCTGTTCCACAAGGCAGGAGAAGACTTTGTTGACCTTCCTGAAAGACGTGAAAACCTTGGCTTCTCTCACCGGAGTTTGCCTGGAATCTTAATGGAACTCTGTTTCTGTGTAATGTACAAACACATAAGGTATTATGTGTGGTAAGGTATTATTTTTTTTACAGAAGCCTCAATTTGGTTACTTTAAGTTGTATTTTGTTTTATTTTGTTCACTGCTCAGAGTTCCTTTTGATGGGTAGCAATATACTATATATTTATTAAGATACTTTAAGAAACAATGGGATTAAATTAGAAGGAAGTCAATTTCAGTTTGACATCAGAAAAAAAAAAGCTAATTGTATGAACATCAGAGAAACAGATTGCCTCCTGAGAAATGGTGGACTCCCCTTTGTTGAAATATATAAACAGAGGTTGTTGAATGGCCATTGTCACGGCTACTGTAATAAGGGATTCTTGCAGATTTAACTGAATTATCTTTATAGCAATTTCCCAAGCTTACATTCAATGATTCTATGAGATATGAATTGTTAAGGAATGAAATATTTATATTTAATTATTTTACAGAATGACTAATTACTAAGAATTAATAAATTGTAGCTGGTTTGGAAACTGTTAATGATTTGACAGTTACAGTACTGAAATTTTGCTTTTTCTCTATGCAATTCAAAGACAGAAATTAGGAACATTCATTTGTAAGGATTTCCTTGACATTTTTACTCATTTCCACATACAATGAAAATTATAACTATTCTGAGGTAAACAGTGAGGTTTAGTTTTCATCTTTGAACATATTTCATGACTAAATGTCAGACAGTATGGATAAACAAAATATCAACTACTCTCATTTTGAATTGTTGCCAAATTCTCCATGGAGATAAAACCAAACCAAAATAGGAGAGTCATCACATAAATAAATTATGAAGTAGGGGAGTGTGACATAAAAGTTAGATCTCATCCCGACTTTAAAAAAGATTGCACCAAAAATCAGTCCACCATTTTCTTGTTTACTTTTTCACATTTCAAGAAAAATATAAAAAGTCTGAGGGGAAGGATGTGAGAAAGAAAGGAACAGTGGATAATCAAAATCACATGAATAGCATTATTCCAGATTGAGGTGGTGAAGAGGTTTAGGAAGAGACTGTTGCTATGGTTCCAAGAGAAGCAGTAATATCATCTACTATTCATTTCATTTTCAGCATACTTATCATATTAGGCTTCTCAGTGTAATTTATTTTTAAAATTGTCTTAGGTTCATTGAGAGGACAATAATGGAAATAAACAAGTATTTTCTAATATTCTCTCTCTGTCACCCAAAGGATCTCCCTAATGCAGGCTCATCTTTCTTTTAGGTAAGAAACATTGGATATTGGTTATAAAGGCAACCTTTAATACAGACTGTGGACACTTCAGGTATTTTGTTAATCAACATTTCAAAAAAGAAGCAACACAAAGAATTAACATACCTGAAAATGATATTCAAATAAGGCATTATTCTATTAACATGCTTTAATGGCAGCCAACCTTCGTGAAATTTAGATTATTTGTCAGTTCAGATTCTGAAAAATACAATTCCTTATTTTTATACCTATAATTACACCATCCAGCAGGTAATTTGGTTATAATATAAAAGTGCTTAGAAGTTTTAGACCAGAGCAGAACATCTAAACTGTGATATTTTTATCTATTTCTTCACTGAGCTTATTTACCCAGAAGATGATAATGTGCAGGTATTAAAATCAATTTCCTAATTTTGCTTTCCATTCTTAGAAATATAGCTTCACAGAGCATGTGTGCGCCTACTCCTTGCGTTTGTTTATATATTGCTGATAAACATTGCTATTTCAATACCAGCAAGCGCACACAAGGCGTTTTTTTACTGCTCTGCCTTGATTAACAAATGCTAACACTTACCCCAGGAGACATTATTTCCTGTACAGCAGATAGTTACTCTCAAGAGATCTTTCTTAATGAATTAAGGCCAGAAGTCTTAAAAATCAAGGTCCCTTTAAAATTACCAGTTGGCTTTCCAGCATCAGATCCATATAAGAATCCGTCAATACTGAATAAATAAGGGAAGGTAAAAAAGGGACTCACGCAGACAGAGTTGGGCGACGTAGGCATAGTAAGACCAGGCCAGGATGCTGCAGATGAAGAGGACCGGCACCCAGTAAAGAAAAGGACCAGCACGCCGCCACAGGCAGTGTCGCCTCCCGCCTCCTATCCGAGAGCAGCTGCGGGAGGAAGCCACCGACCCCGCCGGAGACGCCATCTTCCCGCGCCCCATCTTCCCTTCCCCGGTTAATCAGCTCTTCCGTCTGCCAGGAGGGCCCGGGCCCTCACCGCACATCCCCGGCGGCAGCGACGGCGGCAGAAGTGGCTGGCTGGTCCCAGCGCTTCGTCGCCTTCCCCTTCAGCGCAGCCGGCGAAGGCTGCTCCTCCTTTCCACGATCGCCTCCAGCCACCGACCTCTCCTCCCTCCCGCTCGGTTGTCCGTCAGTCACTGAAGAGGGCTCAGCTGCCCATCTCTGAACCGGGGCCGTGGAAAAAGAAGGTGCGGCTGAGGACTCTCCCGCCGCCGCCCCAGGCTGCTCGCATTGATGGCTCGCAGGGCGAAGGGCGGGGAGAGGAAAAACGAGGCTTTCCCACCTCTCTGTAGCAGGAGGCGGCACGGGCTTTCGGGATCCACCCATCCTGAGGAGGTCTTAGGGACGGACGGGGTTGGTACCTCGTTAGAAAGGTGTATACAGGGACCGGTCCCTGGGACACCTGCTGCAATTCCCGTTGTCCCTTCGGCCGCTCTTCAGCCTTTTGGCAACCGTTAGGCGGCAAACTTTGCGCCAGTAAACGTTTTGTTAATCTACATCAAATCCCTACAGCAATGTTTGGGACTATGTCTTCCGACGGGACATTGAGGAATAAAGTTACTGGTTTGGAATGAATGGCTAGTTTGAAGAAATATGACATAAGGACCTTTTCCTGCGATGTAGCAATCTTGCAGTCAAAAGGAAGAAATTTAAATGAAATCAATTTTTATAACCATCATAGGCCAGTACAGAAGGAATTCATTTTGATAAATTAATTCCAGCAACATAACACTAATGTAATAATATAACAGCACAAACTCCCTTTGAAATTTAGACTTATAGAGTGAATTTAGTCTTGTCTTCTTGATCTTTTAAATTGTAACCTGGTCTGTGCTTTATACTAAGTGCCCAACACTTGGTTTGCAAATCACAGTAGTTGAATCCTCACCAACCCCAGTTTAATTGATAGATTAATTCATTGTGTGAAGGATGGCTGGTTACCATTATGACATGTAAAAGTTTCCTTTGTTTTTCAATTTGTAAAATCAAACCACCATCATATTTAGGTCAATTCCTATTGGTTACATGAAGAGATTCATGTTGCTTTCTTGACAATAATATGATGGTTGACCAGTATCTTCTTCCGGGATTTCTTTTTAATTTTTCTAGTTTGGTTGGGTTACATAGTTTTCCATACAGTTTCTCCATTTTGGGTTTTTTTTTTTGTAAAATAAATAACATGGTTTAATATGTGATGTGTTGTTGTTCATCTGAGGTTGTCACAATCATTTTAGCCATTGTCTATCCACTGCAGGATGAAGGTCTCTTCCACGTTTCCAATCAATATAGTCTTGAGCTTTCTTTTGCCACTTGGGCCTGCAATACTTACTGATGTTGTAGATCCATTTTGTTTTAGTTCTCTTTTGTGAACACTTTTTATCAAGTGGAATCCATTCTATGACAGTCTTAGTCCACCTGCCATCAGTTCTTCTTGCTATTTCCATTTCAATTCCTTTACTCCCTTGATGATATTGTATACTTTCGTTTGTTCTCTAATCCATATGCAGGTCTTTCTATCTTGTGTTATAATGCTGAACATGTATCTTTCCATGGCTCTTTGCGCAACTCATAGTTTTGTATTGATTGTGACATTAGTGTCCATCTTTAACCAGAATATTTTTAAGAACTGCTAAGGATCAGATTTTTACTATGTCCTGATACATAAAACTATAGAACTTAAAGAGGATGTAATTTCTTAGTACTCCATTTATTCTAAGTTCAGCTTCTAATTTTCTCTATACATATATAATCTCATTTTCATAAAGGATGTGGAAAAAAGCAGACATTTGTCCACCCAATTTAATTTTTTTCAATAAACATAACTTGCAGCAGATCAGAGATTATCTACTATCTTTATATGATAATTGACATGTTATAAAAAGTTTCCATCCATTTCCCCATGTTTCTTAAACATACTGCAAAGGTGCACAAATTTATACATTTGTTCTAATTTTTGCCACTTATTTCAATTTTTATTCATTCTATATGTCAAATGAAACTATCTTTATTTTAATTTTCACATCTATACTTCTCACTGTATTACGAATCTGTCATTCTCTGAAAATCATTCAAGTTCTCAGTCAAATAACATGATGTCATTGGCATAAAAACACTTCCTTAACCAACATCTCTAACATCAGTGTAACCATTTTTCATGTTTCTACTAAATAAGCAAGAGGATACTTCATATCTATTATTAACTACTCAGTGTTGAATTGTCCACACATACTTTATATGTAAAAAGTTAAAATCTCGGGTGTTTTCCCGCGTCATTAAAAGTCTGTTAGTTGAAATGCTTAAAATCCTGGCTAAAATCTCAGTTTTCTAAATCCTGGCTAAAATCTCCTTCAAAATCCCAACAAAACACTTTGTAAGGTCTTTTGAAACTCTGGCTAAAATCCTAACCAACACTTAAAAAGTTTTCTTTTTGGCAACGTTTCGACAAGTTTTTCTAACTTGTCATCGTCGTACTTTCAGTTTAGAAGCTGTAGGTATGCTGCGAGATCGGAGTTGTTGCTTTCTATGTTCGCTGCTGCCGATGTATGCTGGTTAGCCTGCAACTCTGTGTCCTGATTGGAGGGCAGCAGTTTTTTCTCCTGCTTCATTATCCTAGCTGCAGCCTGACTGCGTGTTAAAGGCCCAGCTTTCTCTGGTTCCCTATTACTAACTGTCAACTGCAAAGAAGGAAGGATTCTGGTAGGCATCACAACACCGCTGATTGCTTGTTGAGATCTCAGCCTATCTTCTGACTTGGTTCTCTCTCTCTCTCCCTATTGCTAGCTATCATCTGCAAAGAGGGAAGGACTCTGGCAGGCATTACAACACCACTGGTTGCCTGTTGGAATCTCTGCCTATCTTCTAATGTTAAAACTTGAGTTTCCCTCAGTGCAGGTCTCCAAATACTTGATAACCTAGAAGCGTCATCTCGTCTATTCATATTCTGCGGCCTCTTTATATGCTGTATATGCTTTATATGCTTTATATACTTTATATGCTGTATATGCTGCTGTATTATATGCTGTATTCAAATTTAACGATCAGCCTTTAGCATCTTTCATACATCAGGCTTATGTACAGTGTCGTATGTTTTGTCTAAGTAATCAAACATACAGTAAGCTTATTATATTCTTACATAAAACAATAGACAGTACTGACTATAATGAAAACAATGTCTGAATTAATTTTGCACTTTGTTCAGTTTTAATAACAGCCGTGCACATTTTGAAGAAAAATTCATACATTTTTTCTTGTTTTTATTCATAGTGGTCTTATTTCTAAAAGCAAGACAATATCTTCTCTCTATTTGACATATGGACAAATATCCAGTTTGTCCTAAATCATCATCTATGTTCTTCCTAAAATTTGCTACTTTAAGGCAGTCTCAGCTTTTCTGTTTTCAGTTTATGCATTTTAAGAAATCTTTTTGTTAATTCAGTATGACACCATAAACTTAGTTATATATCATCTAATTTAATTGATTCCAATTAACCTATAAGAGGTTCTTAATGGAAGGAAATATTTTTATTTGGTGAAAAAAAGTCATCATTAATTTATCATTTTCCATACTACTCTGTGCAATCTGAAAAACTGTACGCTTCCCTCTTTATACATTTTTAAGACATAGAGAAGACACAAGCATTTCCTCTTCATGTAGCAAAATGTTTAGATCAAGTCCAATATAAACCTCATTCCATAATAGTAGTTTCTATTTTAATGAAATAATTAGTTGTTATGTAAAATTAAAACATGCATAAGGACACAGGTAATCTCTGACTTCTGGCTATCAGACACTATATAAATCCAGTGCTGGCTATCACATACTATATAAACCCAGCGCTGGCTATCAGATAATATATAAATCCAGTGCTGGCTATCAGATAATATATAAATCCAGTGCTACTCTGTTAGATTGGTTCATAGTAGATTTATAGCATCCTTCAAAAACTGGCAGTACAGAAGGAGGCAATGTGATTCAACCCTGCTTATTTGTACATCTATTTATTTAATAGGAACCAGTAATGATGGAAATGTGGATATGCTCTGCCAGGTAACTGGTAAGCATCTGAACAAATCCTTGGATCACAAATGAAAAACTGTATTGCATTCATGTATTCAGGAGCTATAAGAAAATTGTATCTCTTGATTATTTAAAAAAACAAAATTATATCCTTGCAGTTTTCAATAACGTATGGACCTGATTTATCATAATTATTTTGCTATTTTAGGAAACTTTGATATTTTAATCTTTGATATAGGTAGAGCCCTACTAAATTACTGTAAAAAAGCAGAAATGAGGGAGGAATATTATCCTTCCAGTTTCAGGGTTTATTTGCAAGGCAAAGAGGCTATGGATGAACAGTGCCTCCTAGCTCTCCCTACTATGCTCACTCTCATATAGAGCTGTAATCTAAGTGAGCTAATGTTATGTATTAATGAAGAGGTGTCAAATTTTTGACGACACGTCCTCACATGACGTATCACAACTTTTTTCCCCTTCACTAAACCGGAGGTGGATGTGGTCAGCACGTGATGCATATTGCCCACAGGCCGTAAGCTTAACACCCCTGTATTAATGGAAGCTACATTTATAATCCTTTTGCTTATATAAAGATATGAGATAAATCTTGTAGGTAAAAAAATTAGTAAAGTTTTGTGGCTGAATATGGCTTGATATTTCTACAGGTATTGCATTCCTTTTACAGTTATGAAAGCCAGATAAGTAGCAGCAGTTTAAAAAGCCACTATAAGTTTTATGTCAGAGATCTGAATTCTCTTCATTTACCGACTCTAAAGTATTTTAGTAGATTATCTAAAGAAAGCACAAAAAAGAATAGTTTGGAATCTAAACAGTGATTTTTGCTTTTGAAAAGGAGATCTTTGGTGATTCTTCATATTATCACAACCTGTGGTTTCAGAAGCCCTTACAGGAGGAGCTGTAGGGAGAAGCCAGAGCAAGAGATCCATCTTATAAATAGAATTTTGCTCAGTTTGTTAGTATCCAAGCTGTTTCATTAACAGCATAGAATAAATAAATAAATATACATTTATTTTATATTATTATGCATCATTGTAACATTTAAAATCAATATGCTTTGATCAATCTACAAGGTTATAGTAAAGTGCTGAAGTAAAGCTACCATCTTTAGATCAAATAAATTAAAGTGCCTAATTTTATTTAATCTGAATGCCAATAATGAAAAACATAAGAATTGAATAAAAAAAATCTAATTTAAATAGTCTATAGATTTTTCTTTAAAAAAATCTTAGGTTCTTTCTATACTATAAACCTTAATAATTCATAGTGATAGATAGCTTTACAATTTTTATCCACACAATTAGATTTTGTTTAAAAATGAACCTCATTTCATACTTTGAATATATGTTCCTGTGATAATTCTAGAAGGAAATATTTTCTCCTATATAATTGTAATTATTATAGGCACATTAATCAGCTTAAGAAACGAACTACAAAAATGGAATGGCATGAGAAAATAAACTACACTTGATTTTTAAAAATACATTTCTAAATACATCTGTATTTTTATAGACTTCCTGACCATTTAAATGAATTTAAATGAAACAGTTTCACCCTGCTAAAAAGTACAGGTAAATGTACTGATGAATGCACAAATCATGCTATTTGTGAAGTCCCTGATATGGGTTATGCATAATGAGTTATTAGATTGCTCTACCTTTTCTGCACTGAAAAACTTTTAAAGCATTTTCATGTGTAACTGCACATACTTTTTTTTTGATTTAAGTACTTACATTTCAATTTTCTCTACTAGCATAGGCTTAACATGACTAAAATATAATACTGGGGAAAAACATTACATCATAACTCTAGTCTGGTGGAAGAAACTGAAAGTGAGTAAGAATCTGCAGATGACCAGTCAAAAACTACATTACACATTAAAAAATATACACATGAATCCTTTCCAGGAAAAGCAGATGAGTCGTATTTTGAATCAAACAGGTAGAATGCTTTAAGAATTACAGTCCAGAATTTTGAAATATTGTTTCATCTGAAAAATGTTTGGTCTAATGGTCTGTTCCTGATTTCTGTGGTCAATTTGCAAAAAAAAAAAGCATTAATGTTGATCAAAAGTAGAGGTTACTTGGCATTCACTTTAGCTTATTTCAGTTCAAAAAGTGCTTCCAAAGTTTACAAAGTGCTTCCCTATTCAGTCATCACGCAAACACCATAGTTCTTCAACCATATGCGAAGTCTTTCTATTAGGGAATCAAAACATAATTAACAGTGACACTACATAACAGTTACTGTATATGCAAATAGGATGAAAAATTAAGATTTATAAATCAGGGCTCCCCAACCGCTGCGGCCCACTACCGGGCTGTGGCTTATTTGGAACCTGGCCATGTGAGCGTTGGGCTAGTGCACACATGTGTGTAGCTCAATTTACATTAGCAGCAAGCCAGCACGTGCGCAGTTCAACTTGTTCAAGTTGAGCTGTACGTGCATGCCCGTGTGGGCTGGCCTGATGCTTGTGCGAGTCAAGGTGTGTGTGTCTGTTGGCCCGACGCTCACACGGACACGGCCCAGTTCTCCTCTCTTCCCTCAAGGCTGGGCTGCCAAGCCACAAAGGTTGGAAACTATTGTTCTAAATAATTCATAAAAAATTACCATCATTGTGAAAAATCAAAACAAAAATAAAAGTGATTATCTCCAACCAGCTCAGTTAAATTGTGTTCTAATTACTATGATTTTTTTAATCTTTCAATTTTTCCCCTCAATATAATCCTTCACAGTCAATTTAATAATTGTACATCCTTTGCCAGGCCCTACTATTTTCTACCACTCAAAAAATATTAAAAAGTCTGTTTTACCCTTATGAAGCAAATACTTTTAACTCCTTGCCTCAATTGTTTGGCCTATTCTAGCAATTAGATACATTTTCAGGAGACACCACTGTCACAGTTTTGCATAATGAAATATATAAAACTATATTTTAAAAAAGTTTGAAAATAAATAAGCTACAATCTTATAATTGAATTACAGAAGGAAGGAATCTTGTTTAGGTCTATTCCCTGACCACCGCAGGTATCCATAATGCATCATCCATACAAAAATTGGCCATGCAAATGGTTCAAGCACCTTCAGTTAGGAAGGTTGTGAGTTACGAATTTTGTGAGATCTCATATCAAAACACATAGACTGTGTGATTTGGCTGTAGCCATTCTGTTGTATACTATGAAGGACATTTGACAGTCTTTAAAGATGTGGTTTGTTTTCAATCTCACTCAACTCAGAATTATGTGGATGGCATAACATCTTGCATGTTTACAATACTGTATGGAAAATGTGATAGAAATAGTCTACCTTTTTCACAGTTTGTTCTATGTTTTACACGATGGGTTAGGTTTATAACAGCGGTGAAATCCACTTTGCTACTGGTTCGGGAATGGGAGCATGCGGAAGCGCACGCGTGCTATGCACACGCCTCTTATGCACATGCACATGCACAGAGCCTTCTGTGCATGTGCATAGGGTAAAAAATGGGACATAATGTCCCGGTGAATGGGCGGAGCCTCCCACTGCCGGCGCTACCCATTCGTACGAGCCGGATAGAACTGGCTGGATTTCATTGCTGGTTTATAATATTATTGTAAGTTTATAATACTAAAATGGCTTGCTCTAATTAATAAAGTTAATTCCACTTGTCAATTTTAAAAGCAAGTTGAGGATAGTGAACTCTTCCTGTCAGCAATCTTAGAAATACTGCCCAAGAACACAACAACTACACAAAAACATACCATTGTCTGCTATTGAGTTCCTTCTTCACACAGGATTTGAAAGTGGTATATTTCTGTATGCTTTTGTAACCCTAAAAGCAGAAGACGAAGAAATATGCATGGAAAGGTAGCATGCAAAGGCAGTCACAACTGAACATTAGGAAAACAGTGGCATGAAAAAAATGCTAATTATTAATTATAGAAAAACAGTAAATTTATTGTAGATAAATTTACTGCTCATACAGCTATAATGCGATTACATATTAGATTACTATATAAAGAAAAAGGATAGTTTGGTAAAAAGTTTACACTAAAGACAGAAGCTTTCTGCTTTATAAATAAATATATAAAATTGCTATTTTAAGGCAAGAAAGTATTTACTTGTCTCATGTAATTTAATACTTTGGGCAATTCATTGATACAACGCAAGGTGGCAGTAGAACATATTGGACAAAATGAAAGATATGTGATCTTCAAAATAGCTTATAAAGCAATTAATATATGTGCAAGGGAAACAATATTTATTCAGAGTTAGAGAATGGTGTGTGTGCATGTATTTAGAATAATACTACAATAATATTCTATATTTCTATTAGTTATTAACACAAATAATATAGCATCTTCACAATATTGTGACAAAGTATTTGCAGTAGAAGGTGTAATAAAGTAAATTTTGTCACCACATTCAAAGACCGTGGGATTTTATCAATATATAAAGGAGTGTTAACTACATTTGAACAATCAATTGTAAGTATGTTAGGCAGGTCTTGTGTGTTCAAAAATGGCAGAAAAGGATTGCCCTTCCTCTTACTTGGCTGAAAAATTGGGAACAGTACTCAGCCTATACTTCATCCTCATTGTTTCTAGACTGGCATTACCTTTTACTTTTATTGCTGCCTCTTCTCCAATCTAACCACAGTCTGCCACATGGGGAAACGTACCCCAATTTGGGAAACAACTGATTGTTATGGATTGGACTATTAACCCACTTGAATTCAAAATCCTAAAATATTATTTGTGAAGTTAATCCATCCTTAAAGTTCCTATAGTTCAGATTCAGATCAAGTTGAAGTATGAAATGTGAAGTATCCTGCTTGATATACTTCCTTGATTCTAACTGTTGGCCTCATCCAAAATAGCTTACATTCTACTTCACTCAGCAGCTATCAAAATGTGGAAAAGTGGAATGTCTTCAAACAAAGTATCAGAAAATGGGCCAGGAAAGAGTAGCAGGTAAAAATTAGAAAAATGACAATGAATTGTATCACTTGTTGCTAAAGAGGAGGGGCAAATAGCATAAAAAGAGGCGGGCCAATGCAAACTCTACTTCTTTTATACTGGCATCATGATATCACACACACACAAATAAAAAGAGTGAAGATTGTGTCACAACTGTGTAATCATTTTAATGAAAATGGTGGATCGCGTGAACCTTCTGTGGGAGATGCTGTAACTAATCTTAAGAGAGCTACATAGCTTCACATTGCTCCAGAGATATTTCCCTCCATTGGGGAAAAATGCTAGGAACAAGTAGAGGTGCAAATGAATAAAAGATTCAGAGAGACCCAGTAAAAAAGGAGAAAACCAGACTATATAAATGTGAGAAAAATAGATAAAAGTTTCAGTTGTTTGGTTCAAATAGGTGCATGGCCCAATCAATTTCTAAGCCACAGATTTAAATGGTTGCTGGTTTTGACTTGTTAATCTAAAATGTTTATACTATAAAATGTATTAGTCTTTTTTAAAAAAATCACAGAGTTTACTGAGGTTTTGAAAAACCTTTCAAGTCTGAGCTAATTTAAACTTGTAAATTAAATAAAAATAATACAAGATCTGCAGATTTATTGTATAATTCATTTGTGACAAAATTGATTATAGATATTAATAAATTAATTGTCCTATTAACCCATCCCAATAAACTAGTTTAATTTTATAAAAGCATTTCATATGCATATACAGGAAGTCATCAATTTACAACAGTTCATTTATGACCCTGAAAAAAGTGACTTATGATAGATTTTACACTTATGACCATTGCAGCATTCCCAGGGTCACATGCTCAAAATTCAGACACTTGGCAATTCATATTTATGAATTCATATTGATTCATATTTATAATGGTTGCAGTGCTCTGGGATAATATGGTCACCTTTTGTGGCCATATTAGCAAAGTCAATGGGGAAGCCAGATTTACTTAACAATCATGTTACTAACTTAAAAACTGCAGTGATTTACTTAACAACTGTGGCAAGTAAGGTCACAAAACGGGACAAACTTAACTTAACAAATAGCAATAGAAATTTTGGGCTCAATTATGGTTGTAAGTCGAGGACTGTCTGTACTGTATATAAATTATAACTGCAAAATTAAAGTTGCTAAATAAAAAACTGAAGATCAGCTTGATTAATAGCAAGGCTTGTAGTTTAAGCCTGCAGAAGAAACAAATATCCAGTCCTCTAAATTAGTGATTTGGCTAGAACTAGAGTATACATGATTAATAGTTTTAACTTCAACAAAAGGATAATTTTGAAATGGCTATGGAAACAGTGTTACAGTTTTAAAGCTGCTGATATAATAAACATGATTAAGCAATAATTTAGATTCTTACTCTGAATCCTCGCTGCAATCTGTCTTTCATAATACCAATAAATTCTTTGTAACTCAGTTGATCATCCTTGTCTACATCAAAGATCTTGAAAACTGTGTTCACTAAATGAGATGAAAGCTTCAAACCAGTAGCCACATACACTGCACGCTTGAACTCATCTAAGGAAACAAAGCAAATTAGTGCGCTAAACAAAACTATTTGATGGCTTGGCGATAGCACTACATGATAAATATACACAAAATTCTATTGTACATAAGGTGATAATGTTAATCAGAAATCTGGGGAGAAATAAAACACTCTTTTTTTCTTATCCTCAGTTCCTAGCTTTTCCTGAAATTTTGCTCCCATTTTAAAAGTATCCAATTTTCCGTATACTATTAAATCAATACAGAGTCACGGGAGTTTACATAATAATTGACAAAGAGATAGAGCAAGGTACTGATATTTCACAAAGCCTAAAGAACAGCTGAGAAACAGTGTCTCCTGGCCTTTACTTTTTTTACTTCACGGTGCTGGGTACAACCATAGGCTTCTTGCAGAAAGTACACAATGGGCAGGCCAGTAACTGGACCATATGGTCCAGAGGTGGGTTTCAGCAGGTTCTGACTGGTTCTGGAGAACCAGTAGTGGAAATTTTGAATAGTTCGGAGAACCGGTAAATACCACCTCTGACTGGCCCACCCCCATCTATTCTCTGCCTCCTGTGTCCCAGCTGATTGGGAGGAAGTGGGGATTTGCAGTAACCTTCCCCTGGAGTGGGGAGAGAATGGATATTTTACAGTATCCTTCCCCTGCCACGCCCATCAAGCCACACCCACAGAACCGGTAGTAAAAATTTTTGAAACCCACCACTAATATGGTCGTGTACAAAGTCAGTTTATCCCAGGTCCCCATTCATTTGGTGATACAGAGTTATTTTAAAAACTAGAAATTTTGAATGCCAGAATATGCTAATGCAGCCTCTGCTTAACCCAACAGCATGCAATGGACGGTTTGTTGCAAGAAATATGTCCTCAATAACTGATAAGTGAACCATCTTAGAGTAAAAGCAAACATGCTCTATAGATAAATTTGTACTAGCCTAGATCAGTTTTATATAATGGTTTACAAATTGCAAGAGTCGGTTACAGTTCATTAGACCAAAACCAAAGCAACAAACTCATATTTTGGTTTAGCTTGCTGAATAAACCAGCCAGTCTACTCATTCTAATTGTCAGCCTTTCCAGGTAGACTGGACATGAAACAGAGCAGATGAGTTAATTGTACTGTATTATGAGGCTAGGTTTATGGAATCTTGCAGTTTGAAAGTGCAAATGTCCTTCTGTCTCTTGCTACAATCTGGTCAGTTAGCATTTCTCTGCCTTTTATGTGGTTGCAGGCTCCCCTCTCCCCTTTTATCCGATCATTCCCTAGACAGCATCTCTTCTTCACATCTCTCAGGGTCTCTCAAGATCATTCCCCCCATAACAGAATTCAATTTGAACAAATCAAGCTAGTTTGGATGCAAAAATACTTATTTTTCTTTTCAAATTTTGACATTTAGTTTTATTCCCAATTCTGTAATTATATTAAGTGATACTTTAAATCAGTGCATTTAGCTACATTTCGATCATTTTAATCACTGATTTTATTGGCTATAATCAGGGATGTTTAAATGTATTATTTTGGTTTTATTAATTTGATATTAATATTTTAGATAAATTGTTGTAGAATCTCCAGCTATGGAGTTTTTTTTTCTTAAATAAGAAAATTGATGAATTATTTTCTTCAAATGAGTTTAATTTAGCATAAATAATTGGATATGCAATGCAATTATAATAGACTTATAATATAATTATATTATATATAATTATAATAGAACAATTAATCAGTGGAATGACTTGCCTCTAGAAGTTGTGGTGCTCCATCCCTGGATGTTTTAAAGAAGAGATTGGACAACCACTTGTCTGAAATGGTATAGGGCACGTTGTCAAACTTGTGATGTCACATTGTTGTCACATGACGTATTGCGATTCCCCCCCCCTTCGCTAAACCGGAAATGGGCGTGGCCAGTGTGTGACACCTCTGGCCCTCGGGCAGCGAGTTTGACACCCCTGGTATAGGGTTTCCAGCTTGAGCAGGGGGTTGCACAAGAAAACCTACAAGGTTCTTTCCAACTCTGTCATTTCTAACATTACACGAAAATTCAAGCTCTATTTTTAATGAAACATTTGATGTAGAAATGTGGAAGGATAGTTAATTAAAAATATGAGTTTCTCTTCTATTATTTGATTCAAGGTACTGGTTATTGCCTGTAATGCCCTACATGGCATGGGATTTTGTTGCTTGAGGGACTGTTTCCCTGTTTCCCATAATATCTCCGTAGACAATTTGATTTTGCAAGATTGATATCTATCAGGACTTGGCAAACACACCTTCTCTGTTGCAGCCCCTGCCTTAGGAATGAAGTTTCCTCTGAGCAGTAATGGGATTCAAATCCCATCGCTACCAGTTTCGCTCATGGATGTGCGCGCGCTCACATGCATGATGCTTCTGTGTATGTGCAGAGATGTCCAGGCGGGTGGGCAGAGCCTCCTGCCACCGCCGCTACAAGTTCACCTGATCTGAGGCGAACCGGTAGCAACCCACCACTGCCCTGGATGGTACCTACTCTGGTATTATTTAGAAGGATCATGAAGACCTGGTTCTTTGCCTAAACTTTTGGCAGGAAAACCCTTTGGTTTATTCTTGTACAGTCTTTCATTCTCGCTATCTTTTTATTTTAATTGGGTACTTCTCTATTTTCCTTCTTTTAGTTTAATTTAATTGTGAACTGCCCAGAGTCATTGGGAGTTGGGTAATACCCAAATGTGATAAATAAGAAAAATAAATAAATGAAAAGCATAAAATCTTGACATTAGACAGTCTTACCTTGTCCTATTGAACGATTTGCAAAATTGTACATTTGCATTGCAATTGCAAAATCTTCCAGATTGTTCAAAAACTGGAAAAAGGATCTAAATTCATCGAATGTAATGCCCTGTGAAATGAAGTAACATTAGACCTTAGAACCAAGATGATAGTTGCTATAATACCTTCTTTATCTTGCAAAAGGCTTGTAGTAAAAAAGAAGCAGGCAATTTAGCTTCCTTTACTTATTAGAACACTGCTGCATTGCTGTCTCAGGAAAAACTATGGTAGCAATAAAACAATTCCTCTGTCTCTTGTCTTTTTAAAATATATTCTAAAATATTTAATAATGTTTATCTGTCATTATACATAATGTATATATAAATATTATATATAATATATATATATATTTAAAGCCTTCAAGCAGTAAGAGTATAATTTATAGCAAATTAAGGAAGCCTGTGTATTTTATAGTATCTATGTTGCTGTTTTTATTCACTTCAGAAATAATAGATTCAGCTAAATTAAAGTTTATTATGCTGTCTAATTATACCTTGGCATGGATCAACGCCAACAAAACATATTATCTGTAAATGTTATTTTTAATGCAGTAATAATAGAGAGTTTATGACTGGCTATGGCTTATTAAAAGATAATAGGAGTATAACAAGGGAATATATAATACCCTGCTCAGTGGTGGGTTGCAGTGGTGTTAGCAGTGGCGGCAGGAAGCTCTGCCCGGACGCCATCAAATACGTTCTGCAAATGTGCAGAAGTGGCGCATGAGTGAACTGGTAGCTACGATAAGTGAAACCCACCACTGACCCTGTTGTAGAAATGATTTGGAAGAGAAATTTCTGTATCATGTAAAGCACTGGGACTCTTTTCACATTTTCACTAATTAACCTTTGCGCTTTTCAGAATAATTTTCAGAATAATTTTTGTCTAGCACTGCCAATTCAATTCTAAAACAGAGATTATCTCCTGGAAATGTGATGGCAATTGATTATCAGATTTAAGAGGAAACATTTACTGTATATCTTTTCATTGGTCCCTATTTTATCAGCCTAAGTGTTCTGTATCTTATTTTGTTCACCTACTAGAAGTGGAAGGAGTGTTATATACTGTACATTTCAGTGGTGGGTTGCCCCTGGTTCGCACCAGTTCTATAGAACCGGTAGTAAAACCGGTGGTAGGTCCCGCCCATTGCCCACTGACTATTGCGCTTGTGCGCGGCCCCATTGCGAACTGGTAGTAAAGGTAAGTAGAACCCACCCCCGGTACATTTGCTGCCTTGAGATATTTATAAAGAATAATAAAGGTAGGATAAAAATAATGTAAACAACAACAATTAACCTATGCCAGTAAACGTTTGATCTCACATACAGAGCAGGACATACTATTCTCTGGATAGAAATATGGGATTTAAATTAAACAGCAATAATATACTGCAAACAAGCCTTTCAGGGAAATGGAAGTCTTTACAATCTGCTCATGTGGCATCTCCTATTTTCTGAGTTATCACTGCTGAAATTTTATCTTGCTGAGGCAAAGCAAAGACACGTTACCAGCCACTTCTTACTCCCTCTGATTCCTTGGAGGAAGTAGAAAAATCTATTAATGTTCTCGCTCCTTTATTCCTATAATTAGCACTTCTTTATTTATATTTTCTTTCAATGTTTCATTAATAGTTTGCTCTTAGTATTAACTTGCCTTGTGGTGAGATAGGTAGCGAATAAATTTAATCAATCAATCAATAAATAATATGCTTTAACTTACTTGCAAGTTAAATATCTATGTAAGAGTAACTAACTATGTTAGCTATTCAGTGTTTTAGCTTCTATTAACTGTTGAATAGAACCAGTTTGGTTAGTAGTAAGGCATCAGGGTAGAAAGCAGGAGACTGTCCATTCATCCTGCCTTGTGCATGAAGCCAGCTGGCTGACATTGGGCCAGTCATTTTCTCTCAGCCCTAAAAAGAAGGCAATGGCAAACCACTTTGGAAAAATCTTGTCAAGAACACTGTGGCTCTCAACAATCAGCAAGATGAATTGCTTAATTCACTGCATACTTTTTAGAGATGTATATTCGACTTGATTTTGTAATTTGATAGAACTTGAATTTGATTATAGTGTTGTTTGACAATTCATTTTGCTAAATGATAAAATATAAAACATGTGGCTATGTGTTGTTTTAGCATATAGTTTGTTAAGAAAAATAATTCAGACTAACAATCAGCTGAAATTAAAATCTGATATGTAATCAAATAGAGAATTATGTAAATTATATGTTATGAGTTGGATGGCTAGAGTGGGAGAAAATATTATCGCCAATGTTTAATCTAAAGGCATTTCACAGACATTGGTGATGATCAGTGGTGGATTGCCCCCAGTTCGGGCCAGTTCACAAGAACCAGTAGTAAAACCGGTGGGAGGCTCCACCCACTGACCCGGACGTTATCATAGGTGATATGCAATGCGTGCGGGCGTGATGGAAACAGGTAGTAAAGGTAAGTAGAACCCACTCCTGGTGAGGATGTAATCAGCAAAATACAGCAAGGGGACTTTTTCTGTCAGCATGTTAAAAGATTCATCTGTATAATTTTTATTCATGATAAAAGGACTTATTTCATGGGGAAATAAACAAACATATTCTGGAACTTTGAATATTTTTTAAAAAAAATATTTTAACATGATTCCAGGGTAAAATGCTTTTATTTAGATTCTGTCAGTCAGAACGGTATGAGCACTAGGCATCTTCAATCTTAGACTATTAATGAATAGTAGCTTTCATATTTAAGCATATCTATCTGGAAATGAATTACTTAGGAAAAGTTTACTTTTCCAGTTAATAAGTAACACAATTGGGATGCTAAAAAGAATATGGCTATGAAAATTCTGCAGAGGCCTGGAGCTCTTGTTGGAAATCTTACTTGTTCTTCTGGGATACTGCAGCGCACATTTTCCAGATAGCTTGATGTATTTTCCACATTTGTATATCTTAATAGTATATGAGCAAAGTCTTCCTCACTGATGGTGGTCATTCCATTAGAATAGGAAAGGAATTCTATCTCAAGAACTTCAGTTTGGAGGTTGTCCATAAACCTAGTTTATGAAAATACTAATATCAAAGTCTTAAAGATTATGGGATAGGCAGGGGAGTAATAGCAAAATCTCTCATGTTTAAATTCTGCTGTAGAATAATTCCTACTATTAATTCAGAGACTAAAACACTAAGAACAATATATTCAGCTATGATATTTTTCAAACACCAGTTCATCAAAACAAAAGCTAAAACAACATACTTAAGTATTTTCCTTTAAACAATTATTGAAGGATCTGAATTTATAAATATATTTAGGAAATCAAATAGGTTGTAGTCACTTGTTTATTTCATTCTCTATGAATAATTCATATGATTAAGACCCATATTCCTCCTCGCACTCCTATAATTATTTGAATTTATTTTTTTGAAAAATATCTATTACACAGCCTCCTCAATTTGGCTTTTCTGCATTTCATGGTAAAATGTCTTTTTTCCTCTATTAGAAACAAATTCATCCAAGTAGATATTTTTTCTTTTTATTCAAGATCAGAAAAATACCTTCCAAAAATATAAGATGTACATAAAAACATAATAGCAATAGCACTTAGACTTATATATCGCTTCACAGTGCTTTACAGCTCTCTTTAAGTGGTTTACAGAGTCAGCCTATTGCCCCCAACAATCTGGGTCCTCATTGTATATTCAAAGTATAAAATAAAGTCACCTGTAAAAATCTTCGAAGTTAAGCTCAGCCTTTCCTTTCTTTCCAAAAAAGTGTATCAGCAATGTAGTATCAGAATGTAAACTGGTAAAGTCATCTGCACGCTTAAAAACACATTAGCAGTTGACAATAAATTTAATGCATGATTTTAGAAACAAAAATAACTCAAAATATTAACAATGAATTTTATTTAAAAATATCATTACGTCTATCAAACTAATACATATTTTACAAAATCAATTAGTAATTAATATATTAATTTTATATAGTTAGTAATTAATACATTAATGTTTACAAAATACATTTTACAATGTATTTGTAAATCACCCAGAGTATTGGAAAGTGAGATGGACAGTTTCTAAATTTGATAAATAAATAAAAATTAATCTTGCTCACAAATCATATAAATAATCTTTTAATGTCTTAATTAAACAAACGTAACATACTGATGTGAGGATATATCAGTGACAGTTAAAAAGTTTGAAATTGGGTGAAATGAATTACAGAAATTAAACAAGATATTTTATATTTTAGCTGAATTATGCTAAAAAGGCAAATCATGATTTTTGTTTAATTGCTTCTTTAATACAAAAAATGAAAAATGAATTTGTTGGGGAAATAAATTTATTAAGGTCTATTTTAGATGTTCATCAGATTATGGTCCTAAAAATCTAATTGCGTCTCAGAAAAATCTATACATGTGAAAATGTTAAAATTTCTACTACTTATGTGGAAAAGCCTCAAATATGAATGAAAGCTGGGATTATAAGAAGCTGCTTTGTAGATTAAAATATAAATTCACAATTTCTGATTTAAATTTACTATTTAAAATTTTGGCAGTAAATATTACCAGGCATGGATTTTTCATACATGACTAATTAATTTTCAGTTTCATAAGCGATAGAATCCAGATGTAGTTATTTGATAGCAAACTGCAGCAGTTCTTGTTTGTAATAGAGTACTCTGCATTATTTCTCAGATGGGGGAGCAGAGTAATGTTTTTTCTCTTGTTTAGAACTTGCATTTCTATGACAGGCTTGGCTGAAATCATCAAGACAACTGCTATGTAAGAACAAGATCATACATGGCGATTATCTCATGCAAGACTTATCGAGCAGCCCAAATCCTTTACAAGCTGTAAGGGGTTCTTATTTATGAACTGGGACTGAATTATTTAGTTTTCTGTTCTTTATCCCATCTTCTTTTCTTTTGTCAGATCATTGTTTGAATTGTCAAGACTATGTTAAAAATATGAATTTATTATTATTTGCTACAGATGCTTTTCCAGTAGAAGGAGAAACCTCTTTTCTAATCATTATATTGTTACCCAGGTTTGCATTACTTCTTCGGAAGCTGCTCCTAGCTGCTTATATATGTGGAAAAGTTTCCAAAATTTTTGAATTTAGCTTGGATGAAGCTTTATTATCAGCTGTTTCATAGAAGAATATCAATTTAGGCCAATATCCAAGAATCTGTAGCCCTAATATAGTTGGAGGTTTTTCAGGAGGGGGCTTCCAAACTTTCAAATGTAGTCTAGTTCTAAGTACGTGAGAAGAATATTTATAGATTTTTTATGTCACAAGATAAATAGGCATCAGATATTTTTGGTGTACAAGACACAATATTAATTTTGTCATTGTGAAGATTAAATACCATAGCTCAAAAGGCTAAGACTCTGAATTCAATGATAAATGCTTAATAAATACATGTACCAAAGAAATGCCAAGGAACAAATAAAAAAAAAAAACCTAAAGGGAGACAAAAATATTTTAAAAGACAGATTATTTACAATGAGGAAAAACAATAAAATTGCATGGGAAACAATGAAATACATTTATGGGCCGTACAGAGGTTTTATTATACCTCTGTGAGGTCTGAAAAGAGTGCCTGACTTGTGCTACGTCTCAGAGTGTCCCAATAGCTTCTTGGAACAAGATCCTCTCCAGCTGTTTTGAGCACCTGTAGAATTTCAAAAATGCATAGATGTTGGGGAGAGGAAAAAAAATCAGTCAGCAAGAACAACTATACACTATAACATCTTTGCAGTGGTCTGAGTACCATTTCCTCCTTTATCATATACTTTTACAATTATATGATTTCTTTTTTAATTGTCTAAAATATTCAGTTTTAAATTACATACAGATGGAAAAGCAAGTCTGAAACAGTATGTGTATACGTTAGATAGATGTACCCAATTCGAAAGAACATTTTATTCTTGACTTTTAATTTCAAATTATGCATTTTTCCACCATGTTTAAGGAAAAAATAGTAATGTGTATCAATTCCAGAGAAAGGCTTATTAAAATCAACTGGCCTTTTATAAGGTTGTGCAATTTTTTTTAAACAGGCCCTTCACTATCTACCTGTGGGATCATGCAGAAAATACGTTTCTTAAAGTCATTGAAGCAACTATGTCCAAGCTCATGAAGCTTTGTAACTTGTTCCTGGGCTAGAAAGGATTTGCACAGGCTTATCTTTCAGCCAGGTATGACTGACAAGTCCCATGGATTTGTCTGATAGGAGCCTGATGTGGAATACATCAGATTAAAAGAATTTTTAAAATAATCTAGTAAAATTAAATTAAGAACTTTAAATTTTATTTATTTAGTAACCCAAACATCTCTCTTATTACGGCTTTGGCTGAATTATAAAATAGAATATTCATCAGAAGCCAGCATAGCCTCTCAATACACCCACCCACACAGACACACTTGAATGCTGCAATCCAATGTAGATATTTTTCTTTAGGAAGAAAGGTATCCTTAATTATATGCTATGAAATTATGTTACTTTTAGGTTTTCTCTAGTGTACAGCATGTTTAAATGCTTTGACATTCCTCTATGAGTTGTTAAAATATTAACTGAGATTCTTATTTGTAAATATTACCTAAAAAAGAAACACATTAATTTTGAATGAAATTCCAAATCGGTACACTTAAGAATGTACATTTCAATCTAAAACTAATTTTGCATTGCCAGAAATGACAATCATGTGAGTGTGGGATGCTCACATCGTAAGTGTGAGCCAGCTGCCAAGCACCCAGATTATGATCACGTGACCATTTGGATACAGGGACTTGTCATAATTTTGGTCATTGAGCAAATGGTTGGTGAGAATTACTGAGGTTGAACATGATAGTAGTGATATAGGGAAAAGAAACAGTAAAGTGAATATTAAAAAACTGTAGCAAGTCCACTCTTCAGCCTATGGATCTTCCTGTGTAAAGGATTTATGATTACTGATTATTTATAATTTTTTAAAAATGGGGTGCTCCATTGTATATATTTTTAAAATGAGTAGGGCAAAAAAGCTTTTGTTCTCATGTAAACATAATTTTCCTCTGCTACTTACGAAAGCAGCCCTACTTTTTTCAGGCTTGAGATTCTTTTGTTCAGATTGACATTTAATGAAAAGCAGAGCGCTCCTGTTGTTGTATGAGGTGCATCTACCTAATATTCAGGTTCAGAGAACAAATACGTTGTGCGAGCCTGTTAAACTACTGACTATATGAAGAAAAACTGTATGCCTTTGTATGCCTCAGTGCCTTGATAATGATTGATAGTTGGTGGGTACTGAGGTACCTCAATATCCAGCAAATTGTTCAGGATACATATATGTTCAAAACAGAACTAGTTAGTATTTGTCCAACTGTACATGCTTAATTTTCATCCAACATTTGTTAGGGTGTCAGAAGGCACATGCAATGCATGCTTACTGCATGCATCAGACAAAGATCTGGGAAAGTAATACATAATATGAAGGTATGACAGTAAGTTTTTCTACTCTGACTCAGCCCACTTGTATCTATGCTGTGTCCTTAATGGTTCACTATTATCTTACATTATTTAAGAATGTTACTGCTCCTAAAAAGGATTGTATTTCTAACAGCAGAAAGTTAATTGCTTAAAATTAAACTCATAATTGAACTGATTGTTTCTCTTGTCTGCCTATCTCTTGCTCTAATTCTTCTAGACTACACAAGCTAGTCTTCATTCTAAGGGTGGTTCCAATTTTACCGACCTCTTTTATCTTACCTGGTTAATTAAAACATACACTAATACTGAATATTCCTTTGCTCTTTCTAAATAAAATAAACTGCCTGAAGAGAAGCTCATAGCTTAACTATTGAACCTGATACAGTAGTATTGAAATTTATCTACATGGTATGGTGAATTCAATTAAACTGGCAGCATACAAAGGGAAGCATATAATCTTATATGTATAGTATTATCACTCACTACAAATATTAAGACTTGAATTTTAAGTTGTAGTCAAAAAATGTCATTGTCCTGAGTTTTAAGATATTTAAAATCTATAGTAATCACATTGTAAGTCTAAATATGAGTTCTCCATAAAGCAAAAGAGGTTAGAAATAAAAACTTCCAGTATATTTATAGATGATCAAAAGCAAATAGAAGAACAAACAGCCGTTGCATCTCCCACCAGTTTTTTCTTTGGTCCTTTCATCCACCTATGGTGTAAATCTGGAGCTGTCTTGGTGAACAACATAATAAAAATGGTTTATTTGATTGTTATTGGAGTGGAGGTAGAGGTGGGAGTGATTGCTTTTTTATTGCTTTTATACTGGGTTTTAATCTTGGTAAACTGCCAGAGCCATTGAGAATAAGTTGGGCAGCCATATAAATTTTCTTACATAAATAAATAATAAATGAATAAAATAAAAAGACACAATGACTATCTTGTCCTTCTACCTCAATATTATAGAACCAAAAAAAATCCAAGTTAGGCTTACTACAGATAGTTTCTCTTGATTTATAATGAACATGTGGATTTAAAAGTGAATTGCTCCATACATTACAGTAAGTTATAATTTATATAATCACAGTTTATTAAATATGATTCGGTTGCTGAATTAACACTTGCTAAGCCAAAATCAAATGAAATAAATTCTGTCTTAGTGAATATGTGAATCTAATCATTGCCAAATATACTGTATTGTAAATAATGTTTGTATCATAAAAATAGTGTTTATAGATCAGTAAACAAGTTTAGAATACATACATTAGTAGAACTGTGGTATCCATAAAGCTGGAGATGCTGATATAAAGCAGTATGAGTGAAGAGTTGAATTTCCGAATAAAACCAGTAGAAAAAAAGGAAAGAAATCAGCAATTAGCTAAGAGATACAAACCTGTATTAAAAAAAAGTATGAACTATTCTTTATAGCTGAGGTTATAAGCCACATTTTAATGTAGATTTTTAATTACCTTTAGATCACATTCTGATCTTAAAAATACAATTATACAACTGTAAAAATATAATTATATAAGACTAATAAGAAACAGAGTTATATCCCTATCAAAATACAAATTTCATTGTTTATGCAATTGTTCATACAAAGTGTTAGAATCTTTTCCTTTTTGGTTGGTTCTGGCTCTTCCAAAGAAAGGAATAAAGCTGCTGGAGGAGAAGAAATTGCAAGATTGGTTCTAACATCTGAAATACTCTTATTTAAAGTGCTCTTCATTGGTACAAATGATCTATTTATGAACATCTAATTATGCCTGCTACTTATTTCTTTTGTGTCTATCTCTTCTATTACCAGTAAAAAACCCCAGAGGCTTAGGTGCCCTTCATGCTATTCATCTATATTTTTAAAAGATGGATTTCTGACACAAGCAAGAACCTTTTGGAAAGATAAGCACATTACAAATTAGCAAATATCCCATGTAACATTTGCAATAGGCTCTCATTTACTTTTGAGTTATTAATTATTTTTAAATAAAAGGGTACATATAAGGTATTTTAATTGAGATAATTATCCATGAGAGGCACCATTCAAATTAGGTATTAGATACTTCCTAACACACATTTTAGCAGGTGGTGATTACTGATGATGGAAACATTTTAAAGGTTTTTTTAATAAAAATATGGTATACCAAATAGTATTAAAGTAATTGTAGAAGTATTTTACTGCAGTTTAGAAAAATCCTCACCATGGTAGTCATGTGAGAAATATTGTGTCTATAGTAGATAAAGTAAATTTGAATTCAGCTGTAATAGTTTTAACTGCCCAATAAATTATTTTCCATGTCAAAACCATACTCCCTTTAAAAAAAGATGGCAAGGCAATGCTAAAAATTATTGCACCTATTTTCCCTATCAAAATCAGGTATGATTTACTTGCAGCTTACAGTACCGTAGAAAAAGAATAGTTTATTTCCATCAGTCTGAAGATAAATTTGCTTGATTTTAAATCAGATTTTGTTCTTCTACAATTTCTGTTTCAGTTAAAGTTTGAACTATGATAAAGGCTCGTGTTCATCAAAAAAGAAAATGTGGAACTGCTGTTATTACTGTTTTGTAATATCCTTATCCTACTGAGAACAACATTCAAAGAATTATGAAAAACCCTTTAATATTTGTTTAAAATCCTTACCAGCATTCCACGCTTTTCTTCATCTCCTTTTCTTTCTTTCTTCTCATTTTTCTTTCTAAATATGTCTTGCAGCTGAAAAAAAATAAATTGTATCATCTATGGTTATTTATTTTAACCATGTTTATGGACAATACCATAGTCATAATACTTTGGGATACAATGTAGGAAAATAGAGTCTTAGCTTCAGCTGAATAATATACATTTATTTTTTAATAAAATAGTTTTAGATAGCTTTTAACTGCTATTCTCCCATATATAAAAGTAAATGCAGTATCATGTTAAGCAGCACACTGAAATCTCAATTTATTAATAAATGAAGTTTGACAGTCCCATTAGGTACTATGCATGCAAATACTGTAGATGTTGAGAGTTTCGTCCAAGAACTGTCATCTGCTACTTTTTTATTAATAACAGGAACCAACTCTGTAAGTTGCATCTTGCATCTGCGTCTGATTCAATTAACTTGATCAAAATCTTCTAGACATACCTGATTGACATGCTACATTTAATATTATGGCATAGGTACAAAACCCTGGGCCAAAGATTATATGAAGTCTATCAGGTGGTATGTTGTGGCCTTAACTTCCTCTGCCCAATTCTTTTATTAATTGATTTGCTTTGATTTGTAAGGCCTCTCATCTAACAATAGTAAATAAAAATGAAAAATGAATAACAGTAAACAATGACCCCCTACCCATGCTGGAAGTGGAGGCTTGCTGTGGAGCTATCAGTCAAGGAACTTTGGTAGGCAGGATCCAAAAGGACCTTCTCTGCTATAGCCCCAACTCTCTGGAACATCCTGCCCCCTGGGGTAATGTCTACCCTTTTATCCTTCTGCAAGGGCCTAAAGACCTGGCTTTGCTGGTTGGCCTCGGGTCTCAATAGGGGAGTACCACACTGGAGTGGCTACTGGACTTATTAGCTGACATGACCTCCTCCTTGTGCTTCCTGCTTCCCTTCTGCTCATCTTTTAATTCACATTATTATATTTTATTGCTAATTTTTATTCTTTTCATTGCTTTGTTAGTGTTTGTTTAGATTTTTTATCATTTTTTTCTGTTTCACTGTTTTACAACAGTGAAGAGTTACAGCAAGGAACTCTAATAATAAATAATATAAAAATTAAAAATAAAACAGAAAAAGCAATATAAAAACGCTATAACAGCAACCATTATCAACATCAGTATGTGTACATGTACATAAGAGAAAAAATGTTGCATTTTGTTTGTGTGTACGGAAGAATGTAAGGCAAGAAATTGTTTTTGATCATATATATTTATTTTTAAACTTGGAAATTAAGTTTCAAATAAATATAAAACTAGGGACTCACATGTGGAAATGGGGATCAACAGATAAAATCATAATATTAACATTTAATGACTAACTTCAGCCTACATTCACTTCTGAAATATTTCTGTGTGACTCAGCAACTTAATAACTTTGATAACTAGCTTTGATAACTAGCAAATGCACTATGTTTTTAGAAATAGCTGAGTCTCTGAACCAATATTGATATTCATTAAAAGCATAACAGTTCCACTGAAAATGTACCACTTCAGAATAGAAGGTGAAGCTTCATATTCTATTTATTTTCTCATGAACATTTCCAAATATAGAAAGTTATTTATTAAATAAGAAGGGTTCTAGCCTCATTTCTTTCATCCGGCATATTAGCTTTCCAAGGAAAGAACATTCTTAAATGTAGAAGCCTTCATCATGTAATCTGCCACCTGCACTCTGTACCATTGACCCAAGAGATTACACCATATGTTCTTTTGAACATTTGAAACAGCTCACATTGGACTAAACTGTAAGGTTAGTTTTAAAAAAAGGTAAAGAGAGTGTTGGTAATTGAAAAGGCAAAAAGACCTTTAAAAGAAATCTTCCATGCTTTGATTTCCCTTACACCAGATACAGGGAAGAAGATCTTGTTGCATTCATCAGTAAAGCTCATTTGATCTTCTGGAAATGAACCTTTTGTGTAGAAGAAGTGCTACAGGATACCAAAGAATACAGCAGTGAACATGAATTAATCTAGGGGCACTTTTCATAGGAACATTGTCTGAAACAAAATAATGGGATTGACTGTTGAAAGCTGAAGGACAAAACAACATCTCTTGTATCAAGGGAACAAAATCCCTCTGTTCTCTGATCTCAAACCTATGACATAAACAAACAGTTTTTTAAAGACAAAAATCTGTTAAGCATTTGATGACTTAATTTAGATAATTTTTAATGTTTTGCTGTATACAAAACCCTCTGGGTGTTATAAACTCTACATTATCATGTTTCACATTCTTATGCAATGAGACTTAATAAGTATCAACATGAAGAGTAATACTGTAGACTTTTTATTGTTTTATTGGTTTCCTTTACATAAAAGCTCACTCAGAGTTTCCTCTCAAGATCCTTTACATCTTACAGTCAAAGGCAAAATAGCAGGTACTGGAAAAGTCTTTGGTTTACATTAAATGTTTCTGTGGGAGTTTTTCTTAAAGCCCCTGTTCTATAATGTTGGTCACAATTTACACTTCTTTCGCATCCAGGCTTTTTTATACATAAACCACAAACGTTCTTATTTAGATGAAACTGCATCATAATCTTCTTCCCTCTCAGTAGTAATTTACAAAATGCCTGTCCTTCATGTTTGCAAATTATGGTAGATATCTATCATTTCATACCTTCAAAATGCCAGATCAGCGTCAGACTTATTCCAGTTACTTAGTCTATTAACTGGAGAGGAAATTTTTATTTATTTTTATCCCCTGCTTTCTTACCATACCCCTCTGGGTGCTTTCAAACTGATGGCTTCTAAAGACATTTTTTGGGGGGCAAAAAAAACCCTGTAAAATAAGTGATAGGGAAATGCGTGAATTGATACTTATAAAATTTCACTGACCTTTGAAAAATGCATGAAGAAGGAAGAATTATATGTATTAAAAGCTCTAGAAGCTCCTCCTATATCTCTTATTATACTTACTTTCTCAACTTTCTTCTTCAGTTCACCTTCCTCTTCTCCCATACCTTTTCCTCCATTTAGGCTTCACAACCACATAGGGATATTAGCTAACCACCCTTTATGTTTCTTAATTTATCACTTTTTATCATATGAAGCCCCTCCATGTAGAATTCTCCTTTGGGAGAGGGGCTTGTGTGTTTTGTAATGCTGACAGCTATGCTAGAGGTATACGACCAGGAAATATATCAAGCCAGACAGGTCTCAATGAAGGAATCAGATTAAGAGTATCCACAAACCCATTAACCATGATGAGTCAACAAAAAAAGCTGTTGCCTTGGTTAACAAGGACTACAGCAGTTGCTGTCCTTGGGCATCTATCGAAAAGTGAGTTACAGGCTTGGAGAAAGACCTGGTGACATACTCCACAAAAAACTCACCAAGAAAACTCTATAGAAAAAATCTTAAACATGTCAGATAGGGTACCTAATTTTTTTCTTTTTTAAATTTGATTTATATGCCGCCCTTCTCCGGAGACTCAGGGTGGCTTACAATGTGTTAAGCAATAGCCTTCATACTTTTGTATATTTTATACAAAGTCAGCTGATTGCCCCCACAATCTGGGTCCTCATTTTACCTACCTTAGAAAGGATGGAAGGCTGAGTCAACCTTGAACCTGGTGAGATTTGAACTTGCAGTAATTGCAGGCAGCTGATGTTAATAACAGTGCTTTAGTCTGATTTAGTCTGCTGCGCTACCAGGGCTCCCTGGTAGGATAACAGGAATCCCAGTTGCTGAGGCAGCCAGTGGCAGAAACAAATGGCTGCGCTGTATAGAGATACATTAGATAATCACATGGAAGCTCAGAGGAATGAGAGGGTAAATTAGATATTGTCAAACAAGAGATGATCAGATTGGAAATTGATCTCCTTGGAGCTACACTGGTCAGACAATGGCTTTTTCCAGTTTGAGGATTTCACTGCCTATTATTCAGGACATAATACCAGGAAAGCAAATGAAGTGGCGTTTATTGAAAGCAAGAAATTTGCTAGAGTAGTGGAAAGCTTCTCAACTGTCAGTGACCAAATTATGACCATCAGAATTTACGCCAAGCCCTCAGTATCACAGTGTCCAAATCTTTGCCCAAATGATTGCTGCAACAGAGCTTGAAATAGAGAGCTTTTATGCCATTATCCAAGGAACTCTGAAACAAGTGCCCAAAAATGACATTGTTTACATTTTGGGCAACTTCAATGCAAAAGTTGGCAAATAAATGGAAACAGGCATCACTAGCCATTTTCCACTAGGTGAGAGGAACGATATAGGTGATCATTTGGTTCAATTTTGCCAAGAAAACCAATTTAGAATCATGAATACATGATTCAAACAGAACAAGCCCTGCTTATACACTTGAACCTCACTGACTGGATCTCACCATAATGAGACTGACTATGTCCTATGCACTCAACTATGGATCAGTTCAGTCCTTGCTGTTAAAAGCCAAGTCCTGATTGTTGCTCAGATCATGAATTGTTGGTGGCAAAGATTAAAATTAAACTCTGCACCATCAAAAAGACAGTTTGATGTCACTAAAATTCCTATTACATATACAATTAGGGTGAAAAATAGGTTGAACTCCTGGGCACCACTGAGAAGACGCCTGATGAACTGTGGCAGGAAATTCACCCGGCCATTATTAGAATTGCAGGAGAACACTTACTGTACATGAAGCCAGGAAAAAAGTGCAACTGGCCCTCAGATGAAACCATCAAAATAGCTGAGCAAAGAAAAGCATCCAAGGCAGCAGGCGAATGGAAGAAGTAATAAAACTGAATGCAGCTTTCTAGAGGGCAACAAGGAAGGATAATGAAGTTTACTGGGATGACCAATGTAAACAATTTGAAGTTAACTACAGGAAGGGTTGCACCAGGAATGCATTTATGCAAGTCAAAAAAATCTGAGCACCATTTATTGCTCATAATGGCATCATTAAAAACAAGCAAGGGAAACAAACTGTCCAACCAACAAGGCATCCAGAACAGATGGCGAGCATATACAGAAGAGCTGTACCCATGTAGTAAAGGACCCAGCCTCAGGATGATGAGGAAATAGAAATAGAACTGGTCACTCTTAAGAAAGAGATCATATGGGTGATGACGCAAGTGCCAAACAACAAGACTGCAGGTGTTGACACTATCCCTGCAGAATTACTGAGACCTGTATACCCAGAGTCAGGGGGGATCAGTGCCAGAAAATTTGAGAAACCAAATTTTCAATGATTGGAAACGTTCAGTGTTCACTCCATTGCCAAAAAAAGGTGATTCTAAAGATTGCTCCAATTATTGCACAATTGCCCTCATCCTTCACATCATCAAGATTCTGCTTAAAATTATACAACAATTTCTAGCACCAACTATTGAAAGGAAATTAGCAGATGTTCAAGCTGGCTTTCGAAAGGGTTGTGGCACTTTGTGACCATATTGCAAATCTGTGCTGGATAATAGAAAAATCTTGTGAATCATTTACATGTGCTTCATCAAGTACAAGAAGCCTTCAATTGTGTTGATAATGAGAAACTATGGGGAACCCTACAAGCCTGTGGATACCAGAACATCTGGTCAAATTGGTGCAATCATTATGTACAAAACAGAAAGCCACTGTGTGAACACCATATGGAGACACCAATTTGTTTAAGATAGAGAAAGAAATGTGGCACAGTTGCATTCTCTCCATTTTCTTATTCAACCTGTATGCCAAAATATCGTAATCATGAGGAAGATAGATTTTGAAGAATCAAAAATTGGGGTACAGACTGAAGGAAGAAACATCAACAATCTGACGATGCAATTCTCCACTCAGAAAGCCTGAAACATCTGATCAAGAAAATCAAAGAAGAAAGTGAGAATTTTGGTCTCCTTCTGAACATCAAAAAACCAAATTCATGACCACTGCAAGGAATGGAAACATCAAAATAGAAATTGATGGTGAAGAAATAGAATGCATAGAAAATTTCACTTTCCTAGGGTCGCCAATCACTCAGAGCGGTGAATGCAGTGCAGAAATAAATCATTGGATTGCAATGTTGAACATGAGTCGAATATAGAAAAGCAAGGATATCAATTTGGCAACCAAAAGTAGGTTTGATTATTGTGTTCCCTATAGCTACCTATGATTGTGAAACTGAAATAAGCAAGACAGGAAGAAAATCAACTCATTTGACCTGTGGTGCTGGAGAAGACTCCTGTATATTCCTTGGGTAGCAAAGCTGACAAAAAAAAAGTACTAGAGTGCATAACACCACACATGTCACTAGAAGGAAAAATCAGAAAACTGTCTCACTTATTTTGGCCATGTCACATGGGGAAATTTACTGAAGAAAGTAATTATGTTGGGAAGAGTTAGCGGTAAAGGGAAACCTGGCCACCTATGCACACTGTGGCTGGACATTATCAAAGCTGACACCAGCCAGTGCATAGAAAAAGCAGTGCAAGATTGCAAGATATGAAGAGACTTGGCCCATAGACTTGCCAAGGTCAGACACGACTGACCATAAAGTCATCAACATCATCATCAAAGGAAGAAGTCACATTAGGCAAGAAGAAAAGAGTCAAATGAAGAACCAAAGAATAAAAATCCCCTATACAACATAAAGGTTTAGGAAAATAATTTCTTAAGGTAAATAAATGGGAGATTTGTTTTCTTTTAGAATTTGAATTTGAGTAACGTTTATTTACAAAAAATAATTTTGCCTTGAAAAGATTTAAAAAATTTAAAAAACATATTATAACATTTTAAAAAAAGGAAAGCAACAATTTAAAAAAGTTACATGTAGCATACCTACCACCAAAAACTCTTTTTTGTCCACCATTTCATTTCCATCTGTATCAAACATGTTGAATGCTATTCTAAAACCAGCATGTGGTTCTGTCAAGAATGATAAAAAAAGATGTTAAGACAAAATAAATATTTTAAGAATTTTACTGAAACTAAAGGCCAAGTTGTATACTACACTGGCAGCTATTCAAATATCAATACAACACCCCCCCAAATCATAAGGAAAAATGGAGTGACCTGCTTAAGATTACTAGCAAAAAGAATGCTATATCTGTACCTATACTTAACTCTTCTCCACCCCACTTTTTTCAGCAAACCTGTTACTAAATGTATTTTCAGCTGTATGAAAAATGCTTCCCTGTGTATTGAAGTGAGAAAGGTGTTCATATCATATAAAATCAATCTGCCAGCCTCACTTTGCCTTTTTGACAGGAACGTACAGTGTTTCAACTATAAAATCGTTATTATTACACAAAATTTGGTCCTGTTTCATCAAACACACTGTAGAGAACTTAATCCACTTTAAATGACAGCAGAACGCTAATAGCCTTTCCAAAAATGTATTCTTATACCAGCAGAATGCTTTTTTCCATATTTCTGATCTTCCAAATGTTATTATCAACCACTCAAAAGGTAGCCCAATACTCCCTTCTCCTTTGTTTCTATACAAGAGTCTTGTCTTTCTTCAAAAAAGAGAAGGGACATTGGTCCTACCTGATACGCTCCTTCTCGTTGTGTGGAGACAGCAGCCAGCATGGGTAGTACTCATCCAATCAGCTGAAGGACTGAGTCAGCCAATCATGTTAAGTCCGCCCTTGTTGCCGGGCAGATCCAGCTTTTGATGAAGGACTATAATGGCAGACTCGGCGTGTGGGTAGGCAGAAAGGAAAGACCGAAGAAGAACAAACACAAGAGGACCAGACAGGCAAAGGGAGGGTCTGGCTGCTGTCTCCACACAACGAGAAGGAGTGTATCAGGTAGGACCAATGCCCCTTCTCCATTGTTTGGTGGAGACAGCAGCCAGCATGGGACATACCCCAGTTCACTGTCCCCAAGACTGGGAGGGGCCAGGCCGGTCCGAAACCACGTCACTGGCCACCACCTGTTGTAGCACCTGACGACTGAAGGCGGCCTCAGCCGAAGCAAACTTGTCTAGTTTATAGTGCCGTATGAACGGTGCGGGTGAGGTCCAGGTAGCTGCACGGCAAATCTCCAACAAAGGAGCTTGAGTAGCCCAGGCTGCCACCGTGGCCGCGCTACGAGTGGAATGGGCCGTTACTCGAGAAGGTCGCGGCAAGGAACGAAGGTCATAAGGTGAAGCGATGGTCTGACGAATCCAGTGGCCTATAGTAGACGAAGATACCTTAAGACCCAACGAGACTGGAAGGAAGGAGACAAACAATGCTTCCGACCGGCGAATAGCAGCAGTACGCTTGATATAAATTTGCAGAGCCCGCCGGACATCCAGAGTATGCCAATGGCGCTCATGAGGATGCGAAGGATGCGGGCAGAAATTTGGCAGAATAAGTTCTTGTGAGCGATGGAAGACGGAGTTAACCTTCGTCATGAAGGTAGGATCCAATGGGAGGACAACACGGTCCGCGTGAAACACGCAGAGGTCAGCTCGGATGGACAAAGCCGCCACCTCCGAGATGCTGCGAGCCGAGGTTACCGCCACCAAAAAGGCAACTTTGCAAGATAGCAGTTGTAGAGAGGCAGTCCTTAGAGGTTCATACGGAGGACCCATGAGAGACTCAAGCACTTATGGAAGGTCCCAGGTAGGGTAACAATGCAGGACCGGAGGAGACAGGTTCGTTGCGCCTCGAAGAAAACGATTAATCAGAGGATGTTGAGTCAGAGATGACAGTGACCCGCAGGTAAGTACAGAGGAAATGGCGGCCACCTGGCGGCGTAATGTGTTAGGGGCAATGCCATCAGAGAGACCCCGTTGTAGAAAAACAAGAATGTCCATAATAGAGGGTTGGAGAACATTCACACCTGTCCAGTCACACCATGAGCAGTAAGCCCGCCAAGTCGCAGAATAAATTCTGTCAGTGGAGGAACGTCTCGACGCCTGGATCGTCCGAATCACGTCCTCTGGAGCCAGAACACTCCTTAGGGAGAGCCGCTCAATCTCCAGGCGGTCAGGCTGAGCCAGGGAAGGTCCGGGTGGCTCAGTGCCCACTGCGTCAGAGCGTCCGCCTCGAAGCGAATGCGCCAGGAAGGGGCGACAGAGAGGGATACTAAGTCCGCAAACCATGCTCTGCGCAGCCAATGAGAAGCCAAGAGAATCACCTCCGCCCATTCGTCCAGAATCCTGCGGATGACCCTGGGAAGTAAGGAGGGTGGAGGGAAAGCGTATAAAAGACCCTCCGGCCATGGAGCCCGAAGTGCATCGATGGCTTCTGCCTGAGGATCTGGAAACCGGGCAAAGAAACGGGGCAGCTGAGCATTGGCATGAGTTGCAAACAAGTCCACAATCGGCATCCCGAACCGATGAACCAGGGATTGAAAGATCCTGGGATGAAGCCGCCACTCTGCATTGTCCACCTCCTGACGGCTCAGCCAATCTGCTTGGGCATTGAGGACATTGGCATTGGCGATTGAGGACGAGGGGAATAAGGGGCAAATCGGGAATCCCCCCTGCGATGTACAGGAGCCAGGATTTCCTTCTTGTCTCTGGTTTCGGTGAGGAACGGCTCCAGGGCCGAACCGAAGAGCTGAGATCCGCCGAAAGGGACTGAGGCCAGACGCCACTTATGGCGAGCGTCTGCCTGCCAGTGGCGGAGCCAGACTAGGCGACGGGCAGTGACTGTGGAAGCAAGGGCCTTGGAAGCGAAACGAGCGGCGTTCAAGGTGGAGTCCGCCGAAAATTGCAAGGCCGCAACAATTTTGTTCAAGTCCTGCCGGACGCGGGTGTCTTCCGGAGGAAGTTTTTCCTGGAGCTGGCGAAGCCAAAGCAAGGTGGTGTGATTAAAAAATGACGCCGTAGTTGCAGCCTTGATGGCCCAAGCGGAACCTTGATGTGCCCGCTGGAGAACTAAATCAGCACGACGCTCATCCGGACGTAGGCCCTCATCAGGATCCCCCGGGACGTTCGCATTGGGTAGCAGGGCGGCAATAGGGGCATCGAGTGATGGCACCTGAAGAAGGGAGTCCAGTTCATTCGCGACCTGGAAATTCTTTCGGTCGTTCGTCTATGGAGAAGGAGCTGTGCCTGGGGAAGACCACTGTCGTTTCACCACGTCCACAAATAGAGGAGGAGTCGAGATAGAGGTGATAGGTCTAGCAGGCTCGGCAAACATGGGGTCCAGAGCCCCAGAAGCAGGAACTGGATCTGCCGCAGGCGAAGACAAACGAGCAGTATTAACAGCTTTAAACAAGAGAGACTTGAATAAGGCTTGTGGAAAGAATCCAGTAAAGGCCGGTTGCTCCTGAGGTAAGTTGTCATCGTCCGATAAGGCTGAATCATCATAGTCCACATCTGTCAAAACAGAATGTTGAGGTGAGTGAGAACAGGTAGGAGAATCCGGAGCCCTGGATTGGTGATCTCCTACGGTTCCCCGTTCGGGGGAAGCAGAAGAGACTGACCGTACAGATGCAGGATGGCTACGAGGACGGTCCCGTGCGGCCATGGACCTCTGTACCGCGTTCTCAATAAGGAGTTCAAGTTGCTCGGGAAGCAATTGACAAGAAATAGCCGTTGTGGAGGGTGTTGTGGCAGGAACAGAGTCGGAAGGATGCAGAACTTCCGGTACTGGTGCCTCAGGTGAAGGAGGAAGATCAGAAGAACCCCATAATGCCGAAGTCGAAATGGTCACTGGACAATCTCGCAGGGACAAGTGATCAGGTGTATCGGGTCTAGTCACAGATTCAGGAGGCGGATTGTCAGCCACAGGAGTGGGAACCACACTCTTAGTAGCAACATCTGCGCTCGCTCTCTCGCAAAGTTTTGTCAAAACTTTGTCTCTACACCTCTCAACTCTCGAGGAGCCACCATGTTTGTGGCTCTTGTGGTGAGACCTAGCAGAATCAGTTGAAGGCAGAGACTTATCAGAAGGCACAGTTTCATATGGCCTATCGTGAGAGGCAGAATCTGACTGATCATGAGCAACAGTACTGGCCAAACGGTCATGTTTTGATTTTGACAGGGCTTTTGGCATGGCTGCAATGCAATATGTAGAATCCGTGCGATGAAGGCTCCGCCAGACAGAAGTAGATGGTGTAGTAAGTACAGCGACTGGAAATGGCAATCACCTCAGAAGCAGCACTAAGCGAGATGGAGGGGGCATAAAAGCTCCACTAGCCCATACTGTGAGCAAACTGCAGCCAGTTGTCAAGAAATACGAACAGGGGCGTAAACTCCAGTCCAGCCCTGATATCTCAGAGGGAGCGCTAACACTCCACAAGCCCCAATGAGAAGAGTCAAGTCTTGTAGAATCACAAAATGGCCACCGCAATTGCAGTCTTATATCAAAATGACGGCTCGCCAACTCTCTAGTCTCAAACGTCCACGTGGAGTCGTGCCAGTGAAAAAAACTTGTCAGTAGATAAAGACAGGAGGAGAAACTCAGGCGAAGGTCCCGAAGAAGCCATCAGCTGACAGGAGAGAGATCGCCAAGGCTCTAATCGGAGAATTGATGGCAGCCGGCAAGGGGGCGATTAGAAGAAAAGCCTCCTCCTCGCAGCCCAGTAGGCCCACAGGGAGGGTCAAACGTTCAGTTCCTGAGCTCTGCTGACGGTCCAGCAAGGCAATAAACCAGAAAAAAACAAGCCGCCAGCAAAGCCGATCAGGAAGGCAGGCGCGGCTTGATTTACGAGCCAAAATGGCGGCCGCAAGTGCTCAGAAGGAATTTTTCTGCCGTTTTAAAAGACGGGCGGCTGAAACGGCAATCAGGGAAGCAGAAGGAATTCGCCCCCCCACAGCACAGCAACAACCCCCCCCCCCCGTTAGGGGAGGAAGCCAAAGGGGCGAAAAACTCCAAAAGGCACCAAGTCAGTAAAAGGGGCAGAGGCAACTCACAGTGTCCAAATGCCAGTCCAATAGGTCGTTCACGAGGAGGACAAAAAGCACCGGAAACAAACGATCCCAAATCCAGATAGCAGAACACGAAACGTAAACAATCCAAGGTCGAACCAGTAGTCAAATATGAGAAATAACAGTAGAAAAAGGTGGAATAAAGACACAGCCAAAGACCCACACGCCTGATCAACTGAAAGGACTGAGTCAAAAGCTGGATCTGCCCGGCAACAAGGGCGGACTTAACATGATTGGCTGACTCAGTCCTTCAGCTGATTGGGCGAGTACTACCCATGCTGGCTGCTGTCTCCACCAAACAATGGAGAATTAAATTTGTGGCATTGTTCAATATTTCAAAATGTATTGATGTTCCATGCCTTTTACTGAAACAGTACAGTGATATGAATGTTAGAAGGAATAGACCATGAAATATCATTTTAGATGTGGGCTACATAGTTACAGCAAAGTTTGGGTATAGCATAAGCCTCTCATATGGAAAAATGCTAAATCACTTTACATTTAATAAAGTTGCACTGTTGAGTTTAAGAGGTCACTTTCTTGAGTTGGCTAAAAACTGTACAGTATCAGCGTGACGTTTGCTGTCCGCATTGCCAATCAGTATCATGTTTATAATGCTTCTGTTCCCAATCTCTATCAGTCTTCTGATTTCTTTTCAAGATAATACTTTACAGATTTTATCCATCCTGAGGTTGCTGTCAAAGTAAAGGAAAAATTAATACTATAAAGCCAGCTTTTCTAAGTACTAACTGTGCTGCACAGCTAGTTAGCTATTTAACTAAGTTTTGGGTTGTTGCCTTACCACAAGACACCAGAAGCTGGGAATTTAGAGAGAAGTTCCTTTCCATTCTGAGATGTTGATGATTTTATCCAAGAACTGGGGAGTAAATTGATTTTCCATATAAAGAATTTTGAGTAAGGAAAATTTTAAACCAAACAATCCCATACATACTTTCTAAGTATGATCAGGTAATTGTTTCACAAGTATTGGGGCCAACAATTTAAAACTGAGAAGTACAAGCTGAATTTTATTTGTTACTGTTTGTTATCAATAATAGGGAGTTTTCAATATTTCCACTATAGTAATTGCTATGCCAGTGTTTTTCAGCAGAATAAAGGATATAACTTTATCAGAACAGCTTCTAAATTATTATCCTTCATTATCTAAAGTAATTGTACTTGTATCTTCAATTATTTTTGGAAACTTTTTGCTAGGAGACTGCGAAAACAAATTACTTACAAATTATTAAAACATACAACATTAACATTACCCATTCATACATGCATCTGTGGAAAATACATATTACTCTGAATGCTTACTTGTTAAGATACATAGTAAAAAGAGATATTCCGTGTAAGAAATTATACCTGAAAAAGCAAATGAACAAATTAGCATCATTTTAACTTAAATATTAGCAAATCATGATTGAAGATATAGTAAAATTATTTATTTGCACATCATTCTATCTTTGCTCCAAGGAATTCATAGGGACTAACAAGGTTCCTCTAATTTTATTCTCACAACTTGTTAGAGCCGAGTCACCACCACCTTGTCATGTGAGGGCATTTTGGGCACTTGGCAACTGGCTCCTCTGTATGACTGGTTGCAGTGCCTTGTGGTCATCTTGACCATGATTTGAGATGGTTTTTGCCAGTTTAAGAGACTATGTTTGCTTAGTGACCATAGTGATGGCCACCACAAAAAGGGTTAAAAAAATTGGGTCCAGTCATGTGGGTGCCTCGACTTATGACTGTAGCAACACACAATCAGAAATCTGGTCTGAATTGCAGTTGTCAGCAACTAACCATATGTACATTTTTTGAATATTGCCCATATTGACGCTGAGAAAACAAAAATGCGTACTAGTAGTACTGCTACACTATAATCTCTAGTTGAGAATCAAAAGAATTTCATAGTAAAAACAAAGTAAAAACAAAGCAAAAGCAAAGCAAGTATTCTACAAAGTAAATATTCTTTAGTACCCCTTTCTTGGAGATTCCTGAAAAGCTTTGATGATCCTTTCCAAACTGGTGGAGTTTCAATAAGTATCTGATTCAATTCCTGCAAATTAGTTTTTAAAAAAGATGATGACATTGTCTTCATAATAAACACTCAGTGCATTTGCAAAGCTATACCCACTAACATATTTCTAGACAACATAGGATTGTACAGTCAGAAAACAGGTCCCATGGAATTTGAATGTTTAGGTTGAAAACATTATTGAAAAACATTTCTGATAAAAATGCAGATTAAATTATAAAATATGCAAAGTAAGACACCAAGAGTTACCTTACAGGGGAGATGGACAACATAAAAAATTAATATATAAATAAATAACACCTCACATGCTCAGCAACCATAGACCAATATTATTATTCCCATACATGAAATTGAGAATGAGCAGTTTGCCTAATGCTACTATTGCTTGAGTCAATGTATAAAACCCAATTTGGAAGAGAATTGTAACATACCTGTTTTGATAGTGTCTTCCACTGTTTTGTCTCTAAAACAAATACAAAACTAATTACTTATACAAGTATTTAATGACATGCTACTATATATGGCTGGCATGATCAACATCCTATCTCTAGTCATGTCGGGAAATAACCTTTCTAGTTTCAATGTTTTTCGAAACACATTTTAAATCTGTTCATTATTATGATCTTACTGATATGGGAATATCATGTATGGTAAATTAATATTAAAACCAAGGTGTAATTCACAAATAGTAAAATTTGGGAAGGAAAAATTGTAAAGCTTTCCCACTAAATATAGTAAAATTTTGTGGACATGTCCATGCAGTTTTCTTAGCAGTAATGAGGAATTAGTTTGCTTTTTGACTTTCCAGTCTAGGTTATAGCCATGACATTCTCTGGCAGTCTGTATTTGCCGGATAGATTCACTATTACTAATGATAATATTTAACCTAATACTTTCAAAATAAATCTGAATAATTAATAACATACTGTTTATAAAAATAATCTAAAAAATATAAATCCATTACAAAAGTAACCATATCAAAAAATAGAGCTGCTGCAACAAAATGGGATTAGTAGCTGACATAAACTAAATTAATTGAAGTGGACAAGCTAGGAAAGCAAAAGAGACAACAAAGAGAAAAATGATATTGAATGAATAACTAATTTTGTTGGAATACTTGTAGAATATTAGGATGAAATACATATGACTCTGACTGGGTAGATCAGGGCAGGGTGACGAGGAACAGTCTTGAGAATGTTATCTGGGAGGAGTTTGATGCTGTGACTCCCGATGATGTGGACAGGATTTTGGGGAGACTTAGTGCGGCCACATGTTTACTGGACCCGTGTCCCTCCTGGTTGGTACTGGCTTCCCGGGAGGTTACACGAGGCTGGCTCCAGGGCGTCATTAATGCTTCGTTGAGTGAGGGTCACTTCCCCGCTGCCCTGAAAGAGGCAGTGGTGAGGCCTCTCCTCAAGAAGCCGTCCCTGGACCCAGCAATATTGGCTAACTATCGTCCTGTCTCCAACCTTCGCTTTATTGCGAAGGTTGTTGAGAGTGTGGTCGCGCAACAGTTTCCACAATTCCTGGAGGAAACATCCTATCTAGATCCGTTCCAGTCGGGTTTCAGGTCTGGGCACAGCACGGAAACGGCATTGGTCGTTGGTGGATGATCTCTGGAGGGCTCGGGACAGGGGTTATTCCTCTGTTCTGGTCCTATTAGATCTCTCAGCGGCTTTTGATACCATCGACCATGGTATCATGCTGCACCGGCTGGAAGAGTTGGGGGTGGGAGGCACTGTGTTGCGGTGGTTCTCCTCCTTTCTCTCCGACCGGTCGCAGTTTGTGTTGGCAGGGGGGCAGAGGTCGACCTCGAGGCCTCTCATTTGTGGAGTGCTGCAGGGATCGGTCCTCTCGCCCCTTCTGTTCAACATTTATGTGAAGCCGCTGGGCGAGATCATCCGTGGCTTTGGGGTGAGATACCACCAGTACGCTGATGACACCCAGCTGTACATTTCCACCCCAGGCCACCCCAACGATGCCCTTGAAGTGATGTCCCAGTGCCTGGAGGCTGTGCGGATCTGGATGGGGAGGAACAGGCTCAGGCTCAACCCTTCCAAGACTGAGTGGCTGTGGCTCCCGGCATCCCGATATAGTCAGTTGACTCCATCACTGACTATTGGGGGCGAGTCTTTGGCCCCCACTGAAAGGGCTCGCAATCTGGGAGTCCTCCTGGATAGGCAGCTGTCTTTGGAGGAACATCTGACGGCTGTTACCAGGGGGACCTTTTATCAGGTTCGCCTGATTCGCCAGTTGCGGCCCTTTCTTGATCGGGATTCCTTGTGCACAGTCACTCACGCCCTCGTCACCTCTCGCCTTGACTACTGCAACGCTCTCTACATGGGGCTCCCCTTGAAGAGCACCCGGAGGCTCCAGCTGGTCCAGAATGCAGCAGCGCGGGTAGTGATGGGAGCAACATGGCGCTCCCATGTAACACCGCTCCTGCGCGAGCTGCACTGGCTCCCGGTGGTCTTCCGGGTGCGCTTCAAGGTGTTGGTTATCACCTTTAAAGCGCTCCATGGCATAGGGCCTAGTTATCTCCGAGACCGCCTGCTGCTACCGATGACCTCCCATCGACCCGTGCGCTCCCACAGAGAGAGCCTCCTCAGGGTGCCATCAGCCAAACAATGTAGGCTGGTGGCCCCCAGGGGGAGGGCCTTCTCTGTGGAGGCTCCCACCCTCTGGAATCAGTTGCCCCCGGAGATAAGAAGAATCCAGGACCTCAATGCCTTCCGTCGTTCCCTGAAAACCCATCTTTTTCAACAAGCCGGGTTGGCCTAAGAAGAAATTTTTAAAATTTTTAAATTCTTTTAATTAGTCTGTGATTCTTAACTTTCGGGCCAAAATTTATATATATTTTTAAATGTTTTAATATTTGTATTCTATGTTTTTTATCTTGGCTGTACACCGCCCTGAGTCCTCAGGGAGAAGGGCGGTATATAAATTGGAAATTAAATTAAATTAAATTAAAAATATATAAGACTTATAGAAAATTGTTATTATAATGTGAAGTAGCTTACATTGCCTTAAAGTTGTATTTAGAATTAAATATTGATAATTAAAAATGCTAGCTATATAATCAAGAACTAAAAGATTTTAGCTTTCAGTGCATCCTTAGAACAAAATTCATATTTCAGAGTTACCCTGAGGTAAGATGGACGGCCAATAAATTTTACAAATAAATAAATAAATAAAAAAAATCATAGAATTTATTTCTATAGATCATAAAGTTAGGTCCAAATGAATTTAACGATAGGATAACAACCTGACCATAAATATAAAGATATGTCTGGGCTAGTAACTAATAGATTAAACCGTATACAATTATATAAAAGGGAACAACGAAGTATAGACTAAACTTAACGCCTGAATAATTCTTCTAGGACTCAGACCATGTAAAGTTTTACTTTGTAAAACTAGATGTTGTGCAATTTTAGAAGACCTTAGTATTTTTGATGTTGGTAATAGTACCAACCTGAATTCCATGATACAGTAACTGTAAACAGTGCTTTAGATAAAGATATTTTAAAAATAGTTCACCTGACTGTAACTGGATTATCTTTTCTTTCTGAAATTTGCACATAATAATTGGGATCACTGCAGTGGTGGGATTCAAGTAATTTAACAACCGGTTCTCTACACTAATGATTTCTTCCAACAACCAGTTTGCCAAACTACTCAGAAAGTTAACAACCGTTCTCCCGAAGTGGTGCGAACTGGCTGAATCCCACCACTGGATCACTGGGACCAGAAGTTTTGTCTTCCGAGCTTTTGGACTCATGCTAGAGCCCATCTTTAGGGAACTTGTCTCTAGCAGAGTGCATATTTGAGGTGTCTCTGTGTGGTATTTGCTGTATATAAGACGCACCTTAGTTTTGGGGCAGGAAAATAGGGGAAAAAATATTCTGCCTACCAGGTATTCATCTGGCTAACATTCTTAGCCTGGTCAGCTTCAGCACATTAGTTCACTGGTTTTGAGAGTGTGTGCTTGATTGGGAATGAAATACAGCTTCTAAAGCACAGCTGATCGTCGGAGGGAGCAGCAATGAGAACAGCAAGGCGAAGCGCGGAATATCGCTTCACTAGCAAGCACCTCATTGAGACTAAAAAACAGCTTCAAAAGAACAGCTGATCATTGGAGGGAGCCCCAGTGACTAAAGCAGACGAAGCGCAGAAGGGATAAAAGAAGGCAGGAGCTGTTTTGGGTAGCCATTTTGGGCATCGCGCATTGCGTTTTCAGCCTCCAAACTCACCACGTTTTCGGGAGGCGATTGGCGGCGATGTGCTTTGGTGATCCCCGCAGCCTAGAAGGCCTCTCAAACGGAGCATTTGGAGGCTGAAAACACGACCTGCAGTGCCCAAAATGGCTAAGCCATTGTTGGTGGCAATCTCTGCAGCAAGGAAGAGGACACGCGGAGGCCAAAGAGTGGAGGCAGGAAGGTGGGCGGGGCTACATTGGGAGTATAAAATGCACCCAAATTTTCAGTCTCTTTTAGGGGGGAAAAGTGTGACTTATACTCTGAAAAATACGGTATATGGTACCTGTTGTATGTGGATTTTTACATGTTGATTGGGGTGTTGATGGTTGGCTATTAAGTTGTTGGCTGTTGTTTGCTTGTGCTGCCAAGCCATCAGCTCCTAAGTACTTGATAAGCTGGTAGTAAATCAGATTGGACTGACCCAGATTGGATTCTACAATATTATCCTAGGACACATATATTCGCCTCCATTCATAAATATATTTTCATAAATGTTAATATGATTAGCTTTAAAAATAAGAATATGCCCTTTAGTTATAGCAATATTAATTAGAGTTAATTAAATTTTACATTTGGGCCCCTAAATTGTTTAAAAACTAATTAGCACCTCTCCTGGGACTTTAAACTCCATATAGGTAGCCTTCTGAATGAAGGCAAATATACATATCCCAGGATAATATTCCAGGATCCAATCTGGATCGGTAGAGAGAAGTTCCTGAGAATGGGCTCGAGCATGAGTCCTAAAGCTTGGAAAGTAGCCTTCATTCAGCAACCACAATTGGGGCTGATAACTTGGTCATTATGTGGAGAAGCAGTCACTAAATGAAACTATGACTCTACATGATCTTACTTGAGTTTTCCTTTACTTTACAGTTCTATGGAGGCCCTAATGTGAGGATTGGTCACAAAGTTACTTTTTCATTACCGCTCTGACTATGAATGATTACTAAAAGGCAATTGCTAAATAAGGGCTACCTGTAATTTCAAATAATCATTGCAGCCTTGGATTTATACTGCTGCTATTCACTTGCTGTTTATTTTGCTGCTATTCTTGCTTCCCTAATTTCAACAGGGATATAAGAAAATGTACACAAAATGTAAGTATATAAGGGTTCATGAATTGGAATAGACATAGTAACAGGTCAGCCAATGGAGACTGTTTGGTGACCCAGACGGCTAGGAGCCTGGGCGCGGCTTAGGTTCACTGATCTGTACATATACAGTATATGAATGCTTCTGTGATTCTATAGCTTCTGTGTCTATATTGATTCTGTACTTCTGGATTCTGAGTTCTGGTTCTGGCTTCTGTTGTATGGTATTGTATATAAAGAAGTTTCTTTTGTAAATGAATCGTGCTGAATTGTTTACTTGTGTGCTGGTTGGATTGCTGCAAACTCTAAAACAAAAGGCCGTTTTTCAGATATTTTGGCTCCCAGACCAAGATACAGTAGGCTTTAAACCTATTTATTCTTGACTTTATTTTCTTTCTTTTTCTATGTAGAAAAATGACCAAGTTGGTCTTCTTCAGAGTTTATGTTAATAAACATTCTGAATTTTTAACTTGCCACAATTGTCTTTATTAGAGCAATGGAACACTATTGATTCTATTTCTAAATAGATCTAAATTACATGTGAGCATGAATGTAATACCTATCTGCAGTCAGATGCATCAATCTCCAAGCTTGTGCTGCTGACTTAATCTACAACGCTATATTTGTTTTTCCTGTTGAAGGCATTGCAATTTCTGAAAAGATGTGATAGTTTTGAAAATATATCTAGTGTTGCCCAAGGGTGCTTTTTCAAAAGACAACTGGACTTGAAAAAGCACCTATGGGACAACTATGATCTGGATGACTGAGAATCTCCATAGATATCTAGTGTTACATTTCTTTCCTTTTTATATAATATTTTAGAAATCGGCTTTTTGAGTTGTCTTTGAGATATATCATTGTAGTTAGTGGAATCCTAATTTTCAACATAGGGTATTAAAAATTTCTAATATACAAGCCCCACAGCTTGCAAGATAAGAAACTTATATAATGCTTTTGAGTTCCATGAGCAAAAATTGAAAATTACCAGGGGTGAAATGCTCCCAGTTTGGACCGGATCGCCTGATCCGGTAGTGATGGCGGCGGGTGGTTCGGAGAACCGGTAGCAAAAATCCCTGCTCTTCCCATGCCCATCTGAGCCACATGATCATCAGAGGCTTTTTTTTTTTTACTTTTAAAAGCATTTTTTCTACAACCTCTTAGGCCAAAGAGGTTGTAGGAAAAAAATGCCTTTAAAAGCCTCTGATGATCCCAGCTGAGTTGCCTGATCGTCAGAGGCTTTTAAAAGCATTTTTTTCTGCAACCTCTTAAGGTTGTAGAAGAAATGCTTTTAAAAGTAAAAAAAAAAAAGTTGGCCATGCCCACCGAGTCACATTACCCCCCTCCCCCCCCACCAAGCCATGCCCACAGAATTGGTAGTAACACATTTTACATTTCACCACTGATAATTACCAACAATGTAAGATCCTAACATATCCTATGAATTCAACCAATCACAGCATCTACTTATTAAATACATAACTCAAAAATATGGAAGATCTGAATTGTGCATCCACCAAATAAGGAAGTTTTAATTATTTATTTTTTATTTTATTTTATTTTATTTTGATTTATATGCCACCCTTCTCCAGAGACTCAGGGCGGCTTACAAGGCGTTAAGCAATAGCCTTCATACTTTTGTACATTTTATACAAAGTCAGCTTATTGCCCCCACAAACCGGGTCCTCATTTTACCTACCTTAGAAAGGATGGAAGGCTGAGTCAACCTTGAGCCTGGTGAGAATTGAACTCGCAGTAATTGCAGGCAGCTGCAATATGAGGATTCACTACAGCAAGAATAATGTAGTTTTTTAAAAATTTCCTACTTACGTCTTGGTTCATCACTTGAAACAGACTGGATGAAATCATATGGTGTCATAAATAGCTGCCCTTCAAATTTTAAACTGGCAAATGTTAGAAATCGCCGCTCCCGGGAAGTTGCATAAAGCTCTAAATCTTCATGATCTGGTCTGTTTTCTGTGACCTTCAGCAAACAATTGAAAAGTGATTAGTTATTCCAATTATTGTTTCTAAAACTGTGTTTCAAACACTAAATTGTTACTTTTTCTTTATTATTTTTATCTCTTTTCATATTTTAAATTCTTTAGCCCTATATGGTAATCATCACAGCTATTGTGTTTTATTGTAAAAACAAGGATATGTTAGCTATTGTGATAATATTATGGGTTACATTTTTCAGAGAAGTCAAGTAGGAAACAGTAAATGGTGGTGTATTTTTTTACTATAAAACTTAGCAAAGCTGCTTGTAAAAGAAAGAACTTCCATCGCACAAGGCTGTTATGTTCATCTTGGTCTGAAACAAACTGCCCAAATTATTCAGATTCAAAGATTTTTATGAAACACAATGAAAATCACACCTGATACACCATGTAATGAGATCCCAGAGAAGACAAAAGCACTGGTGAGGTAATGGGTAAGAGTCAGTAAGGGTCCAGTTTCTATTCTTACTTTTGGAGATTATCTGATTAAAATATCTTTGTAATTAGCGGCAAACCTCAAAAACTTTCATGAAAACAGATCCCCATCAAATGAAATTAAAAACGTGTGTCTTGCAGTGATTGTTTTATCAAGTTAACCCTCAGTAGTTTTAAAAAAACTGAACAGTCATTTATATCAAGAAAACTGTCATGAATCTATGACTGAACTTGAATAAGATTTTAGTTTAGATTTTAAACCTTCTTCCTCCATCCACTCATGGAATATAAAGGTTGCAAGAAGTCCCTGAGCCACAGCTCAGCATGAAGTCACAGCCACTCCTCCAACCATTGCACCCTGGCCCAGCAGCCCACCGGTTACAGCTACCGTGGGAAGCCCCAGCCAGATTCAGCAGTGTGGTGTGGAGCCACAGCATCTCTGCAAAGCTACAACCAGGCCAGCAGTATAGCGTGGTATGAAGCTGTAGATGCCTTGGGACGCCCCAGCCTGACCCAGCAATGTATGGCGCAAAGCCACACTAGAAAGGAACTAGGAAGCCACAGATGCCCAAGCTCAGTCCTAAATACCATCGTCGGCCTGCACTCCAAGGCCTCTGCTGCCCTGGACTCTACCACCCCAGCTAACTACTGTCTTGCTTCTGTTGCTGGCCATTCACAAGGCAGCTTCTGGCAATGTAAAGGCATTTTCTCCAGGTCTTGTGAGAAAATTACTATGTTTGATCTGGGGAAGAAGGTGTGGCCATCAGCTGCGTCATACGGGGCCAGGGTGGGCATACTTGATCAGCAGCAAGAGCAAGAAGACAGTGAAAGTCATGTAGGATGGCAGGGGGCACAAGGGGGCATGTAGGATGGCAGGGGGCGCATGGGGGCAAAAATGGGAAGATTGGTGAGTGGAGGCAGATGAAGTGCCCCGGAAGTTGTAAATACAGGCAGGCTGCCAAGCACTTGGATTTTGATCATGTGACCATGGAGCATGATCAAAATCCAGGTACTTGGCAGCCTGTCCACATAGCTGCAATAGCCATAACTTGGGGATCAATCCTAAATCCTTTCATTCATTGCTGCCTTAACTTTGAACAATCCCTGAATGAATAACCATTAAAATAAAAGGACTAGCAATACTACAGGTGATTGGAATTTCTATCGTTATTTTTGCTGGACTTGTAGTTTTCGCTTGCCTGAATCACATGAAAATGGGCAAATTACATAGCTTCCAAATATGGTTGAAAGATTATTTGTGAGGACACCAAAAAACTCAGGGACAGTAATGAATATCTGGGCTATAGCTGCAATGCGTATTCCCTTAACTTAAGACATTTCAAAACTATTTACAAATGTCTGATTAAAAGAAATATTGCCATTTCTTAGTTGCTTTCCAGTTCTTTCCTCAGCTTATTGATTTCATCTCCTAGTTACAAATAAAAGGTTTAGTTACCAAAGCAAGCTTTTCCACAAGAGGCAACTGCAGTGGAACCCTGTTTACAATTGTTATGCCATGTGTTCATCTCATGGCTATCAACACATGCTCAGTGAAAGGCTAGCATTAATTATCTGTGAAGGCTTAGGGATTCAATTCTCTTCTCTCGTTTTCACTAAGCATATTGATTCTTGTCCCCTGTCTGGAAATCAGCTACAGCCTGATATTATACTACTTTTGCATTAGACATCCAGGGGAAAGAAATTATTGAAAGCAATTTCCTTGTGGATGACACAAAGAACAAACTTTGGGATTATTTTAAACAAAAGGACAAATGCCATGTACACAATCAGTGCATTTCTCTGTAGCTCATTAGCTACAGAATTTATACCCGTTAAATTTGTTATTACATTGCAGATTTTAGAAATCAGTGAATCTATTATATCATAAGATAATATTTTCCATCTCACTTAGCATTTTAATAACTATTTATTTTAAAAGGCAAATGAAATGACAAATATGTATTCTTAAAAAGACTATCAAATGGATTTATGAATTATATGCTGCCCTTTGTTTTCAAAGACATACTTATATATGAAAAACCTTACTGCAATTGCAACAGTTCTCCTCAAAACAGTGTTCTCAAAATGGCAAGGCTGAAAGACAATTGCTGTTAAAATAAAATAAGAGAAACACAGAAAAGTGAGCAAAGGCAGATTCTCCAGGATAAAGGAAGGGGAAATGAAGTTAGAAATATGTGTCAAAAAGTTAAGTGGAAGGAAAAAAACTGAAATTCCACACTAGAAAACAGTATACCTGCTACTACTTGTTTCTTTCAGTCTCAGGAGGACATATTGTGCTTGGCAATGCAGTACAGCTTGCAGCTGCCTGGTGTTGCTAGTCCTGAAGAGGATGTTCAGTTAGTTAAAGGTGGATGCAGGTGCCAATTCAAGCAAGCAAAACACCCTTATGTGAAATGATATTATCTCCAATAGAATAGAATTGTTTGAATTGTGGAGTTCTAGGTGCTCCATGAGTTTGGTTGTTAGCTTGTAGTCATTTCATTAAACCAACTAGTCAACATCATTTAGTGTACATCTAGTAGACTTGATGATGTTATGTAGTTGGAGAATGAAATGTCTACAAACAAACTCACAGAGCACCAAGAACTCCACAGTAAAATCACTTTCTTCTTCTCAGTGAGTTGTGGTGGCGCAGTGGTTAGAACATACCGTATTTTTCAGAGTATAAGATGCACCTTTTTACCCCCCAAAAGGGGGTGAAAATTTAAGTGCGTCTTATACACCGAATGTAGCCCTGCCCACCCAATGGCCCCCACCCTTTGGCCTGTGCTTTGCAGTAGTTACCTTCTTGCAAGCAAACAGCAAGAAAAAACAGCCCCTTTCAGCTTCAGCATAGGTTAATTAGCACAAGTTGATTAGATCGGCCTCCCGATTCTCAGCTGATTTGCTCTCAGCTGTTTTGTGCAGGGCTGTCCTGCTTGCTGCAAAAAGTGCTGGAGCAGATTTTTTTTCCCCTAGTTATGCTGAAAAAATGAAACTGAAAGTAAAGCAGGTTCTTTGCTGCAACATGACAAAATGAGGCAGAGAGAGATTTCTTTTTCTTTTTTCTCACCAAAAAAGGTAGGTGCAAACAATGGGAAATTTAGGGCAAAAGAGGAGAGTTCAAGATTTTAAAACACAAAAGAAAGAAAGCTCTATTTAACTAGGAAATTATAATAATTGAGATACTATTAATTGTATATTGTGTTGAAAGCAGACATGGTTAAGTTGTGGTTTGGAGGAATATATGGGGAAAATTATTTGGTTTATTATTATTGGTAAATATAATTAATTGATTTGTAAGAAATTGGATTGCATGGAAATAATTGGAATATTCATGTTCATATTGATTAAGATACAAAAAACATAGTTATAACTAACTGATTTATTTAAAAATGTTGAATTTGTATTAAACAATTGTAATATTAAATAATTAACCAATGTGAGGATGGATATAAAAATAGATGACAATGGGAAGGGATATAATATAGAATAGAAGGGAAAAATTGAATTTGATTAAGATTAGAGATGAGAATGAAGGGTAATATTGGTTTTTTTTAAAAAAATAGATGAGGAATAAATATGGCAAAAAGGAAATATAGAAATTGTAAATTTAATTGAAATGACTAAACACTGTTTAAATTTGTGAACCAGCCAAACACTCTGTTCAAAGAAAATACATTGTATGTTTATATGTGTGTTTGTCTAAAAAAAAAAAAACTTTTAAAAAAACAACAACCAAAAAAAGGTAGGTGCATCTTATACTCCGGTGCGTCTTATACTCCGAAAAATATGGTAATATTGCAGGCTAATTCTCCCGCCTGCTCTCTCTCCTGCCAACAGTTTGATTCTCACTGGCTGAAGGTTATCTCATTCTTCCATCCTTCTGAGATCGGTTAAATGAGGACCCAGATTGTTGGAGGCAATATACTGACTCTGTAAACTGCTTAGAGAGGGCTGTAAAGCACTGTGAAGCGGTAAATAAGTCTAGGTGCTTATTGCTTATCTATTCACCAGGCATTTCTTTCTGCCATAGTGTGCAAAGCAGTATTCATGAGTTGGCCATAATGAGGTTGTACAGTGAGGGCATATAATAATCTGCCCGTAACAAGGAAAAGCTCATAGGCACTAATTTCTGGTCAAGGATATTGTCCTCATTTAACTGTGTTAATACAAATATGATTTAGAACCTTTTAAATTACCCATTCTTCATTTGCTCTTTAATATCAATTCCTCTATCACTGTCTTCAGAGTTTCTTATTTGTGCCTACCATATATTTTCTCTAGCAGATCTTATATTTAGTATTTTGTTCCTAAAAGAAACAAACATCAATTATTTTCTCTCACTTAGATGAACTATAGTTCTCTAGATATGTAGAGAGGAATTCCCTACAATCTACTTGTTTTAAAAGGTACCTATCTTTCAGAAAAGGATTTTTTTCCTATTTTTCCCCACATCAAGTATATGTGCTCAGATGTGGAATAACAGAACTAAGATAGAACTAGTAAATGTTGTTAAATCCTACCAATAGGAATTTGTAGCTTTTAG